CGTTTTAAGCGCCCGTTATTCCTCCAGAGTCTCCGGTATTTACTTTGTTTTCTTGCTTGTGTCGGCAGTCGTGGCCAAAGGAGGATTCCGACAATTTTCCGAACTTTCTGGTTGGTTTCTACTGTCCGATATTGTAGCACGCTAACTTTGTTTGGGCTCCTGAACAACACGGGGGAGCAGCGTCTGCCTCAACTATTGACTGATATTAAAAGACTTAATATTTTTTATTATATATATATTTTGTTATTGTAGTTTGAGTGTTTAAATTGTTGTTTTTCTGCAGTTTTAGTACTTTGATCTTATTGTAAATATTCTTGGATTATTAGAAGTAAAAACATTTGTCAATAATTTAAGCCTAATCTAATCTCTGTGCTTCATTCTGTGGTCGGTCTTCTCACCTACTGACAGACTTTGAGTTCAGAGTCTCGATCAGATGAACTCAGAATCATTTTTTATATTTTATAAAGTTTTTTTTTTTTTTTGAAAACAGAGCGTCCTCTCTTTTTTTTCTGCTCACAGAATCTCAAACTTGGATCCATTGATTTGTGGGTCTATTTAAAAAATGAACGATCTCGTCTTTGAATGTTTCATGCTCACACACACACACACACACACAAACACACACACACACAGGATTACCCTGCAGCCCCACTGCTCTCCTTTGTCTGGTTATCGGACTGTTCTGTACCTGCACTGCAGGACTCTGATACAACGCTGCATTCAACGCCCACAACCACGAAAAACTGCCTCAAAAAATGAAGAAAATTCTCCGAACAAGAAAATAAAAACCTGAATTAGAGGAAGAGGAACAATCCCTCCTGTTTCCAAGTTTTAAAGAAGTATTTTCGGTAAAAATGGTTCAAGTTTCTCATCGATAAGAAGGTTTTATTTTCACAGTCTAATCAAACCTGAGGGCTGAATCCAAACAGACAAAAAGAGCTGTCAGCGTTCATCTGCAGTTCGATGAACGACGATGAAGAGGAGGAAGAGGAGGAGGTTTGTTTGTGTTAGTGCTGATCGAGTATAATTCTCTGAGACTAAATTTAAAGAGATTAACGGCAGAAAATCAATGAAGTGGACAAAAACTGAAGTAAAAGAAAAGGAAACATCTTTAGAAAAGGAGGAAATTAAAGTTCAGAGAATCAAAGACTCAGAGGAAAAGAGATTTGAGTGAAGAATCAGAACTTCGGTCCTTTTTAATCTGAAATCATCAGTTTCTCCACAGAAGTAATAAAAGTGCCGTTTGATTCGAGCACCTGTGGCTCAGCTGAACTGCACAACTCCACACGACCCAACAAATGCTCTTATTGATCAGCGGCGTATTGATCCCAGAGCTCCTCTCAGCGTCGCTGCGCTCATTAAAACGTCCACCAACGAGCAGAAACACAGCCGGACGAACAGGAACCACATGTTTCTGATAAAAGTAGAAAAATCACTTCTTCAGTCCGTTTCATTTTCTTCAAACTCAAACTGAGGGAGGCCTCTAAGCTTTTAATACCAGAGAAAACAAGAAAAAACAAGAAACTACGACTTTTTTTTATCGATATTTTCTGTTTTTAATGTAAAACCCACTTCATACTTCGATCTGGAGCTGCAGAAATGAGACTAAATCTGTGAGTTTCTGCTCTTATATTGTAAAATAAAGGTGTAATGTTATCAGAATAAAGTGAGGAGTCATTTAAATCAATGTTACAACCACTGGAGACATCTCCTTCAAAATAAAAGCGGTTATTTCTACAGTAATATCAAGTTAATATTCCGTGGTCCTTCATGCTTTAAACAGAGGATAGAAGAAGAAGAAGCAGCAGCTGTTAGAGAGTTAGCTGTAGCAGCCACAGATATACTCTCTATAAAAGACTAGATACGCCAACACACTGATATACTGTATATTGTAAATATGAAATCCCAGAACTGAACCTTGAGGCACACCCTTGTGAATTTGAAGTACTTCTAAAAGAGGCCGTCTGACTGAACAGCCTGAGTTCTGCCAGAGAGATAATTAGCAAACCACCCGACTGGTTGATCTTTGTTTACTTTGTTTTCCAACGCCAAAACATGTGCAATTAATACACAACAATTGATCAAACATTTTTTTATTTATTTATTTATTTTCAATTAGGAAATAAGCAAGATAAGATTGATTTTCTACGTACATTCAATGGCTTTAATGGGAATGTTGCCCTCACCAAGATGGCTGCCACATCGTATCATCTCTTCATTTCTTTTGTAGCAGCTCTCTGAGAAATAATTAAAACTGATATTCAATTACGTATTTGTAAAATCAGTTTAATTTTCATACTCTCTAATTAAACTGTTTTCATAGTAGACATTGAATACTACAAAATAAAAGCAACAAGCTAAACGCAAGACAGGAAGTTATCAAAATAAAAGCAGGACAATGAGGTGACGTTCTTTTCAAAAGTGTCAGAGGGATAAATCAGAAAGTTAAACATGGTTACAAACAGATCAAGACTTTAAAATAATTTTATTTTCTTAACTTCTAACTCGAGAGACAGATGGTGAGAAAAGTTCCTGAAAAACTTCCTGAAAAACTTCCTGAAAAACTTCCTTCCTCTTCAGTACAATGTTTTATCTTCAGGTAACAGGACAGCAGACCTGAACTGAAAACACACTGATGTTTTAGAGCGAATGTGGATTAAAAAAAGAGGAACAAACAGGGATGAAAATAGAGGATATTTAAATCTGAGGAGTGACATGTTTTATTCATGAAAGCCCCTGAAGGAGGCGCAGGGTCAGTATTTAGTTGAATTTATAATATTTGTGTCTTAAATTGGATTTTAAACTAAAACGCCTCCAGCTAACGCTCAGTTTAATGAAGTCAGAGGGTCCTGTTTGCTTCTGCATGTGTTTTCTTAAACTCCTCTTAGACTTCAGCTCTGCAATAAATCCAAATAATAGAAGGTTTAAAACATCTTTGCACCTGGAATACAGAGAGCAGAGGAGCCTAAATAAAGATATATCAAACTCTTCAATGTCCTAAAAAGGAAGAAGAAGAAGAAGAAGAAGAAGAAGAAGAAGAAGAGTGTTCGACCAGATGACGGTCTCCGACACACAAACACAGATTCACATATAAAGAGCAGAGAGTCTGTCAGCAGGAGAAACACACCGAGCTGGTGCAACTCACTGCAACATCAACGTCAACATGAACATGGACGCAGCGATGAAACGCAGAGCAGCAGGAAACACGGCGCTCCCTGAGAGACCATGACCTCCTCCATCCTGATCAGGTTTCCAGGAGGACTCAGAGCCCGGGGCGATCAGGATGAGAGAAACCCACCACAACATCTCAGAAACACTGTCATGACACTTCTGCAGATATTCATGATCCCCAGAGGACAGACCCACACTCAGGTCAGCTTCCTACTCGACCTGCTGAAACCTGAAAACCTCCAAATCTGAGGAAACACACAAACAGACCTCAAACATCGACCTCATCAGGAGGACCGGCTGAAACCAGGTCTGAGTGTAGACCTAAGACCCAGTTTTTAAGAGGACTGACCAAAACCAGATCCAACAATCCTCCAGAACTGAGGCCTAGCAGAGCGTCCCGCTGAGATAAAACTGCAGTAAATCCTCCAAACAGAAGATCCAGGAGATCCAGGAGAGTCCAGCTGAGGTAGAAAACCAGTAAATCCTCCAAACAGGGACAGTGGTGATCCTTCAGAGACGACATGATGGACTGAGAGTAATCCAGGACGACCAGGTGAGACAGAGGGACAGGTGAACCCCATGAGGGACAAACAAACCAGAGGACTAACCCAGACCCAGGAAGTAAAACCAGATCCTGTACGGGGGGGGACTACAAAATAAAACAGGAAACACTTGAAGTATGAAACAGGAAACACTAACATGATAGAAAATAAAAGACTGATTTAAGACAGGAAGTGACATCAAACATGACGCCTGAAGCAGACGAGGGACGACAAATAAAACAAGTAAAATATAAAACTTAATAAAAGAAACTTTATTTTTTCATCTGTCTGATCAATAAAGACAAAATAATGAAACTAATGAGGAAATTTTATTTAATTTAATTAAAAAAATAAAGAGTGAAACTAAAACAACCTTCAGACTAATTTAGTATAAAGACTTTATGAGTCCTGAAAACACCTCAAACTGGTCAGTAACTCTTCTTTAAATATTCTGAAGAAAACTAACCAGACTTTTATTTTCTATGTTCACAGAGTTTCACTCTCTGAGGTTTTTAACCCTAGAAGACTAATGTTAAAATTAATAACACCATCACTATCGCTGTCGGGTGATTTTTACCTGAAATCATAAACCCAAGAAAAAGTCATTTTCATCAAAAAACAGGACAAAACACGACAAATTAAAGTCGTTTTATTTTATTTTTAACTGTTTAATGTCCAAAGGGAGGAAAAAAGTGTCACGAGGGGACCATATAGAAATGCAACAAAATAACTGAAATTAGGCATTCATCAACAATAAATTCCTTATATACATACATATTTGTTTATTCATTTATTCATTCATTTATTTATTAATACTGTGCAAGTGCAAATTTACTTCACCTTAAAAACCCCGACTGAAGCAGAGCGCCGGGAGGTCAAGAGAATGGCGCCCAGTTTCCTGATTAAAGGTTCCTACTACAGCGAAATTGTAAAACTGCAAAATTGCCTCGGCATCAGCTCTGGAGCCGTCTGCTGGTTTCTGAAATTGATCAGTAGTTCAATAAAGTTTTGAAGGTGAAGTAAATAAGTGTGTGCAGGTACATTCTGAAAATGCAAATCTATTTTTATTTGAATTATGACACAGATTTGCTTCCATAAGAGCTCACATTTGACATAAATAAAGAGTTCATTAACATCCTTCAGGTCAGTGTTAGCGGGTCAGTCCCTAAGTGTTACACTCTGATCTTAAATCAGAGGAGCAGACGTGATCTTCAGCGTCGACCTGACCGTGTAAAAGTGCGTGTTCTGCTGAACGTTGAAACTCTCTGACACAGAGTTAGAGGAGAAGTAGATCGAGGAGGAGAACCAAAGTCCTCCTGCTCCGTCCTGAACTCTTCCTCCTCCACCCGGTTCTTCCTGGTCCGTCTCCCTGCTGCTCCTCCTGATTAAGACTGACATCAACATTCACTATTCATTAGGAGGGAACACGGACCGCTGTGAGCCTGCAGCAGCAGCACAGGTGTGTTAGGATGGGGAGGACACACACACACACACACACACACACAGTGACTGTGAGTGGACAGTAATGAGTCTTAAAGAGGTCTGGTTAGGAGAGCAGAGAGGAGGATGTGAGGACAAACTGTGACAGGAACATTTGAATAAGTCAGGACATTAAAGAGCAGATTAGAAGAAGTGAGGAGGACTTTTATTTTCACTTACACGTACAGAAGTTCAGATCTGATTTTAGAGCCGCCTAAACCATCTTCATCTCGACCGGGATCTTCATCTTCATCCTCACTCTTCAGAAATACCTTCAAACCCAGCGCTCGTCCAGACTTTAACCTCTTTTTAGTTTACAGTGCAGGACTCCTGAAAATGTCCAGATGGCATTAGCTTGATTTGATCGGTCACTAATCGTGTCTTTTAGTCAGTAAATCAATAATCTAACTGATCTTTATAGATAATTGAGGTAATTTGATCATTTATAGCAGCAGTTGTGTTTTTTATTTTTCTGAGTCTGATAATGAATCTGGTGTTGTTTCTCTGTGAGTTCATGTCTAAGTTTCCCCCTGAGGACTCTGAGCAATTATATCCATGTAAACAGACATGCAGACGTCTGCTGAGCTTAAACAGGACAGAACCAGATAACCTGATAAATGACTTATTGATTATTTCACTCTGAGATCCTTAGACCTTTATACTCCAGACTTTTACAACCATCTCTACTTCAGGTTTTAACGTTATTGACCAATGTTTTATTTCATTCTCTATCATTACCACTCTCACAATATCATTATTATTATTATTATTATTATTATTATTAGACTATACTATCTATATGAGTGCGTTTTCATTTATTATTATTATCTGACTGATTGATTTATTTTATTTCATCATTATTATTATTACAACTTTTTTTATTATAACTATTATTAAATCATCTACCTAACATTTTATTTTTATTATATAAATGTATATTATTATTATTATTTATTATTATTATTATTATTATTATTATTATTATTATTATTATTATTATTATGTACCTCTTAAGTACTTCTGTATAGCAAAATATATATTGTTTTTTTTTTTTTAGTATTTATATAATTATGTTAACTCAATGTTGTATTATTACCATTATTGTGTGTGTTTATGTACTGTATTCTATTTCCCTTTATTTTAATTATACTTTAGTTTGTTTTCTCATACAGTCATAACTACGATGACTCTAATTTTATCATTATTATATTTATTTATATTATTTGTATCTTTTCCAGCATTTCTGGTCGTGTAAAAATTGAGCAGAAACTATTGACCTGATTTACACTCTTTAATTTAAATAAAAATATCATTATAAAAAAATAAAAATAAAAAGATTTCAACACTGACATGTTTGGTTATGAGTGTAAAGATGAAGAGGTCATTTTCTCCGGTTCAGCTCAGTCCACTGAAGGTTCTTTAAGTTAGACCGGGTCTACATGAGTCCAGAATAAAGTCCTAATGTGAGTTTGATGATCTAATATCAGAAGTAGGACACAGAGAGACAAAGGTCTTCGTTTTAATTCCAGGGACAGACAGACAGGAGAACTAAACGGTGAGATGGGACCTCAGATCTAATGAGAACAGACAGGTATGCAGGACCCGGCCCATTAACAATTACAGAACCTCCTCAGAGGCTGATCGGACGTGAAGAGGGAGGCGGTGAAGTGGGGCTGAAATCACTTTAATACGATGGTAGGAAAATATTCAGATCACACAGAGAGAGAGAGAGAGAGAGAGAGAGAGAGGGAGAGAGAGAGAGTAGACTGTCTCTGACCAATCAGACTCATCGTCTTTAAACTATCTGATCGTTTTATGTCTATACACAGTGACACACAGATATATAGTATTTGAGACTTAAAGGGATATTCCAGCGTAAAAATAAGTTAGGAAACACACAGTAACACTGAGTTAGACCCCCCCTCCAGAGATGAATGTTGTCGACCGCTTGCTTCTCTAGTTATACCAACTTTAGTAACGACCGCAGGATAGAAATACAGAGAGCCACGCGCTCAACCAAAACGCCTAACCACCTAACTTCATCAACAGGACATATAGGGTCACAGACATAGTACTAGACACCAAACATCTTTTTAACTTTGACTCATTTCTTTAGCAAAGAGACTAAACACAACTCACCTACTCTCTTCCAGCAGACGCTTGTTTGTAGAGAGACCTCAGGCCAGTCCATTACAGACTACAGCGGGGTGCCGCAGCTCAAGGAAGAACATTTATGATCATTTCTTCATGGAAATACAATCAGACCGAGACGCTAAGACAGAAGAACTACAGCGTCCGTAAAATGATCAATATGGTGATTATTACTTCAAGGAAATGATAAAGAAATGATCATAAATGTTCTTCCTTGAGCTGCGGCATCCCGCTGTAGTCCGTAATGGACTGGCCTGAGGTCTCTCTACAAACAAGCATCTGCTGGAAGAGAGTCGGTGAGTTGTGTTTAGTCTCTTTGCTAGTTGGTATAACTGGAGAAGCAACATTCATCTCTTGAGGGGGGGTCTAACTCGGTGTTACGGTGTGTTTGACCCTGAATTAATTTTTTGCTGGAATATCCCTTTAAAGTACTTTAATTCACATCAACAGTAGATGTAAATATCTTTAGTCTCCTTTAGAGGAAGATCTTGTTTTTTTTAGAATAGAATAGAATAGAATATTCCTTTATTGATCCCCCATGGGGGAAATTTTTTTGTCACAGCAGCATCACAGACAAGACAGAAAGTGCAAAATGCAGTTATAACAATAAGGGTCCTAATATTAAGAACTTAATAAATGTAATAATTAAGAAAAAAAAAAAAAAAAAAAAAAAAAATTGAAAAGAGAAAAGAGAAAAGGGAGAAGAAAAAATAAAGCTTTCTGCAATATACACAATTTAAATGCCATAAAAAAAAAAAAAGTGGTGGTGTAAATCCAGTTTTGTTACTGTTCATTGTAAAGTCTTTTTGCAGAGGGGAGGAATGATCTGCGGTAGCGCTCCGTCCTGCAGGGTGGGAGTCTCAGTCTGCTTTTATCCACTTATGTTCAGGGAGGTCTGTTTCCACTCACCGTCTACAGATTCATGATTAAAAACGAGTCTCCTGCTGAGCTGTGGGCTCTGAATGATCAGATTAGAGCAGAAATAGTGAGAAAACAAACAAACAAAGGAGTCATTTCACCTTCAACAACCATGAGAGTCCACTTTAGATCAGAACTAGAGTCCGTCCTGACGAGGACTGGACCCACGTGTCAGGACGACAGTTCAGCTGATCTCTGAGTAAAGAAAGAAGTCAACACCAGTGGTTTTTTTTTCTAAATATACAGTCAGTGTTTGGACTCAGCCTCAGTGTGTTTTAAAGGAGTTTGTGAATAAAGAGAGAATTTAATTTACCTGAGAGTCTGAGAGTCTGAGAGTCTGAGAGTCTGAGAGTCTGAGAGTCTGAGAGTCTGAGAGTCTTCAGGAGGACCAGAGAGGAGGAACTGGAGCTGATCTACGCTGACGGACAGGGAGAAAACACACACTTTTACACACACATAAATGACACAGTAAACTATTCAAACACACACACTGAAGGACACACAGACTATTAAACACCCACACACACACACGTACACACACACACAGTTGAGAGCATCACACTGAGATAATAGTGACAGCAGCGAGGAGAGAATCCCGACCTTACCTCTGCACCGCCGCTGCACTCAGACAGCAAATCATCCATCAGCCAAAACACTTCATAACAATGGAGACACACACACACACACACACACACACACACACACACATTACTCCACTGCTGCTCCTGTAGAAAAACTCTTTAAGTAAATCTTTTTCTGTCGTTCAGAGTTTATAGTTTCTCTTTTACTTCCTTCTATAATCTTCATACTCCTGTTTTTTTTCTTCATGTTCACTTTGATATCAGAGACACTAACCTGAGTGCAGATCTATGTGCTAAAGCTCTATATTCACAGAAGTCCTGACTGTTTAATCTCAGTGTGCGTTCATTAGTGGGCCGCTCAGATTTAGTGCAGCTGTGTGTTGTTGTGTTGTAACATAAATCTAACCTTAAAGGGGCCAGTCGTCTAAAAATGGATCAATAATGGCACCAATAATTAGATTATCTGTTCTTCTTCCTGCAAACACAAAAAAGAAATTTATCAGAAGTTAGTGAAGAGTGGAAACGTACTGTTTACTCGACTCCATGGGAACTGTTTAATGTCCTAACTGTATTTTTCCAGAATAAATGAGTTTGTTCTGAACCAAAGAGGAAAATATTGAGCATTCTTCTATTCTGTGTTTTCACATCCTTCATTTGGAGCAGACAAAGGCCGACACAGTTCCTGATAAACAGAAGATACTGTGAGAATGAAGAAGAGCTCAGATGCTGTTAGACTCAGAAACTGTTAATCAGTGTGTGTGTGTGTGTGTGTGTGTGTGTGTGTGTGTGTGTGTGTGTGTGTGTGTGTGTGTGTGTGTGTGTGTGTGTGTGTGTGTGTGTGTGTGTGTGTGTGTGTTGAAGGGAACAAAACATCTTTAATCGTCTGTTTTGATAAAGAAATCTCAGCCTGTGTTTAGACCCAGAGCTCGTTAAAAAACACTTTCTGAATGCAGAAACCACACCGGACCTTCAGCACTCAAATTAATAAAACTCTGGTACTGTGTGAAAAAAAACACAGACACAGGTTCAGAGAGAGAGAGAGAGAGAGAGAGAGAGAGAGAGAGAGAGAGAGAGAGAGAGAGAGAGAGAGAGAGAGAGAGAGAGAGAGAGAGAGAGAGAGAGAGAGAGAGAGAGAGAGAGAGAGAGAGAGAGAGGAATTAAAGAAGAATCCTGATTTCTTTTTTATCTTCAGGAGGTTTTTGAAGATTTAGCATAAAAACCTTAAAATTAACTCTGAAGCAGACAAAACAGAAAACAAACATGATGTTCTTTAATCTCTGAGTTTTTAAGTGCTGCTGAATTTTACTCTTTCAGGTTTACAGTTCACACCGATTAAAACCTTCATATTGATCGGATTATGACAGAATGAGAGCAGGAGTAAATGTTAATGTGTCATAGCATAAAAATGATGTCACTGAAGTGTCAGTAAATCTAAATATCTATCTACTCTATATCTAGAAAACAAGTGGTCCCAGTATTGACCCCTGAGGGACTCCACAGTTTAATTTGGAGTCAAAACATGACACAAGAAAATGACGAGAAACTGGTGAGGAGGCTAAAAACAGTTAATAATAATAATAATAATAACTGAGAGGGTTAAACAAGAGGTATGTAGGCAAAAAAATAAATAACTAAATAAACAAATAATGTCAAAGCAAGTCTGGAAAAGATGTGATTTAAAAGATGTTAAGATGAGTTCAGGGGGACTAATTCGAGGAGATCACGTGTCGTCTGATTTGTTCGTTGAATCTTTTATTTCATTTTGATCCGGAACGGCAGCTAATTCCTACCAGATCCATTTGTGATCCTCCTCTCTTCTTCCTCTGAGAGTCGCCCCCTGCTGGCCCTGACAGAGAACGCCAGTCCACTCCTTCACACAGTCATCCGTGTTTTTGGAGTCGCAGCGACACCACCTGCTGGGAAAAACTCGACCGTGCGCTTCAGCTCTGTTTCCATCAGCACATGCAGACAGACAGGAAGTGTGTGTGTGTTTGTAACAAAGACGGAGTGTGTGTTTGTTGTTGTTCGCAGAGGACGGGACAGCAGCTAAAGAAATAAATAAATGTATGTTTGTGGTGAAGAAGAGAAAAGAGAGAGTTGCAGAAAGAGTGAAACAAAAGAAGAATAAGAAGAATAAGACAGATAGACAGATATCTGCCTGAGAGTAAAAAATTCATTTTGAGGCCGAGAGCAAGTTTGGATTTCAATGATTAATTTATCTGTGCAGCAGTCCCTCAGGAGGCGAGTGTGTGTGTGTGTGTGTGTGTGTGTGTGTGTGTGTGTGTGTGTGTGTGTGTGTGTGTGAGTGTGTGTTGTGTGTGTGTGTGTGTGTGTGTGTGTGTGTGTACGTGTGTGTGTGTGTGTGTGTGTGAGTGTGTGTGTGTGTGTGTGTGTGTGTGTGTGTGTACGTGTGTGTGTGTGTGTGTGTGTGTGTGTGTGTGTGTGTGTGTGTGTGTGTGTGTGTGTGTGAGTGTGTGTGTGTGTGTGTGCCTCCTCCACCCTGTTTCCCCCTCAGGATGGTTGTAGCCGATGGCAGCCTAGATACAGTAGAACACCAAGTGCTCATGGGTAAAAGGATGGAGAGAGAAACACCGACTGAAGGTGTTTGAAAACGTGTCAGGAGGAGATGAAGTTACAGATACAGGAGGAGAGACACACACAACGAAGACTGACAACGTTATATTATATTATATTATATTATATTATATTATATTATATCATATTATATGATATTATATTATATCATATTATATTATATTATATTATATCATATTATATTATATTATATTATATTATATTATATTATATTATATTATATTATATTATATTATATTATATTATTTTATATTATATTATATTGTATTATATTATATTATATTATGTTATATCATATTATATTATATTATATTATATTATATCATATTATATTATATCATATTATATTATATTATATTATATTATATTATATTATATCATATTATATTATATTATATTATATTATATTATATTATATTATATTATTTTATATTATATTATATTGTATTATATTATATTATATTATGTTATATCATATTATATTATATTATATTATATTTTACTATATTATATTGTATTAACCACAGGTCCATGAAAGAGGGTCCAGAACTAGGTTAAGGTTTTCTGGTCTCGGTCCTCCTGCTGGACTTCTCTTTCACCGCAGGAAGGATCAGATATTTTTACACCTCAGCAGATCTACTGTAAATCAATCACAACATGTTTGATTAGAGTTTATAAATCTAAATCAGACAGAGAATAAACTTTTACTTTAAACTCTCAGTTCATTTACAGTCACAGTTTAATCAGACTAAACTCATAATTCGGGTCTGCACAGACCTGCTCCTCCTCTTCCTCTCTGATATGAAGATCAGACCTCTCTGTTCCTCGTAGATCTCTCCGTTCGTTCACATTCTCATGCTCTATCTCAGCCTCACTAACTCTTTTCCTCTTGCCTGACCTCTCTGTCGTTTCTCCACCTCTACCCTCCTCAGACACTTTCAAACTTTGACTTTCTCTCCGTCTGCAGAGCTGCAACCATCCAGAGATCCCTCCACTCTGCCCTCCTCTCTCTCTTTTGAAGTTTTCTGTCCATCCCTCCCTCTTTCGTCCGTCAGTCCTTCTCTCAGTCAGACCAGGCTCTTCCTCCTCTAGACCCAGGACAGGCGGGAACCTAGTTTCCCCCACAAAACTCCATGGGGGACAGATTTCAGTGTTGCACATTAAATTATTGATGAGGCTTCGTGCAGAGGGACAGAAATCTCTGAGGGACTCCTCTGGATCTCTACTCGGCTCAGAGAGTCTGAAAAAACAGAAGAGGACCTGAATCCTGAACAGGAGATCTAAACCAGAACCCTGTTCACGGTCAGGCCTCTCAAACACTCACACACCCCAGCTTTGGAGTTTGATCAATCACAGCCTAGTGTCTCAATAGTGGCCTCTAGAGGCAGTACAAGTCATTACACCTCCATGAAAATGTGACACTGCAGCACACATCCTGGTCTGTCTTCAATCTGGAGATCTGGAGATGTTTGCTTCAAGGACTCTGTGGACACGTTTCCTTAAAAGATGAACACTAAAGTTTTAAAATTATGAGAGAATTTAAGAATTTTTATAGCATGTGTGTTTAAATGTTTGCAAAGAGAATGAAGACAGTTTGTTACCTCTGTGATCTCAGTGATGAAAAACAGGAAAATAACATGAAGAAGAAGAAGAGAGACGCTGCTGCTCTTTTCTTACTTACAGGTAGTATAGGTCTGCATACAGGTGTGGAAAATGGTAATTAAAGGGTTAACCCGTGTGTGTGTGTGTGTGTGTGTGTGTGTGTGTGTGTGTGTGTGTGTGTGTGTGTGTGTGTGTGTGTGTGTGTGTGTGTGTGTGTGTGTGTGTGCTCGTCCCTGCTGACTATTAAAAGTGGAACAGCAGCTGGTCGGAGCTTCTGTTTCAGTCTGTCAGCTCAGTTATTAGACAACACTGGATGACTAACACACCGCTGGGCTGTTTACCTGCACCGGGGAATACACACACACACACACACACACACACACACACACACACACACACACACACACACACACACACACACACACACACACAGATACAAACACCTGCATCCTCCTCCTCATCTTCTTCTTCTTGGAAATATTGAGACACTTGTTGTTGTTCGAGGACTAAAGTTTGGAAACTCTCCTGATCCTGAAGTGAAGATCTCCTCTTCTTCTTCCTCCTCCTCCTGCTCCTCCTCATCGTCGTTGAGATGATCTCAGATGTCTGAAACTCTGAGCTCTCCCTCTCCTCCTCCTGTGTCCTTCTGCTCCTCCTGCACCTTCGTTCCTCCTCTTCCTCACCTCCAGAATGAATAATTCCTCTCCATGCTCATTGAGAGCGTGTTTTCAGCATCAGTATTCCTTCTCCATCATGTTGCCCATCGGGATAATGGGGAAGCTGCTTGTTGTTAAAACTGACTACCTGCTGAGCTCAGCAGGGGAGCTGCATGCTAATCTGAGAGGAAGAGGAGAAGAAGGAGGAGAAGAAGGAGTTGATTCATTGGCTAAAATACCCCTAAACCTCTGGAGGTCTGATGTGGAAGTTTAGTCCTGTTTTCATATTCACACTCAGGATGGAAACACCAAAAACAACAAACACAACAAAAATACCAAATATTTTTAAAAATGACAAAATCATCAAAAACACCAAAATCGCCAACATTGCCAAAAAAACGCCAAAACCACCACAATACAAAAAAATGAAAAGTAACAAAAACACCATAACCACCAAGACATCAAAATACCAAAAATGACAAAATCACCAAAAATACAGAGAAAGCCAAAAACACCAATAACAAGAAAATAACCAAAAAAAAACCTAATAAACAAAAAATGCCAAAAACACCAATAACACCAGAAATACCAAAATACTTAAGACACCAAAACATCAAAAAGTACCAAAATCACCAAGAACACAAAAGAAACCACAAAAAACTAATAAACAAAAAATGCCAAAAACACAAAGAACACAAAAATAACTGAAATACCAAAAAACGAAAAATACAAAAAAATGCAAAAAATACAAAAAAACACCAAAATCACCAAAAATACTAAAAACGCCAAAAAAGCACAAAAATACCAAAATTTATCAAATTTACGAAAAATGCTAAAAACACCCAAAACAACAAAATCACCAACAATACCAAAATCACCACAATCCCCACCCAAAAAATACCAAAACATGAAAAATACCAAAAACACCAAAATCACCAAAACACCAAAAACACAGAAAAAAACAAATACACCAAAAAAATGCCAAATGCAACAAAAACACCAAAAATACTCACAACATAAAAAATACCATAATCACCAAAAATACCAAAAGATTTTTAAAAAAAAAACATTTAAAAAATGCAAAAAACACTGTCACCAAAAATACTAAACACAACAAAAATACCAAAAACATCTAAATCAGCACAATCCTAACAAATACCAAAATCACCAAAATTACCAAAAAATACCAAAACACCATGTATAGATGTATAGATAACCAGGCTATAGAGGACTACCAAAATACCAAAAACACTAAAAAAATACTGAAAATCCCAAAAGTACCAAAATCACCAAAAACACAAACCTACTCTCTACTCTGCAGGAGAAGAATAACAGGACGACCATGTTTATGTAGAAAATATCAACACTGTTTAAACTCACAGATATCCACAATGAAAACAAAAACCACAAATGTTCTTCTCTGCAGACAGTGAACCTCTCTCTCTCTCTCTAAACCAAACCGCCATCTTGAAGGTCCAGGATGTAAATGATGGAGGTGTTCTGGAGCAGCTGGATCTACTCTTCAGTCCATGAATAATGTAGACTTTGTGGAGGGCTTTGACAGGATGTCAGGACATGTCGTTTTGAACTCTGCAGAAGTTGGGCTTTGACTGCTGAAGAAACAGCAGCTCTGATTCTTTCATCGCCACGGTGACAGACGTGTGAGCAGCACGGGCCGAGGAACAGCTGTCAGTCAAAGTTCTGCACAAAACACAGTCAGGAGGCGGAGACGAAGGAGACGAAGGAGACTCTGCAGCTGAAACTGGACCTTCAGGGGTTCACGAGGACCAGACCGAGTCCTGAGGACCCTCTAACGCTCGTAGAACCCGCCCTGTCCTCCATTACTCATGCATCACACACGTTCAGAGCACAGATGGAGACACCCACAGGTGTGTGAAGACAGAGGTGAACAGGATGACCACAAAGACATACACACACACACACACACACACACACACACACACACACGCTCATAAAACAACACAAGCCCACCACAGCTGCAGCTCTTTTTAATGAGTTACTGTTGGATTATTTAGCAGGCATCACTGTCAGTGTGTGTGTGAGTGTGTGTGTGTGTGTGTGTGCAGCAGCAGTATCTGTACATGAAGCTGAGGTGAGTTTTTTTTCTTATTTCATATAAAAACAGGAAACTCAGACTTTAATCTGACCCTCACGGCCCCTAAAGGGTTAAAGTTTGTGTCCTTTGTTTTCTCATGAAGGTCGATCTGTTCGATCCAGGAGGAGTTTTTCCTGCTGAGATCATTTCAGTCTTTTTACTTCATCTTTGTGCCTAAAACAGCCGTCATGGTTTACTGCCGTCTTCACCAACATTCCTGAAAAAAACCCACATTGATTAGAAATATTCTGGTCCTAAACTCATCGAGCAACCTTCGTCTGAAAAGAGAAAATAGATCAGAGTTTTGGTATTTTTTGAATTTTTGGTAGTTTTGATATTTTTGATGGTTTCTGGGGGTTTTTTTTGTGTGTGTTTTCGGTATGGGGTTTTTTTTTAGGTGTTTTTGTTATTTTTGGTTTTCTTGGCATTTTTGGTGTTTTGTGTATTTTTTGTTATTTTTGGTGTTTTGTGTATTTTTTTGTATTTTTGGCGTTTTTAAGTAGTTTTGGTATTTTTGGTTTTTTTTAATGGTATTTTGGGTGTGTTCTGTAATTTTCATGTTTTCAGGTTTTTTGGAGTTTTGGGTATTTTTGTTATTTTGGGGGGTTTGGGTTTTTTGGTATCTTGGTATTTTGGGGATTTTGTTGTATTTTTGGTGGTTTGGTGTTTTTGATAGTTTTTGGTATTTTGGTGATTTTGGTGTTTTTCGAATTTCTGGTATTTTTTGTCAAACTTTTGATGAATCCCTCGTTCTGGACTCACCTGCAGCTGGTGTCTTTCTTCGTTCCTGTAGTTTTTTCAGGTGTTGTACCATCAGAGTTCATCTTTGTTGTTTTTCTGCAGAGGAGGCGTCACTTTCCTGCAGCTGGAGAGAAACAGAGATTTCCTGCTGACCGGTGAGTCAGTCTGTCCTGATGTGAGACTGAAACATTCGGGTCTATGAAGACATCAGTGCGAGTCGGTGAGGCTGCAGAAAATCAGGAAAAGTGTGTAACATTATTCAACACTGTTTTAACATGGAGAGTGTCAGATACACAACTACTCAAACATGCAGATTTGTCTCTAACTCACTTTTTTACGTCTGTCTTCTGTTCCTCATGTTCTGTTCATTCCTGTCCCGCTTGAATCCAGAATATCACGTCACTAAATTATTACTGATTCATGCTCGGGTATTTAAACCGTTCGACTAAAGAGGTAAATCTAAAAAACACGATCAGGGTCAGAATCAGACGGGTTACGAAGAAACAAGACGAACGCTGGAGCGAGACCGAGAGAGAATAATTCACGACAAAATCAAAAGTTCTTCAACAAAAACTTTTCAGACATTGTTTAAGAATAAAAAAAAACCTTTTCCAGTTTCATCGATTGTTCTGCTTTGGTAAATAAAAATTGGATTTCTTTAAAGAATCAAATTGTTTCCTCAGTTTCTCCAGTTTAGTGTTTTTTTTTTACTGTCTACAAACACAAAAGTGATTCTGCTCATAATGGTTCTTTTCAGAAAATAAGTGGAAGAGAAATGATGAAAAAGTTTGAACCAAAACATCCTCAAATATCTGAGATGGAGATTCAGTTAATCCTCATAAACGAAGGAGGACAGAAATACAAACATCATTATTATTTTTAGACTGAGAGAAACTTTCTTTGATAAAAACTCAAGACTGTTTTTTTTCTTTATTTCTGTTTCCTTTTGTCGCAGAAATATTGACTCGAACTGACGGTGGAGACGGGTTCGCAGATCAGGGTTCATTTCCTCATAAAGGTGATATCTGATTGGTCAATCCATGATGACACTGTTTTATAATTTTGATTTATCTCTTACATATCCAGACCTCTCCTCTGCTGCTGCTGCTGTTTGTATTCCCTCTCACGTCGACGTCCTTGAACCTGCAGCTCTGCAGGAAAATCATCATATTTACCAAACAAACAAACACTCACGACACACACGTTTAAAACATGAATCAAAGGTGCAGAATGTATAATTTAGCAGAAGAACAGAACAGATCGTATGTTTAGAAGGGAAGTCCACAGTTCTGTATGATCACCGCAGCAGCAGAAAAACAAGCGGGTGAAAATACGCAGAGAGGACTGAGTCTAAGACAGAAACCTGCGGCTCTAAAGTCCAGGACAGAAACAATCATCGCCGCTCCTCCGTCACAGCCTCATCTTTGTGAACATCTCGTCTAAAAACAGATCTTTAGTTTTTATGTTTCATGTTCAGACTAAAACCCTGAAAGTCTCGGTCTGTGTGTTTTTATAATCTGTATTTTGTTTCTCTCTTTTTTCTGTTTCAGGCTGAAAATCTGATCAAACATGTTTCTATTAATATTAAACTGTTAATACTCTGCAGGGTTGGTCGGCAAACAGCAACCTGATTCAGTTGCTGTTGCCTGGCAACCGGGGTAAGCAGGCTGCAGCATGAGGAGCATGATGGGAAGTTTATAATGAAAAGTGCATCATAGTGGAAGAAGAAGAAAGAAAAAAACGATTTTTCTGGAAACAAAAAGAAGAAAAATGTGATTTTATTCTCAGGTTTGAGGAGATAAAACAAACATCATCAGATATTAAACATGTTTAAACTGTTTCCTGTCGACATAAATCTGTAAATGTCATTAATTTACACTTTTCGGACGAACAGTTTTCCTTCAGTTTCCTTTTATTAAAAACGGTTGAATCTTCTTTCTCTTTTTCGCAGTCCTGTCACCATCACACCATCACAAGGTCTCATTTTTGCTCTATTGTGAACACACACACACACACACACACACACACACACTCTTCTCTGTTGATGCGTTCGAGGACAGCATCAGAAGTCAGAGGAGGAGGAGGAGATGTTTGTTTGTTTGTTGGTTCTCAGAGGCTGAGAATCAGAGTTTTTGTCTGTTTCTCTTCTGAACTCTTTTCTTTCCTCTTTTTTTTCTTCTTAATCCTCAACATGTTTTTTTTTCTTTTCTGACTCTCACAAAAAAACCCCTCAGACCCCCCCAGACTCTGCAGTCTTCACTTCCTCAGAGCCACAGCGCCCTCCACAGGATCATTACAGAAACAGCACTGACGTGTGTCTGAGAGGATGAGTTTGAGATTAATGAGACGCTCCGATCTCTGGAAATATGAGGAGGGGAGGACGGGGACCGACAGGAGGACTGTGGAGGACAGGACCTGGATCTGCACATATGGGTTCAAGAATTGATGACATGTTAAGGTCTGATTGGCTGAGAATTGGTTTCACTCAGCCAAAGAAATGATAAAGAAATGATCATAAATGTTCTTCCTTTAGCTGCGGCACCCCGCTGTAGTCTGTAATGGACTGGCCTGAGGTCTCTCTACAAACAAGCGTCTGCTGGAAGAGAGTAGGTGAGTTGTGTTTAGTCTCTTTGCTAAAGAAATGAGGCAAAGTTAAAAAGATGTTTGGTGTCTAGTACTATGTCTGTGACCCTATATGTCCTGTTGATGAAGTTAGGTGCTGTTCTGAGCATTATTTGTGGCTATAGAGTGGCGTTTTGGTTGAGGTTTGTTTACTGCTCCTCAGACCGCTGTGTTTGTTTGGTGTTTTTGGTATTTTTGGTCTTGTTGGGTGTTTGGTAAATTTTTGGTGTTTTTAGTGATTTTGGTATTCGTAGTTTTTAGGTGATTTAGTGTTTTGGGGTATTTGTGGTATTTTTGGTATTTTTTTGTATTTTTGGTGTTTTGGGTAATTTTTTGTGTGTTCTTTGTATTTTTTTGGTGTTTTTGCTTTTTTGTGATTTTGGTGTTTTGTTTTTTGGTGTGATTTTGGTATTTTTGGTGATTTTTTTTTTTATTTTTTTATTTTTATTTATTTTCTATTTTTTGTTGTTCTTGGTATTAAACTGTTATCCTACCTTGCATCTGTCTTTTCTCGTCTCCCTCGTCTGTTTGTTAGTTTCTCGTCCCTCACCCCTCATCTTCTGTTTTTCATCACTTCATAAAAAATAAATAAAAAATGTCTCAAACCAGACTGAGGTTATCGTCCGACACATAAAAGATTAAATCTGATATAATTAGAGATTAATTTTCTAAAGTTTTTTAAATAAATGAAGATGTGAAACTGCAGAGAGGTCAGGTTTGGTTTCTTTATAGAGATCGGAGTTGAAAAACTGATGATAATGACTGAATGATAATCTGAGAGGTTAATGTCTGTAATTTAAAATTAAATCATAAATGAGTTTTCTAATCTCACTCTCTAATCTCACTCTCTAATCTCCTCATTTCAGAAAATCCTCTTCGTTCGGTGTGTATTTTTCTCCTCCGTCTGTCACAGTTTGGATAAAAAGTGATGAACACATGAATTCATAAACAAATGTCCACAAACTCACAGAGACGAGGAGGATAAATCCGAGGTTTCATTCAGCTCCTCATCTCGCCGCTCGCTCGCTCGCCTCGCTCTCTCTCCTCCTGAATTCATAATCCGACCTGACGCCTCTGACATCTCCTCCTCCACCTCCTCCTGCATCTATAATTAATAGTCAGTTGTCAGGGGTTACAGGAGCAGCATCAGCGCTGCAGAAACAGGTAGAGGTCACGGGGTCAAGTTATCACGGCGAGGAAAAACAAGCCCGAGTGGATCTTCTGTCAGAGCGGCCGACAGACGGGAAAACCAGGAGAGACAGGAGTTCAGGGAGGAGACGGGAGGAGAGAAGGAGGGGAGAGGGGAGAGGAGAGATGAGAGAGGAGGAGACAGGAGGAGGTCTGACAGATCCGGGAGGAGAGAAGGAGGAGAGGAGAGGAGAGAGGAGAGGAGACAAGGGGAGGTCTGACAGAACCGGGAGGAGAGAGAAGGGGTGATGAGAGAGGAGAGGAGAGAAGACAAGTGAAGGAGAGAGGAGACAAGGAGACAGGAGGAGGTCTGACAGAACCAGGAGGAGAGAGAGGAGGGGAGGAACGAAGGGGAGAGGAGACAAGGAGGAGAAACGAGGGGAGAGAAGAGAGAAGAGCGGACAAGGGGAGGAGAGGAGGAGAGGAGGTCTGACAGAACAAGGAGGAGAGAGAGGAGAGAAGGGGAGAGGAGATAAGGGGAGGAGAGGAGAGGAGGAAAGGAGAGGAGACAGGAGATCAGAGCGACCTGGAGGAGGAAGGAAGGCTGGAGGAAGGAAGGAAGGAGGAGAAGGAAAGGAAAGAAGAGAAAGGGATGATGGAAAAAGGAAGCTGGAGGAAGGAAGAAAGAAAAAGTGACAAAAAAAGAAGAAAAGAAAAACTGAGGGAATAGAAAAGAAGAAAAATGTAGCTGAGAGGAGAGAGAGTGAAAGAAGGAAAGAAGGAAAGAAGGAAAGAGAGGAGACATCTACTTTTAGAAAGTCTGGAATTATTTCAATCCTGAAAAGTGACTTTTTAATTTTTTTTCTGGAAACAAATTTTTTTAAAGTCTGAATTTTTTTTAAAGAAAACTGTAAAAATATAAACTAAAGTGAACTAAAGTGAGGACGTCTGAGGACAAGAGTGAAGTTTAGTGTTAGAGAGAGAAAAGTTCAGGACTTTAGAGAGAGAAGATAAAAACTAACTGTAAAGAAACTGTGAAGACCGGAGGGACAGTGAACGCCTCATAGATCACACACACACACACACACACACACACACACACACACAGTCAGGGTCCTGAGGGCCGATAGAGGAGGACGATCTTTCATTAGGGAGGCAACACGCCTGATTACACTGCTCACGGCCACACACACACACACACACACACACACACACACACACACACACATTAACTCTCTATACATCAGAGGACATTCACGCTCTCTCTCCAATCACCACCAATCATTGATCAACACAGCTGAGTGTGTGTGTGTGTGTATCTAAAGGAGACAATGGGGGGAGGAAGGACGGATCTCTGCTGTGAAATGAGACAAATGAGTGTGTCGGGGGGGTCTTTGTGTGTGTGTGTGTGTGTATCACTACATCAAACAGTTTATCTCTGACTTTAATATTCCAGTTTAAAATCCTCATGAGGTTCTTTGTTTGTATCCAGAACCAAAGACCAGCCCTGGGACCAGATCTACTGGACCTGGGACCAGATCTACTGGACCTGGGACCGGATCTACTGGACCCGGACTCTTTAACTTCCTGACCCTCTTCTCTATCATCGGTCTTTTTCTTTTTAAAGCTGCAGAAAAACTTTGAATAAACTCTGAGTGGATTAAAAAAAGATTCAGTTCTGACCTCGGGCAGATTATAGACCGCCGCCATCGCCGCCGCCGCTGCCGTCCGTGTTTCTAAATCTTCGCTGAGCCGGGTCTCAGAGCTGCAGAGGGTCCAAATGTGGATCATAAAGATCATGAGTTCATGTCTCTGCGTGCAGACCGGGTCGTCCAGCTCAGTTTAATCATTTTAACCGACTGAGAAACTGAAGTTTGAAAAAGAGAAACGAGCAGAAAAGTCGTTATTAGGAGGTCAAAGGTCAATAATGAGAGAGAAGAAAGGTAGAAGGAACGCCGTCTGATTTCACCCCTAAAATTAAACAATAATAATAATATTACAACAATGGACGACGCAGAGACCGTCTGACAACATCCGTCCTCCTCTCAGATCACCTGTCAGCTCACCTGGACATAAATAAATTAATTAAAAATAAAAAACTTCAAATCAGAATAAAAGAGAGTTTTTAATAAAAGAGTGAAGGTTATTGGATTGAAGTCAATGTCACAAAAAAGAAAAACTGACGTATCATTAAATTTAGACTTTTAGCGTCTTTATTCTCACAGACTAAACCATCTTTAATCTCATATTTTTGACTTTTTTAATCTTATTTTCTGTCTTTTTATCGACCTTTACTCTCACAGTTTGGATTTATTTTTATAAAACTTTCACTTTTGTCTCATAATTTTCACATTTAAAGTTTAATTTGATATTTTTGTGACAGAACTTTCACTTTATTCATGAATTTAGTTCATTGTTAAATAATTTAACATATTTACAACATAACTTTGTTTTTTTGTTGTTTAATTGTGACTTTTTTCTGATTATTTTGACTCATTTTATCGATTTTTTATCTCCTCTTTCTACTTTATTTGCAGTTACTGTATTCTGATCTTTTCTCACTTTAATGTTAAATTTAACTCGTCTTGTTTCTCTCCCGTAGAGGTGGTCTGTTTAGATCTACTCGCCTCGTTACTGTGAATCTATAATCATAGATTTTCTGCTGCAGACGTTTTTTCTCCAGATAACAAACGAGAAATATTTCAAACGCCCGGTGGTCTCTGATGCAAGAACGAGAAACAAGATATTAAATATTTCAGAGCTGAGAGTGAAACCGAGACATTTTTACCGCCGTCTAACCTGTCTGACCACGAACACGGCGAGGATCTCTGATGGACGGTTTCAAGGTTCGATGATTTTTCAGACAATTTTCACCTCAAAAACATTTCAGACGCGAACTGAATACAGAAAAACCAAAAAAGAAAAATATCTCTGCTTTAAAAAGTACAATACCTATCTATTATATTTATACTTATTTATTATATTTATACCTATTTATTATATTTATACCTATTTATTATATTTATGCTTATTTATTATTCTTATTCTGACTCTGGTTGGTGCTGCAGAGCTCTGTGAAGAAAAAAAAACCAACACAGTAAATAAAAAATGTCATTTCAGATGAACTTTCTGCAGCTGAAGCTCCTATAGAACCTGAAATAAAGTCAAATAAAAAACTGCTTCAAATCGTCTAAATTAATGATAAATTCAAGGATATTTGTGCCAAATATGAAAAAGCAGAAATCTTTAATGAATACGGTTTAAAAAGAAAATCTCAGAGTCGCCTCAAAGTGCAGAAACTCTAACAGTTGATTCTGTCAAATCTGAACTGTCGTCTCTCTAATTTAAAATAAAATATCTGATTTAAAATTTGTGCAGAAATCAGCGAAGGACCTTAAACCACGGCGTCAGCTTCAAAATATAAGTTAGAATCGACGCCAACGTTAAAGTTACGTACAGGTGACGATCTCACAGGACAAAAACACAGATTTAAGGTTATTAGGATCAATTATTGATGATAAAATGTCGTGGAACAGTTGAATGATGGGTAAAGGTTAGACACTGTTAGAAATATATGCCAAAAACACGATCAAACAAATAATACAGAGTACGGTGCAGTAATCTGATCAAACACAAAGTCATTTATACAAACTACAAACAGCACAAAACAAAGCAGCTGGAACAACACTGAACTGTCCCTATAGAGCAGGTAGCATCACAATACATAATCAATTAATCTGGTTAAATGTAAATTGTATTACCTATTAGTATCTTTCCTAAAAAGTATGATTATAAACAGAGTGACAGAAGGACTCTGTAATAAACATTAGTTTGGTTCTCAGCAGGCATCAGAGGACAGAACCGAGGCGATAAAAAGGACTGTCCTCTACAGAGAAATGATATTATTGAACTTTTTAATTTCAGACATGAACAGAAGTTAATAAACTATTAAAAGGTGTATATTTGTTTACATACAGAGGACCATGAATGAAACTGAGTTCAGCTCTTCTCTCTGATGGATGAAGTTTTCTTGTTATCCCTGAAATAAATTCTGTTTTTCTTTCTCCTCTTTTGACTTTTCTTTCTTCATCTTATTTATGTTTTGGTTTATTTTTCAACAAGCGAGAAAGAATAAGAGCTTCTGTATGAGTGAAGAGTAGAATGAGAGTTAATGTCTGTAAGTTTATGTCAAAGTTCAAAATGAAAATGGAAAAGAAGATAAAGACCCAGGAGGAGGAGTTACTGCAGATTTTGTTGAAACTGACGGTGGATCCAAAATAAAATAAAACAAATAAAACAAAACACCCTGATGATGACGATGACGATGATGGTGATGATGATGATGATGATGTACGGCTCAGCATGTGATAAAAAAGGTCCAGATCTTGTCAGTCCTGGTCAGGACTTGTAAAGGGGACGGTTTGCTTCACTTCGAGGACTAAGCGGCGGTGTGGGTGTGGGTTCTGTCACGGCTGAGGTGAGGGTTTGATCTGCGGTCTGTGTCCGTTCAATGAGCCGTTTCATTGACTTTAACCACAAAGACCAACTTCTCCTGGTTTTATAAAGAGTCTATCAAACTTTTATCACAAACTTTCAGGTCGATTTCAGAAACAAGAAACTCATTATAAAGAAACTGAATTTTGAGAGTCTGGATCAAACTAACGTCATACTAACTGGATCATACCAAAGTCTGCAGAGTCACCGACTGTAGGAGTCTGTGACTTTGGTAGACTGTAGGACTGTAGGACTGTAGGACTGTAGGACTGTAGGACTGTAGGACTGTAGGACGGTGGTCCTTCGTTTCCTTCTCTGTTATATTTTCTGTTTTGAGCTGAAAATACAAAAACAAACTCTAAACTTTTATTTTTTGGTGATATAGAAAAACAAATAAACTAAATATTGACTCATTTGTTTGTTTTTGGTTTGCGAGTTTAAATGGACAGATAAAACACGGAGCGAGGTACAAACTGACATCTTTAGTTTTGACGTTCCTGCAGAAATTCCTTCAGAGACGTTTTAAAGAAAAACTCTCAGATCTAAAAAGTCAAACGCTCTCAAAGCGTCGTCGTCTCTCATTTGTTCGTTTGCAGCCTGATTGAGTTTGCTCTAAACCTCCACAGTCAAACTAAAAGCTCCGACACGCCCAGAGGACGAGGTGTCATCTGTACGGCCCTGTCACGGCGGTCCGAGGGTTTGATCTGCGGCCCGTGTCGGTCCGCTGGCTGCAATGAGGCGTTTCATTGGCTCTAAGAAAGCGGAGCGTGCCAACAACTGTCAGCCGAGCCGTGAAGCCAAACCTCCCCACGTGCTCCAGACCGCAGAGTCAAAAGAAACCAGCCCTCCGCCTCAGACAGCCAGGGTCCTTCTGGCCATAAGGAGCCCATTATGCTCCGGGGTGTCACGCAGCCATCTTTGTGCCGACCCGCCGCCATGCTGTGGCGTTGGTAAAGGCTCGGTGGGCAGAGCGCTGGCACACGGCGCTCGGGACACGCTGCTAAATCCCATTAGAGTTCTTCCAGAGGATAGGAGGCTGCCAGTGACTGTCAGTCAGCATCAGGGTCAGTCCTCAGGGCGCCGCCACGCTTTCATCGACCTTTAAAAACCAAAATCACACGTGTGAGCGGACGAGCGTTCACCACAACCTGAGCAGGACTTCGATAAAAAACACCAACAGCAGCTTTAAAGTCTGACCTCCGAACAGATCTGAGAGAAGAAACAGCAGGTAAAACAGGTAAAACAGACAAAACCAGGAGGAGAAAAGACGACTGACTCAGATTGAAGACATTTAATAACACAGAAACGTGCAACTGGAAAAAAACTCATAAAAAAATGTTTTAAAATGTGAAAGTCCTCGAGACTATAGAAAGATTTGATGTTACAGGGATATTCCGGGGTAAAAAGGGTCAAACCCACCGAGTTAGACCCCCCCTCCAGAGATGAATGTTGCCGACCGCTTTCTTCTCTAGTTATACCAACTTTAGTAACGGCCGCAGGACAGCAATACAGAGAGCCACGCCCCCAACCAAAACGCCACTCTATAGCCACAAATAATGCTCAGAACAGCACCTAACTTCATCAACAGACTAAACACAACTCACCTACTCTCTTCCAGCAGACGCTTGTTTGTAGAGAGACCTCAGACCAGTCCATTACAGACTACAGCGGGGTGCCGCAGCTCAAGGAAGAACATTTATGATCATTTCTTTATCATTTCCTTGAAGTAATAATCACCATATTAATCATTTTACAGACGCGGTAGTTCTTCTGTCTTAGCGTCTCGGTCTGATTGTATTTCCATGAAGAAATGATCATAAATGTTCTTCCTTGAGCTGCGGCACCCCGCTGTAGTCCGTAATGGACTGGCCTGAGGTCTCACTACAAACAAGCGTCTGCTGGAAGAGAGTAGGTGAGTTGTGTTTAGTCTCTTTGCTAAAGAAATGAGTCAAAGTTAAAAAGATGTTTGGTGTCTAGTCCTATGTCTGTGACCCTATATGTCCTGTTGATGAAGTTAGGTGCTGTTCTGAGCATTATTTGTGGCTATAGAGTGGCGTTTTGGTTGGGGGCGTGTCTCTCTGTATTTCTATCCTGCGGTCGTTACTAAAGTTGGTATAATTAGAGAAGCAAGCGGTCGACAACATTCATCTCTGGAGGGGGGGTCTAACTCTGTTTGACCCTAAATTAATTTACGACAGAATATCCGTTTAAAGGAGCAGAGTTTAAAAAGTTAGAGAAAAAAATTAAGAATTTGATTTTTATTACAAACAAAAATACTTACAAGTGTCTTTTTCTTCCAGTTAGAATAAATATATTTGAACCCTTCAGAAGGTCAACAGCAGGATTATCTGATAAAGTTTAAAAAGTCAGCTGCAGTGATGTTTCTGCTCACCTGTCTCTCCTTTAATCACTATAAAACATTCATTAGTTTCATGAATATATAAATAAATTCACTCCAGTGTCTCCGGATAAAACCAGGAGGAGTGTCTTTACATTTGTCATCCCGCCTCCTTCTCTTCTCTCCTTCTCTTCCTTCCTTCCTTCCTTCCTCCCTCCCCTCCTCTCCTCTTCTGCTTGGTCGCCCCCTTGGATCGGTCCACAGAGGCGCACTCAGACGCCTCTAATCCCCTTTTGATGAACTTGGTTAATGGACCTCCTGCGGGGGTCTTTGGCTCTGTTCATTAGGCAGCACACGACCCTCTCCACGCCCCCACGACACGCAGAGCCCCCACACCCATAAATTCACCCGTCAATGAGGAGGGGAAAGTTGGGTTGACCGTGCTGGAGGGAGAGTCATGCCGCCGAGTAAGAGCCTCTTTGCGCCTTTTGTCCCGCTGGATCAGGAGGGAGGGGTCGGTACCGGAGCTCCGGTGGCTCTCCACGCTGATCTCCACGCTCTCCTACAGCGGAGCCGCACGCAGGAGCGGCCCGGCGCAGAGCGCACCAGGCGCGGCGGCTGCGACCACCGGGACCCTCCGTGCGCCATCGTGGAGCTCCGTTTGGGCCCGACCGGCGGCGCGCTGCACTACCTCCAACCGGACAAGTGCGCTCTGGAGCGGGCGCAGAGACGGCGCCGCCTCGCTGCCAACGCCCGGGAGAGGAGGCGGATGCTCGGGCTGAACATCGCCTTCGACCGGCTGAGGAGCGTCATCCCCAACCTGGAGAGCGACAAGAAGCTCTCCAAGTCCGAGACCCTCCAGATGGCGCAGATCTACATCTCCACCCTCAGTGAGCTGCTGGAGGAGGGGGCCTGCGGGGCCTCCGAGCGGAGTCCAGGGGCCACTCCACCTCCACCTCCAAGGGGGACCAAACCTCTGAGCGGGGAGACACCAGAACCAGAACCAGAGAGGGAACCGAAGAGCGGAGCGGAGGACTTAAGATGAACTAATCCAGAAATCCAAGACTCTGTAAAAATGTTGTTTTTTTCCTCCTGAAAGACTGATTTTAGTTTTTAGTTTAATGTCCTGATGAAAAATTGAGGGAAAGTGAAATTTTGGAAACAAGTTCAAGAGAAAAATGTATTTAAAGTGATTTGAAGGTCATGGTTCGTCTAAAACTTCTTTATTTTTATATTAATGTGTTTCTCCTGATGATCAATATGAAATGTTGTAAAAAAAACTTCAGGTTTGACTTTATAAAGATGTCTGAACTGTTTCTGGATGAAATCATCATCATGGTCCCTGTAGTGAGTAGAAAACAGAGAGACAGAGGAAGTACTGAAAGTAGCAATTTTATTATTTTAAAATTATGTACAAATAACCAAAGACATCAGTCTGCAAATTGGTACAAAGATCAAGTTTTCCTGCAGTCGGCTTGTTAAGAAGCTCTCTGTCTGTCTGTCTGTCTGTCTGTCTGTCCAAAACATCAACACGACGACGTGACGACGACGTCGACGACCGGGAGGAGAAAAGGCTTTAGAAAAGGAAAAATAGAGTCCGATTCACAAAAGTAGAGTCTAGCCGTCTAAACTTTAATCCACCCCCCCACCCTCCATCACACACCTCCCACCGTCCCTCCCCCTCCTCACCTCCTACACCAGGAAATCAATCTATGTACAACATCTATGTACAACAAGCTCGTCCTTTCATTCTTCAGACGTCTGTGAATAAAGCTTTGTAAACTTGAAAACAACAAAGGAGTGTGTGTGTGTGTGTGTGTGTGTGTGTGTGTGTGTGTGTGTGTGTGTGTGTGTGTGTGTGTGTGTGTGTGTGTGTGTGTGAACATGGTGATGGTCACAGGAACAAAGATCAGGTACCAGGATGAACATGTTTGATGACGACGAACGCCGTGAACTTAAAACTTCGACTTTAATGGAAGAATCCGAAGAAAACAAACTTTTCTGCTCCAGCTGAGATGATCGGAGGAAAACGACAGAGGGGCCGAAACTCTGAGACAGTTAAAGGAAGTCATCTTTTCAAAATAAAAGCTGAATTTGCTCAGAGGAAATCAGGGATTTAAAAAAAAACTAAAAATGTAAAAACAAGAGAAATGATGAAATTACAAACGAGACATTCGTGGATTATTCTGGTCGACGTTTGTGTTTTCTGTTTCAGTCCTTCTTCTAACCACCAGATTAACTCCTCATTAATAAACCAGTTTTACTTTCACTAACCTCAGTATCCCAGTTTTTGACCTTTTTAGGAGACAAACTGCAGCGATTTCTAAATCTGAGGAGAGTGAGACCGCCGCAGTTTCATCGGTATTAAAACGCCACCACTGCGCCGTAGATTCAGGACGTCTAAATCACGTCTAAATCCCGTTTAAATCCCGTCCATGGACAGGAGAAGAGAGCGTCAGTAAATATTAAAACAGGGACGTGTTTATAATGTTGTATTTCTGAACTATAATGTAGTTTAATAACGTTCATATCTTTGTGATTTCATTTCCTTTAAATTGTGTCAGATTTTCACTTTCTCAGGTTTTTATTCTCGTCACAGAAACTTTCATCTTTTACCATCATGACCTGATTTTATCACGACTTTTTATTTTCAGTCGTCTTAAAAAAAAAACAACGTTCTTTCTCTGACCTGAACGAGGTTTCTCAAAATTAGAAGAACTTTGTTTCTGAAGTGGAAATATGATATTTTTGAGCTCAAACACACAAACAGGATAACTTCGTGTTAAAGCCGATAAACCCTGGGATACCGAGGTCGATGTAAACACTCTTTAAAGCTACACTCAGCGACTATAGGAGGAGTTATTCCAGCGTTTTCTGAAATGTTGGATCTCTGTGTTTCGTCTTTTCTGAAAACTTGTTGGACATGAACTTTGAAACTTTTCTTCACCGTAAAAATTCGAGTCTCATCTTCTCGCAGTTTGAACAAAAGAAATCGTTTTTAGGACAGAAGGATCGGAGCGGATCCTGAAGGTCAGGAACTCTTCACCGTAAACTTCTGGGTCTCACAGCTGGAGCTCTAAATCTGAAGTCGACCCCTTAGACCTCCAAACTAAAGGAGACCACTTTGTCTCTCCCTCTCAGCGGTAATGGAGGGCTCTTCTGAGCGCGCACACGTGGACGGTAATTGAACGGACCTGAAGGAGGACAGGTCGAGACCCAGAGGGCCGGAGTCCCGCTGAGACCCGGAGCTTTGAAGTGGACTGAGACCAGGATCGATTCTTTAGAGGAGAAACTTTCTTCAGAGTTTCTGTCTCACCTGGAGGGTCACTCTGCTCCGCTCTCGGGGGGTTTCTGCGAGCGTTTTCTTTGGAGGTTGAGGAGGTTTGAGGAGGTTTGAGGAGGTTTGAGGAGCGGCTCTCAGAGAAAATTTCTGGTTGTCTAAAGATGAAAACACTTTCAACTCGACCCCACGCCAAGATTGAGGCAGAGAGACCACCTCCACTCCACAACAACCTGTCATCTCAGGTGTGGACTCGGGCCGGAGAAGATCAATACTTCTGATTTCTCAGCCTCGGCCGTCCTCTCCTCGCCACAAAGCCGAGGGTCAGAGCGCTAAAACAGAGATGAAGGAGAAGACGGCGTGGAGAGCCATCACGGCGGTCAGGAGGTTTCTGTCTCTGCAGCACTTCAGTTGTTTTGATGATTATCAGCTTCAGAGAGAGCGAGGCTTTGATGAGAGGCTGCAGAAAACGGCAGCTCCACTCCAGTCTGTCCCCGATCAATACCAGGAGGGAGGAGGAGGAGGTGAGAGGAAACTTTGAGGAGAAATCCAGCGAAAAAACAGATCGACTCGGAGCAGGAAAACAGGGAGGGGAGAAACGACGAGACCGACTCTGGAGACTAGAACCTGATCAGAGCGAAGAAGCTGGAGGAGAACGATCAGGAACGACGTCTGAGAGACAGACCCCGGAGAAAAGGAGGAGAAAACAACAACAACAACGACGCCTGTGTCCAGCAGGAACAAAGTCTGAGGTGATCATGGAGATGGTGTGTGTGTGTGTGTGTGTGTGTGTGTGTGTGTGTGTGTGTGTGTGTGTGTGTGTGTGTGTGTGTGTGTGTGTGTGTGTGTGGATGACATAGGCTTCTCTCTAGCAGTGCTCCAGATAGTCAATGATCCGGGAGATGGACTTCTGTCCTGTGGTGCCGACGTCACACTGCAGAGAGAGAGAGAGAGAGAGAGAGAGAGAGGGAGAGAGAGAGAGAGAGAGAGAGAGAGAGAGAGAGAGAGAGAGAGAGAGAGAGAGAGAGACAGAGAGAGAGAGAGAGAGAGAGAGAGGGAGAGAGAGAGAGAGAGAGAGAGAGAGAGGAGAGAGAGAGAGAGAGAGAGAGAGAGAGAGAGAGAGAGAGAGAGAGAGAGAGAGAGAGAGAGAGAGAGAGAGAGAGAGAGAGAGAGAGAGAGAGAGAGAGAGAGAGAGAGAGAGAGAGAGAGAGAGAGAGAGAGAGAGAGAGAGAGAGGGAGGGAGAAACAGACAGAGAGAGAGAGAGAGAGAGAGAGAGAGAGAGAGAGAGAGAGAGAGAGAGAGAGAGAGAGAGAGAGAGAGAGAGAGAGAGAGAGAGAGTGAGAGAGAGAGAGAGAGAGAGAGAGAGAGAGAGAGAGAGAGAGAGAGAGAGGGAGAGGTCAGGAGGTCAGGAGACTGAGGAACATCTGCTTCATCACCTACACGAACATCATCATCATTTCACAGACATGAACTCTTCTTCTTCTTCTTCTTGAATTTTCCTCCTGTCTGATATTTCTGTGTTTCTGTTTTCAAACTTCTCTTCAGGATCTGAGCGACACTTCCTGTCACATTTACTGCTATTAGTAAAAAAAAAGTGGAACTATCCCTTTACCCCTCCTCCTGTGTTAGAGTCCGCACCGACACGTTTTTGATCTTAAATACTTTAAAGAACCACTTATATTAACTTTTTACATCAAGACTTTTTGACTTTGTCAGGAACCTCTAAATCAACAAAATAATAATAAAAACATTTATTGACTAAATTATAAAATACTCTTATCAAAATTATGGCACTTGTCGTGTTAGAGTCGCTGTTGACCCGGTCAGATCAATATCTAAATATCAGAGAAAAAACTAAAATCATAAGAGCACTGATGGTCAGATCCTCTTCATGTTTTTCTCTGTCTGAACATGTGAGATCAGGTCAGTATAGATGTCTGTGTGAGGCAGAGGACCACAACAAATACTATTATAATCAATATTTTCATTGATAATGAAGCTGAACAAGGAAACCTGGAGAGGAGAACCAAACTGGATGATAGAGAATTTGTTTTTGAGGAATTTACAGCTGATTTAAGACACGGGTCCAAACCGACCCTAAACACGGTGGGTGTTCAGTAAAAGCTAAAACAGGAGGAAGGTTAAAACTGTAAACTCAGAGCTGAGTCTGTAAGGTCTCCTCCTCTCCTGAATCCTGTCTGAGTGTGCAGCAGCTGTTAATGTTGAGGTTAATTCAGTGTGGATCTGAGGAGTCGTAAAGGTTGTTGGATCAGGTCTGAGGTTCACTGAGACTCACCGTGAGGTTCATGAAGTTGAGGAACTTTTTCAGCATTTCTGTCATGATGGAGAAATCTCCTTTGGGCAGGTTTTCTCTCACAGTAGTCACATTCAACTGAGGAGGAAGAGACATGAGAGAACACAGAGTTAGGAGTCTGATCTGGATCTGAACCTGAGGAGAGGAGGTCTTTGTGGACCTGAGGAGGACTCACCGAGCTCCCCTGACACAGGCAGCCCAGCAGCAGTGCTGTGTATGAGGCCACGATGCTGTCCTCCATGTGCTTCCCTGCGTGCTGCAGAGCTGAGGAGGAGAAGAAGAAGAAGAGACTCTCAGTCCTCGTGGGTCTCAGAGTCTCAGAGTCTCAGATTCTGGTCTGAAGGTCCTCACCTTTGTTGAGGTCCAGCTCCTCGTCCTCCTCGTCTTTCTGCTTCTTCTTCGCGTCCTCTTGTCTGTTCGCGTCCGCCTCGTTGTTGTCCTTGGAGACCCACTGGATCTCGCCGCCCGTCTCCTGCCACTCCCCGCTCTGATCCAGCGCAGGCTTCGGCGCCTCCTTGATGAGGTCATCGGTCTGCGCCTCGGCCAGGACAGCGGCGCGCTCTCGCTGAAGAAACAACTGAAAACAAAGACGGTTAGACGCTCGTCAGTCGTGTTCGGTCACTAAACTCAGAATGTTTCTTCTGATGAGTTTAAAAGTCGCTTCTTTGAGACTAAAATCAGGATTAATCCTCAGATTATCAGACTCCTAATCTGACCCTAACCTCCTCGTTTACAGCAGCGAGGAGTTCCCGCTCCTCTCGTGGTTATTCTGCTCTCCGTCTCTGACTCTCACACTGACCTCCTCAGAGTCAGTCTGGATCAGACCGTCACATTAATCTGATTATGTGGGATGATCGGATTTAAACGCAGCTTTGACAGCGCTCATGGGAAACTCAACGACGGCGGTGAGAAGATCAGAGACGACTGGAGACGATTCAGCAGCTTTTAATTTACTGTTTAAGACGTAAATGTGAGCCAATCAGAAACCGACCTGATGACGGAGACTTAACCTCGGAGGACGTGTCCTAACACACACACACGGTCGTACCTGTACAAGTGCAGCGATGGCGCTCAGCGGGCCGGTGCTGCTGAAGTCCTGGTGCGTGGGGCTCATCAGGACGGTGGAGTTGCAGGGACCCTGACCTCCCTCCATCTCCATCTCCATCAGGCAGTACTTGTTCCTGGCGCTGTACTCCACCAGGTTGATCAGCAGACCCAGACCCTGAGGAGGAGGAGCAGAGACAGGTCTTCAGCTCTGACATGTAACCCTGCTGTCTGAGATTTTATCGTCAGTGTTTCAGGTCAGATCTGAGTCGATGGTTAAATGTGTGATTCCTCACCAACACTCGGATGTCGAACCTCTGCTCCTGTGGGAGGTACTGAGGGACTTTGAGGACACAGTTCAGAGCCGTCACGATCAGGTCCTCCTGTTCTCCTGTCTTAGTGCTGCCCCACTCTGAAAACACACAAACGTTAACACACACACATGTGTACGAAGCGACACAGTTTTCACGGCTGATGTTAAGACTGGTTCTGGTTCTGACCGTTGTCATGCGTCAGGTTGAGCAGGACTCCGATAATCGCCCTCATACAGTCCTCCACGGCTTTCCCCACGGCGCCATCTGGGTTCAGCTCCCTGCTGTAACGCTGGATCATCACCTCACACCTGCTCAACGCCCTGAGAGACGAGAGGAGAGAAGAGGAGAGAAGAGGAGGAGAAGAGGAGGAGGAAACAGAGAGCATTAAAAACACGAGAGTCTTAACGTTAAACTTCATCACTTCTGAACAAAAAGATGATGATCAGATTTCTGTTTCTCTCGTTTTTAACCAATAACCTGTTATGTTTTGGTAAATATCTATCCCTTTATTGTGATATTTCTTTTTAATGTGCAGACCTTTGAGGTCTGTGGATGTAAAAGGAAATACACATAAAATCTATCATCATTATTATTATTATTATTATTCTCGGTGTCCTCCTCAGATCCAGATGTCATCCACAGTCATCTCAGTCTAACCCTCCTTTTCCTTTTCTACTCCATCGGAACACAGAGCAGCATTCACACACACACACACACACACACACACACACACACACACACACACACACACACACACACAGAGTTGTCGGGGTCGGCTGCAGTAGCAGGTCAGCTGCCTGATGTAAATAACTAAATTACATCTAATTGCAGCAGAAAGTGAACAGAGAGTCGAAAGAACAAGGGTCTGAAGAAAAGGACAGGAGAGGGAGAGAGAGAGGAGAGAGAGAGAGAGAGAGAATATGAAAGAGAGAGAACAAGAGGAGGAGAGAGAGAGAGAGAGAGAGAGAGAGAGAGAGAGGAGGAGAGAGAGAGAGAGAGAGAGAGAGAGAGAGAGAGAGAGAGAGAGAGAGAGAGAGAGAGAGAGAGAGAGAGAGAGAGAGAGAGAGAGAGAGAGAGAGAGGAGAGAGAGAGAGAGAGAGAGAGAGAGAGAGGGAGAGAGAGAGAGAGAGGGAGAGAGAGAGAGGGAGAGAGAGAGAACAAGAGGAGGAGATAAACGGGTTCATTTTAATGGACCTCAAAGAAAAACAGAGTCGTCTTCTTTAGTTTGTTGAAAACAGAAACTGAACCGTCGACAATAAAGAGAAGAAACATCCTTTAGGAGACGTTTGGTTCCTCCTCAGAAGAAAAGGAGAACATCCACAAAGAAGAAAAAAGGACTTTTGTTTGTGTGTGTGAGTGTGTGTCACTGTGTGTGTGTGTGTGTGTCACTGTGTGTGTGTGTGTCCGCAGCAGCAGCGGTGGTTCAGGGATAATTGAATTAATCCTGCAGACAGCTGAAGAGTCGGAGAGGCCGAGGGGTGAGTTTGGGTTGAAACAATCGAGGAAACATGAGCGGAAACAACGAACGAGGAGAAAACAGACAACATGAAGAGAGAGAGGGGGAGAGAGAGAGACAAAGAGAGAGAAGAGAGCGAGAGAGAGAGAGAGAGAGAGAGAGAGAGAGAGAGAGAGAGAGAGAGAGAGAGAGAGAGAGAGAGAGAGAGAGAGAGAGAGAGAAAACAGACAACAGTGAGAGGGAGAGAGAGAGAGAGAGAGAGAGAGAGAGAGAGAGAGAGAGAGAGAGAGAGAGAGAGAGAGAGAGAGAGAGAGAGAGAGAGAAAGAGTGAGAGAGAGAGAGAGAGAGAAAGAGAGAAAGAGTGTGAGAGAGAGAGAGAGAGGGAGAAACTGTAAACAAGAGAGTAAACAGAGGAGTCAGAGTCATGTGATCACACACTAACAGCATGGATGTTTGTGTGTGTGTGTGTTACTGTGTGTGTCACTCTGAGTGTGTGTGTGTTACTGTGTTAGTGCGTGCGTGTGTATGTGTGTTAGTGTGTGTGTGTGTGTGTGTGTTAGTGTGTGTGTGTGTGTGTGTGTGTGTGTGTGTGTTAGTGTGTTAGTGTGTGTTAGTGTAGTTGAGGTGACCCTGCTGCTCCCCCCGGTGGTTTTGGGGGTTAATCGAGTTAACAGAGAGAGACCAGCTGAAGGCTCAGACTGAGGCTGCTGTCACACACTCAGACAGGAGCTCTTTGTTGAACTATTCAGCCTTCATCTTCATCATCGTCATCACCATCATCATCATCGTCGTCATCTTCATCATCACCACCATCATCATCATCATCGTCATCATCATCGTCCCCTCAGATTCAGCGGACCTGCTGAGGGGCTGAAGGTCCGATCACCCAGAGGGTCAGAGAGGAGAACTGAGACGGTCTAGTGTGAGTCTGTGTCCGTCTGAGATAATCAGAGACTTTTTAACAAACTAAAATTAAATTAAATAAAAATAAAAAATTATTTATCAGAGCAGAGCTGACAGTAAATTTAAAATTCATTAAACTAAGAAATCAAACAGATATTTAAGGTTTAAAGAAAACACGTCTGATAATGAACTTCACAGGATCCAAACAGTCTGAAGGAGGATGAGAGTGAAGATGTTTTATACCCTACAGCAGAGACGAGAGCGGAGAGTCTGCAGAGGTCAGGTCACTTCCACTCTGACAGGGTCAAAGGTCAGAGGGCGAGGAGTGGTGATGTGACTGACAGGATGTCATGACCAGGAAATTAAACAACAAAACCCTCATCAGGAGATGACGCACACACACACACATACAGACACACAGACACACACCAACATCTTCACAGTCTGAGTTTCCGTCTCCGTTCTTCATCATTAAGTTTAAAAATCGACTCATTAATAAAAAGACTTAAAGAAGAAAACGGAGATAAAAATAAAATAAACAAGAGGAGAATCTAGTGTGACTGTTTCTGTGGTCACAGGTTTTAGATCTCTGTGTGTGTGTGTGTGTGTGTGTGTGTGTGTGTGTGTGTGTGTGTGTGTGTGTGTGTGTGTGTGTGTGATTGTTGTGTGTGATTGTTGTGTGTGCTCACTTTGCAGAGGAGATGATCAGCGAGGAGTCTTTATAAGCGATCAGGTAGCTCTGGTTCTCCGGGTTGTGGACCGTCACCTGCAGGAGCAAAAACAAACAAACAAGGACGTCTTTGATCTTCTGATATCCAGAGAGGTTAACAACAACAACAACAACAACAACAACAACAACAACAACAACAAAGACTTCATAGGAGACAAAAATCCACCTTAGCATTATCATTATTAAAACAGTTCATAAATGTAAGTTTGTGAACATTGAAGCTGCTGAAAACTTCTTTTATTCCTGATGAACATCTTTAACTCTCCTCTCTGTGTTTGTAGTGACTTTGTCGTCTTTTTATTTTGTTGTTGGTTGTTCCTGTTATCGTTTCTTTTATTCCAGATGAACATCTTTAACTCTCCTCTCTGTCGTTCTTTGTTCCTGTTATCGTTTCGTTTATTTTGGCGCTTCAGAATCAGGAAATCTGCAGCCTGTGAGTTTAAGAATGTAAATAAAGTTCTAAAAATAACCACAGAGTCGAAGAACGTAGACCTTCGCACTTCTGACTGAACTCACTCACGTGTTGTTAGAAAACAAACATTAAAGCTGATAATCAGTCAGGTAACATTCAGACTGAGAGACTCTCATTTATAGTGGAGTTCTTGTTCTGGACAGAGGTTTAAATCAGGTTCAGAGGTTTTCAGGTTCATCAGGATCTCCTGTGATCTCCTACAGCTGACACAAGGAGGCGATAAGGAGGCTGAGCTCTCCTGTTCCACTCCTGTTTCACTCCTCTGAAGGTTAATGTTTCAGTCGAGTTGCTAAAGATTCGCTCGGTTTGATCTCAGCGTCAGTCCACCAATCATTTATATCTAAACCTGTGACCTCTGACCTTCAGATTTAGTTTCTGGGTCACAGTTATACATGAGCGTCACACTCATATCAACACAAACCTCATAAACATCTACTCTCTTCACTCTCTTCACTTACGCTCTCTAACACCCGTAGACACCTCTCGGCCCCCCACAGAGCAGACCCCAGCTTCTCCTTATCCTCCTCCTGGTTGAGGTTGTCCACACACTCCTTCACTGTGAAGAGAACAGAAGAGTCAACTCAGAAACTGACGACCTCCATATCATCGTTTATTTTAAACTGGACTCATCAGAACCTCTCGAACCTTTATCTACGATGTGGTCCAGTCCTCCCAGTAGCCGCAGCTCCTCTTTGAACCAGTCTCCTGCTCGCTTCGAGGTCAGTGACAGTAACGTCTCCATGGCGAGATGACCCGTCTGTGTGGAGAGAGGAGGTGAAGACATTCATCAGTGGTCCTCTCAGCTCATGAATAACTCTGCTGTACCAGTGTGGAAACTAAAGACGATTATTTAGAGCAGATATTTCACATCACTTCAGATCTTCAGCTCCTGCAGAGCGGCAACAATCTCTAACACATGTGGGTGTGTGAGAGTGTGTGTGTGTGTGTGTGAGTCATCCTGAGAGCAGAGCCGCTGAAAGGAGATCATTACTCAGAGAGGAGAGGAGGAACGATCTAAACACGGTTTCAAGGTTTCTTCACCCTCAAACACACCGAACACGGAGAAGAAACGACCAGAGTCACGAATATTTACACAGTCTAACCCAGAACTTCCAACGCATCCGGAACGCCATCCGCTAATCCCTACCGGATCTGTTTGTGAGACGAAATTCATGGTGGATTACGGAGAGCAGGAATTGCGAGAACTCACAAGAACCCGCAGATTCACGTTCAATCGCTCGATAATCGTTCAGGATGAGGTGGACATTAAGGTTGAGATGTTGTTTAAAACTGAGGATGCAGCTTCTATGATTTCCAGTTCTTCGTTGAAAGGACAACTGGACTTACCTGGGACGTTTCGCCTAAGTCCAGTTGTCCTTTCCCAAAGACATTTAGATTTAGATTTTTCTTTTGCAGAGGAACGGAAAGAAGTCGGTGTAAATCGACACGTTAACCTGAATGGTTACGATCAGCTACGATCGGAGGATACGACCTTCTTTAAGCGGTTCCGGATGAAGGTGGAGATTAGAGGTTTACACTCGTGGTTTTCTTCGTACCGTGATGTTCTGGAGGTCCAGGTGTTTGTTGTGCACCGTGTCGCACAGCTTCCTGATCCTCTCCTTCATCTTGGCGATCTCCCTCGCGCTGAACTGATTGGTGGAGTCCGTGTCCGTCACCGCCGCGCCCCCCTGGTCCTGGTCCAGCTCCAGCAGCCGGATCATGAGATCCAGACACGACCGGTCCAGATCCATGTTCAACCGGTCTCTGCTGAGGATGTACATGAGAGACGCCGTGCACATGGCCAGGTTCTGCAGAGATGAAGAACAAGAGTTTAGAAATTTGCTTACAGGAGATCTTCTTCAGGTCTGGATTTGACCCTGAAGGTTCTTACCGGGTGTTGAGGGGCGTCATTGAGGGTCTTAAAAACCTGAGCCACCTTCCCTCTGGCTCTGAGGTGCATCCTGAAACTGGGCATGGCACAGCGGGTGGCCAAGCTGATCACACTGAAGACAGAGCGGACAGACACAGAGTCAGTGAAGAATCGAGCATGGAGAAGGAGCTCTTCGCTCCCAGCAGGGGGCGTGTCAGCGGTCCTTACCTAAGGCAGCGTGTGTTGAGAGGCTGGCCAGTCTTCAGACCAGTCGCTAGATACTCAAAGTCGTCCGTGAACTCCTGGTTCTCCCCAAACTCCACCACGTCGTTGAAGTGCTTCACATGCTGGACCACCGTGTAGAGCTGGAACGAACAGAGGAGAGAGATGATGAGGAGGAGAAGATACCTCAACTACATCAGCGTCTGAAGGAGGAGTGGAGGAGTCATCTGTACCTCCTTGTGCTCTTTGCGGCACTTGAGCGCAGTGACGGTGTCCTGGTAGAGATCTGTGGGGAGGGTCACACACTTGGTGACTTTAGGAGGAGGGGGAGGAGCTTTGAAAACGTTGTCGTCCTTCTGAGCCTCAGGGGTCTCCTTCGTGGACGCTCCGGCTGCGACAGGTGCCTGATGGGAAAAAACAGAGTGAAAACATATGACTTTGACAGATCCAGGGATCAGTTTGATTGATCATGAGTGTCTGAAACCTCAGAGGAGAGTGCTGTACGAATGTTTGGGAGTTCTTGCTTACAGGTGCGGTCTGTGATCGTGAGAAGAAAGGAGGAGGGGGCTCCTCTTCGCTGTCCACCGTCCAGTGTCTGGCGTTGTACACGGCTTTGGTGGGAGACTGGAGGAAACAGAGGAGGAGAAGGACATGATGGATGTGTGTGAACATGTAAACATCTCCAAAATACTTTAAATGATGTGAAAAGATATCAGCACCAGGACAATTATCTCAAAGATATCTGTATTTATTTTATTATCAGTCGAGGTACAGGTACTTTATTCATCCCAGTATCTATTTATCTATCGATCTATCTATCTATCTATTATATCTATCTATCTATTATATCTATCTATCTATTATATCTACATCTATCTATCTATATATATATATATATATATATATATATATATATATATATATATTTATCTACATCTATCTATATCTTTATCTACATCTACCAAACTATCTCTATATATATATATCTGTCTATCCATCTAGCTAACTCTATATCGATCCAACTCTATATCCATCTATCTATCTATATATATATATATATATATATATATATATATACATCTTTATCTTCTATCTATCTATCTATATATATATATATATATATATATATAGATAGATAGATATATCTCCATCTTTATCTATCTATCTATCTATCTATCTATCCATCTTTATCTATCTATCTATCTATCTCAGTCTTTTCATAGTTTTCACAGATTTCTTCAGTACTGTAAACACCAAAGTTCACTTTCGTCACCGTTTGTCTGATTACTTAGAAAAACAAACACGAGTTGCTGAGTCTCACTGCAGTGTCACTGTTGTTCTTATTCTTATTGTCCTCCAGTGTTGATTTACTGTAAAAACATCCTTCTCTGTGATAATACCAGGAATAAAAGAACGGAGAAAACATGAGAACAGAGGAGAAGTGCTCAGAGCGAAGGAGGCAGACCTGCGGGTGTTAGAGTCCGTTTAGCTCTGGTTTAGGACTGAACAGGCGTTTTAGTTTAAAGGAGTTAAAAAAGGACAAATGGATGAAACTGTTGAGAGAGAGCCAGCACTGATCAAACAGCAGGACACACACACACACACACACTCTTAGACACACACACATACAGCCCCGAACACCACCATCATGGACCCTCATCCTTTCATCCTTGGCTCAGCTCCTCTCCTTTTTATATATTTTTGCCAAACCTGTGGTTGGCGGTTGCCGGGGTGTTAATAATGAAAAACAAAGGAGTGATGGGTCGAACAGAGGGGGAGAACGGGTGAGGAGAGAGAGAGTTGGCCGAGGAGTGGAGCGCTGAGGGAGGTGAGGGGGGATTCTGCTCCACAGGGTTAATAAGCAGAGACAAAAGAGGAGTTTGGGAGTGAGCTCTGCTGCGCTGGAACATCAACACGCCGAATTAAAGCCGCACACTGTCATCTGAATGACACAGACGGACACCTAAACCCACCCGCCCAGCCCACCGGCAGCTTCACAGGGTGAGGGAGATGAGAGCGGAGGAGGAAGGTGGGTGAGGGTGGACTGTCCCTGCATGGAGGAGCGAGTGTTTACAGCAAACACAGGAGGTTAAAATGAAGAGAAGTGAGGTCAGTCTTCTCTACATCTCTCCCTGTGAGTGACGTCCAGCCTCAGTCTGTAATGAATATATTTACATTTAAGGAGGACACCACAAATAAGACGAATGACAGGAAAATCATCCGTCTAAACTCGGCTGAAGAAGAGACACATACTCGACTTTATCATTTATTCTTTACTCTCAAAGTTTGTGTTTTTATGTCTGACTTTTTCAGCTCAGACAACATTTGAGAAGTCTGATTATCCAAACTAAAAACTAAGATCATATCCAGCTGATGGTGTGACCACAAACATATAAGGTGCTTTAATAATAATGACCGTTCAGTTCTGTTTTTATCCCTTTATCGCTGCGGCGATATAAAAGCACATCAGAGAAAAGAGCCACATGAAGCTCTGGAGAGAGAGTCGCTGTTAAAGAAGTAATAACGCTGCTTTCCCATAAAACCTTCCTCTGAATATATACCAGACACTATCTTCTAAATATGGATGGGTCCGTCCGGGCGCCATCATTATGCTAACGTCTAATATCGCGCCCAGCAGCGTCCTGGGCTGAATAACCAAACAGCACTCAGGCTGCGGCGGTGCAAAGTTGACTGTAATTGAAGCCGAGTTTTGACAACTTCTCTATAGAGTCCAGAGGCTATTGTTTTTATAATGAGTCCAACTCCACTCTGCCTTTTACATTATGTTAACTGAAGACGCAGAGAGAGAGAGAGAGAGAGAGAGAGGTAAGAGGTATAATGTAAAGACGAGAGGAAGGGATGGAGACGGAGAGGAAGAGGAGGAGGAGGAGGAGGAGGAGGAGGAGAGGACATTATTGAACTGAGAGAGAGGAAAGTTCTGAAACTGGAGAACAAGAACAAAGAGTATGAGAGAGAGAGAGCGAGAGCGAGAGAGAGAGAGAGAGAGAGAGAGAACATTCAGGAGCTGATTATCATTATTATTATTACGCTCCTATGGGTGATGTCTCTGCTAATACTGTTACAGCTGCTCTGCTGCTGCTGCTGCCAGATGCCCAGGAAATTAACTCGACATTCAGCTCTTTAAAAGTTTCCCGTCACGCATAATAAAATAAAAAAACACTCTTTAAAGTTAGATCTGCTGCTGCTGCTGTGAAGGCGAGTGACAACACGACTCCTGTGAAGAGTGAGAGACGCAGCTTTTCATTTTATAACACTGTGAATTAATGAGCTGAGTCATGATCAGGTCCAAACCTGTAAAACTAACAAATGACTCATCAGAAAATGTCGGAGCTCTTTCTTTAGGTGGAGACTCAAGGCTAAAAGATACAGGTGCCGTATTGGGCACGTATCGGCAGCATCTCGTATCTCGCAGTGAATCAGTTTCCGTTCTAATCAATGCAGCAAATCGTACAGGACGCGTTTCCATCGCAGCATCGTATCGAGGGCAGCTCTGCTAAAGATACGCGGAGAGTCGATTTTTGCTGATGCGTGTCAATCCACATAGAGAAGATCGTTCCAGACAGGAAGTCAGGAGCTGCACTACGCTGCTACACTAGAAATACGTTGATCCTGGATGAGATACCCAACGCTGCTCTACGGAGAAAATGTTTTCGGCTTTAGGTTAAGGTCATTTTTTTTAAGTCATTTTTTAAGACCTTAATTTTACAGGACAGTTGGTTTGGTCTTGGAGACAAAGATGGAGGACAGGTTGGGAACTGATGGAGTTCAGATCCAGATTCAGATCCTGCCATAAAAAAACATGGTAGTAAAGATTATTTGCCATATCGCCCGCCCCTATGTTCATCCTCATCTGAGAGCAGAGCCAGAAAACTCCATCTCTGCATTCAGCCACCAATAATATCCTCACACACACACACACACACACACACACACACACACACACACACACACACACACACACACACACACACACACACACACACACACACACACACACACACACACACACACACACACACAGTTAATGCAGAGTCAGACCGGGTTAAAGCAGACTTCCTGTCTCTGCAGAGATCTTCTTTTATAGTGAGTTACATTAAGAGGATGGTTTTAACGGATGGGAATCTAACTCTTGAAGATCTCCAGGGACACTTTCAGACCGCTGATAATAAACAATGGTGGTGGTGGTATCTGACCTTCTTGTGTGCGCTGAAGATTCGCCTGAAGGAGTCCGGGTTCTTCTCCGCCGGTTTGCCCTGAGGCGGTCTCCTGGGAGCCCCCGCCATGACTCTGAGACCTTCCTCTGAGAAGTCCACACACACACACACACACACACACACACACACACACACACACACAACACACACACACACACACACACACACACACACACACATTAATATAGTTTACAGTTTCTCAGGAAGGTTTACAATCCAGCCACAAAAACAGGTGTTTGATCAGAGACGTTTGATGGTAAATCTGCAGTGATATACGGTGAAAACAGGATTATTGATCAATAATCGCTAAATGCTGTTAATGTCTTGCGGGTTTGACAAGCTGTTTTGATGACGTCTTTTTCTGTCAAACTTTCGACCAATCACACGGTCTCATATTCTTCTCATACTCTTAGTGAACCGGATCCTAAAGATTCATAAACTGCACTTCCTCCCTCGGTCTAATAAATGCAGGTTTATTTTAATGTCTGTTTGATCAGGTCCACGCTCTTTAACCCTCATCTTCTCCTGCAAAGATCAGGACTAAGCTCTTTAACTCTCTTCTTCTATTGTTCCCTTGACGGTAGTGTCCAATAAGAGACAAGAAAGTTCCCTGTTTGTCTGTAAAATCAGAAATAATGATCCTCAATGTTTGGAAACAAGCAGAGAAGAGATTGTGAGCAGTCTGATGTGGTCCTCTGTCTCATCCCAGGAGTGGCAGAAACAACTGAAAATAGTCAAAAACGCCTGGAAGAATGAGTGTAAATATGTCAACAGTTTCTGTTGTGTGTTTGTTCCAATCCTAATATTTCTTCTCCTGATAGACAAGACTTGAAAGAATGATGTTCAGGTGAGAAAAGGCTTGGTCACTGTAGATTTATGTGGTTTTTGAGCAAAGTTCTGTTGGGATCAATTTCCGTTTTTGTTTCTTGGTTGCCTTTGAAAGTTCTGAATCTACTGTCACATTTATTTTACATCATTTTTGCTCCATAAACTGAAGCTGAGGTTGTTCAGGATCATGGTGTTACATAGAATTTTACAAAAGAAAACAGGCGGACCAAAAGAAGCAATATAGCTGGGAGTTCGAAGGGTTAATCCAGGATGGAGGTCTTTACTAGACTGGGACTGATGGTAAAAAATTAGTATTTGTGTGTGATGGTTGTTTTCCCTCTTAAACTGACGTCAGATTTATTCTCTCTTACTCCAGGTTATATCTGTCCATCACACTCGTATAATAAAGACGGTGAACTCCAAAATGAGATGGCCCCTGGGTTAGATACTGAACACAAACACAGCACTGGAATTAAAACATTAAAAAGACGTGTAGATTCGTGAAAACATGATTCTGTCCTGATGACGTTTGTTGGTTTTTATGACCTCGTTCACACCAGAGAAAACCGCGCTCTGACATTTCACACTGTGATTGGCTGCTGAGGATAATCGCAGATTAGACGACCAAGGAGACACGGTTGGTTAGAGTTGTTAGGAGACCATGCATGCTATGTGTGTGTGTGTGTGTGTGTGTGTGTGTGTGGGAGGATGGGTTCATGCTGTAGTATGCTGGTATGAGGATGAAAACAAAGTCCTCAGTGATAGTGTAGGCGCGCTCCTCTGTGTGTGTTTACACATCAACATTACACAAGCTGAATGACCTTTACTCTGCTCTACAATCACAGATGCAGCCTGGTTACACACACACACACACACACACACACAGAAAACCCTTTAATTGGTACTTGGAGTCAGAGGATGTGTGTGTTGGTGTGTGTTTTCTACCTGCTCGTATCCTGTTTTCCTGCCGCTCAGAGTTCTTCGTCTTCTCCTTCACTGTCGGTCTTTCTTGACTCTCCAACATTTCGAAAGGATCCGGAGGTTCGCTGTCGTCTGCCATTTCTTCTTCTTCTTCTTCTTCTTCTATGGTTATGGCTGGAGTTACGTTGGCCATGCCCGCCATCTTGGCCCTCCTCCTCCTCTCTTTGGAGAAGCTCTTATCGTCATCCTCCTCACTGTCGCTCATATCGTCAAAGCCAAAGTATTTTATCTTGTAACTCGATCCGCCGTCTGCGTTGTCAGCGTTGTTCTCCTCCTGAGGGACTTCTGCGTCATCGAACCCGAACAGCTCCAGCTTACTGTCCTTCTTAGACCTGGTCTGGGTCTGCCTGAACCTGAGAGAGGACGAGAAGAACACGGTTTACATCACGTGGTTCAAGAGCAGACTAAAGGAGGTCAACAGGTTCAATTCCTGCATGTTTCTCTATCAGAACATTCAGGTTTCAGGAGACGAGGTTAATCATATCAGCTCTCCAAAGGTTTATTTACTGAATAAGATTCCAGTGTTGTCTAAATTAAAGTTTTGTTTTGACCTAATGAGGAAGAAAACCTTTGAAAACTGCTCCCAAGTATCCAAGTATCATGGGTCAGCTCAATCATGGCAAAAATCATCATCACTATTACCGTATTTTTCGGACTACAAGGTACACTTCAAATCCTTAAATTTTCTCAAAAATTTACAGTGCACCTTGTAATCCAGCCCGCCTTCTGTATGATTACTTACTGACTGATTTTATGTGGTACAATGCGCTCAAAAATCTGTCCAAATGTGTAACGGACAAAACCCACAGGATCCGGAACAGCTCGGCTCCGTCACAGCAGGAAGATCAAATACACAAGAATTATAACCAATGTGAGTGATTCCATCCAATCCATCCACCGTCCTGCTCCTTCAGCGCAGCAAGAGCAGCAGAGGAAGTTGTACGCGGCTACAGAGTAAAATATCCGCTTAATTTCAAAATAAAATAAAGTCAACACATTAAACTGTTCTTAACTTGATAACAGGAGAGGCCAGGGTTGTGGGATGTGGGTGTTTATTTACACTGATTAGCAGATCTCATTCTACGACTCTCAGGGAAACACGCGAGATCTCATGAGAAATCGTCCAGTCTTATGAGAAATATCGGTAATCAGCGCTTCTCCTCTGATGGCAGAGCTGTTCATGATCCAGTGGGATTCACAGGTCAGTACGACTTTGACAAGAAACGAAGCCGCTCCGTTCAATGGATATTCAGAACATTACGGTACGCCGTGTCACTACCTGACCGGCCCGTAACCGGACCCCTGAAGTGCGTTCATGTGAGGCAGCCCGGGGCCGGAGTACGCGCTAGCAACAATAACCCAATCAACGCGCCAATGATTAATGTGCCTTATGTGTGAACATAAACACGTTAGTTCACAGTGCGCTGTATAATCCGCCTGAAAACACAGTATTTTAATTCATGCTTATTATCAAGAAGGATGTCTCATTATTTGACATCGACATCTTCCAAAACTTTATAAAACTTCAAACTAAAAACAGATTTACTCTTTTTTAAGTCGTACCAAAATCTGTCTGTTGAACTAAATACTGATAAATATCCAAATGAATGTCCTCATAAATACATATACATATTTATCCTAACATGAACAGCAGCACAGTAATGTGTTCAGTCTTAGTTATCATATTTATACGATCATAAAAAGCCGTAAACGTCATCAAAACTGAAATCTGATGAACTGAACATCCCTGATCCAGAACTCTCTGAGTTTGGACACAGTCATCTTCTGTGTGGGCAGCATCAGGTTAGAATACTATAAAAATACACATTTCAGCATGTTTCACTGGTGAACCCGACACACTGGTGTAAAGACTGCAGCTCACGTGTCGGACGGTATTTGATAATTGAGTGAAAATGACTCATGAGTGGAAGAGCTGGGGTAGATTCCTGCAGACACACAGACTGAACTGACTTCATGTTTTCTTCACACGTCCACTCAAGAGTTCCTGCTGAGGCTCCGATCGTTATGAAAACATCGTTATGAAAACATCGTTATGAAAACGCTCTGACAGAGTAAAGAGGAGAGAGAAGAAGATTTTCACCTTCTCTCAAAAACCAGGAGAGTCCAGAGGAGACAGAAGAGTCGGATCTGAACTAACAGCACAAACCTGTTAGCTCAGTTTCTATTCCTGTGACTTTGTCCACCTGTTACCTCAGAAACCATCCGTCAAATACCAAACTAACCAACTAAAGGAGGCGGCAGACCGTAAAAATGCTGTCAGTAAAAAACAAAGGTTGTTAAACTGAACAAAAACAGAAACAGGCGTCTCTGTTCCTCCTTCTTCCCACCTTGTATTTTGTTGTTCCGTCTTCTTCCGCTGCCATCCCGCCTCTCCCACCTCAGCCGGACCTCCAGACCCGGCTCCACCGCTCCCACTAGCAGGCGGTGCGTCTGTGCTGAACTCCTCCACTCCTCGGTCCTGGATGGTGACGTTGCACTTTGACACCGAGGAGGGGTGCAGCACTGTGTAGTCCCTCGTCCTCCCTCTTCCTCGCCCTCCTTCCACGCCTGTCGTTTTAGGTTTGGAAAGATCCGACCCAAACACGGAGCTGGAGAAGCCCGTGGAGTCCGAGGCTTTCCCAGAACCTTGTTTGTTGGGTCTCCTGTAAGTCCGACAGTTCGAGTTTCTGATGTGTGAGGAGGACGAGGACGTCTGCGAGTAATCTGTTGTCTCAACAAGGAAGTCTGAGTCTCCCCCGAGGTCCTCGCTCTCGCTGAGGCTCTGGAGCCGCGGCGGAGAGGGGGGCTTTTCGTGTTGGGTCTGCCCTGTTTTATAGCTGCCCATAGTGATGCCCACCGAAGTCCAGGAGAGCGTGGGGGCGGGGTTACGAGGTTCCTGGTTGGGCGATGGTGGACGGAGACCCATGATGGCGTCCCAGGAGTCATAGGTGGACTCTGCCTCTGAGCCGGTCTTCAGGGTGATGGTCTGTGCCAGGGGCTTCCTATCGCTCTCTGAGGCGTTTTGGTACCAGGAGTAGCTGTGCTGGTTCTGAGACGCCGAAGAACTCTGCTGGGACTTCCCTGAGGAGAAGACGAGAACAGAACCAGTCAGATCACACAGAGACGGGGATAGAGGACTCAGGTCTCACTCTGGGACCCACAGTTACCCATGGTCCTTAAGTCCTGACCCACTTTTATAAAATTCAAACCAAGAAAATTTAGTTTATCAAAGTATCAAATATTAAATTAGACAAAATGGAGACGAGAAAATGAAAAATGTGACTTATCTACATCTCTGCATTCAGGTCACAATAATAAGAAACAGAGGAGGACCATGTCATAACGCGTGCCTTTCAAAATAAGATATTTTTCAAAATAAAAGACATGTCAAACATCAGATGCTCATTAAATATTCACTTTTTTGAACAGCTGTTTGCGACCCTTCCAGACTGTGTCCATGACCCACTTTTGGGTCAGGACCCACCAGTTGAGAACCACTGATTAAGCCGAGATCTGAGCTGAGATCAGACTCATAGTTTTGGACCAATCAGGAAGCCTCCTCCTCATCGTCACATAAATCACATGTTGATTAAACCCTCAGAAACACTCACTGTTCTTTTAGTGGTTTTTTGGTCTGCACTTGCAGCCTCGTACAGTAGGGGGCAATACGCACGGAGTTGGTTAAAAAGAAGCAGAAGTAACCATGGCAACCGCTCCCTTCATTAACTGGGCCAACATTTGTTCATGTTCAGTGTGGACGGTCCACTCCATCCTGCAGCTGTGGGTAGTTTTCCTATTTGGAGACGCCAACAACAACAACAAGAGCGGCCCACTCACCACACCTCCTACTTTAACTTCTACCATCAGCTCAGAGGGTGAAGAAGCGGGTCGGTGCTGATCTAAGATCTAACAGAGTCCAGTTCTGACATCAGAGAGCAGTCCATGAAATAAAGCATGAGATGAGCTTTACAGGTCGACTCTGGCAGAGTGTCCAAGTCAGACTCAACGAGGTTTAAACGGATCAAATGAGCCGGACTTAACATGAACGAGTCTGAGTCTGAGGTGGACCTTCAGGACCGCCTCCACGTGACCTTCATGAACCTCAAACTCAGCTGTTCTCATCCCTCACATGTTTCTTTAATAACGCAGAGCTTCACAGTGCGACCGTTTCACTAACCCTCACTGTCAACGTCGGTGTTGAATAAGGGACCGTCAATAAATTACCAGTTGATGTTCTCAGAAAAGGCTGTTTTCCTTCAATAGCTTCACTGTCATGTGACCAACTGACCTAAAACTGATTTCTAATAATAGTACTAATGTTGACCAATAAGACAAACATTATCGGATCAATTTTCATTGTTCCCCTAAAGTTCCTGTGTGAGACACACATCTGAAGGTTTATTTCTTAAAGAAAACCAAACAGGGTTTTGGATCAGTCTGCCACACAGATAACAAACAGGGTGACAATACTGACCGTGTTCCTGTGAGCAAATACAGGAAACAGCTTCATGGCGTAACATCGAAGTTTATATTTATCTGCTCGATGGAAGAAAGTCGACCCTGTCTTCACTTCTCTAATTAGACGTAATTTATCTGAAGAACAAAAACCTTTCAGCTCTCTCTTTATGTTAACAGTCAGAGGTGAATTATTTTTCACACATGACTGTTTGGGGGTCAAAAGAAGTATCTATGCACTTATATGAAGTTTGGTTCACATTTAAACAACCCAACCCAGAGTCTGAATGAGTTTTCACAGCTTCTGGACGATCCGAGGATTAAGAGGATCAATCAGCTCAGACCTCAGTCCCGTGTCTCGGTTGGTTTTGAGGCTTTTCCTCTATTTATACATTTATTTTTGAGGTTTTGACTCCACTCGAACGATTTTACCTGAGTCACACAGAAAAGAAGAAGAATGACGGATCAGAAAAAGTTTGATCAGTCCTAAACCCTGAACACCAGGAGGAAGTCTTTCAGACGGGGTCACAGGCTGGAGTTTGGACTGATGAAGCTTCTGTGAAGACACATCAAACTGAATCTTGGGGATGGGGAGTGTTTGTCAGCTGAAGATTTCCCCCACAGCTCTGATTCAGATGATTGGATTTGTGTTTAAAAACTGAGTGGAGCTGACAGAAACTGGAGCTGCTGTTCAGTGAAAAGATCTCTTAAAAGAAAGACCAGACTGCCAAAATCCCGATCATGCAGATTTTTCTAAGCTGCTCTGTTTGCAGATTGTGAGAGCTGCATGATTTTCAAAACGCTGGCAAAATAAACTGACTGCAGACTGAAGCTGAAGCCCGGGCTTATTATAAAAATCTAACACTCAAACACAGGCGTGTAGAAATATTTCTGTTTCATTTCACACCTTAAAAGAACAGATACTTTATAAAAGGAATGATCGGGAAACTCCTCGGACACCTCTAAATACCATCAGCAGCAGAGTTCGTCAGAAAAGTGCTTCAGTCGGTGTTTCTGTTATATTTACTGAGTCAACACCTTCAGACTCGAGCACAGCTGTTGGTGACAGTCCTTCGGTTAAACTCTAAGTCGCTCCGTTTTCCCTCCGTCTGTGGCTTCATGTTGTAACGTTACTCTGAGCCCAGGTGCTCTCAGAGCCGCAGCTCGTTGTTCAGAGTCAGCTGGAGAGGTTCACGTCTCTGGCAGGTGGCCAGCAGCCGTCGCAGAGAGCTGAAGACGAGTCAACGCTCACGCCGACTGAAAGAACCAAACGAACAAACTCCAAACTATTGTTGTCAAAAATACTGAGCTGTGAAGCTGACCAAAACTACAACCACATATCTGTGACTCTTAACGGTGACTCATAGACATCCAGATTTGTGTTTAAAGCCTTTATGAATAATCTTCTGGAAACCAAGTGGATCTTCATTTAAGGAGGTCACTGAGTGAGTCGTCTGAAGATCCAGGAATCAGAGGGCATCTGTGAGCCGTCTGATTTAACCCACAAGATTAACACGGATGTTTCTCTGTTTCAGAGTCAGCAATGGTATCTGTCCAGAGAGGAGCTTTGTTTCCATCTCCTCTTGACAGAAATCAAGACTTTAGAAGAACTTATCAGAGTGAGCAAAGACACGTTCTTACAGCTGATGGAAACCAGAAGAAGTTAGTGTCTGTTCAGTTTCAGGGTTTGACACTAACTTTATTCACAAGGAGCACAAAGAACTTTAGGGGAACTATGAAAACAGATCAAATAATGTTTGTCTTATTGATCTTGACCTTAGTACTGTTATTAGAAATCAATTTGAGGTCTTTTGGTCACATGACATGGAAGCTGTTGAAGGAAAACAGCCTTTTCTGAGAACATCAACCGGTAATTTATTGACGGTCCCTTATTCAACACCCGATGCTGCACTGTCACAGTTCATGTTTTGTTTTTATTTACATTTTGAAGCAGATTTCTTTTATTTTTTAAGACGTCATCGATACCGTTACAACTCCAGTCTTTAAATATATAAACCTGTTATCATGATCAACATTTGGATCTCTTTTGGAGAACTTTTGAATTTCCCTTCTGTGATAAATAAAGTTCTTCTTTTTCTTGTTCTTTCTAGTTTGATTCGTCTCTCTGAAGTCTGAGTGTGTTACCTGTGGCGGCGGCGCTGCTGCTGCTGCTGCTGCTGTTGAAGAACCGAGCCGTGTCCTCCATCACCCTGGGCTGGCTCCTGTCGTTGGGGAACCATGATGTCCCTCTGTTAGATGCTAAGCTGTGGGATCCTCCCTGTATGACGGACCTGCTCCCCATTTCCAGAGAAACTCCCGGCCGCTCTGCCTGCGGCGGCTCGGCTGAGGCCGGTTTGGCGGGTGACGCCTTGTTGTTGGTGCGGGATGACACCGGCTTGGATTCCTCATCGCTGTCGAATCCAAACGGATCCTCGAAGCCGTCTCCGGACGGACGGGGCCTCTTGTTAAGTCCCGATACAGAGTCGTTCTTGGGGGCGCCGACACGCTTGGAGCTGACCTTGGCTTTGTAGGTCGTGGCCCCCCATTTGGTGCTGAGCGTGCCCCTCTTGGTGGACAGAACCTCGTCAAACTTGGACGTGCCCTCTCCTCCCTTGCGGCTGTAGGTTTTACCGAATCTGGATGTCATTGTTGCATCTGGGTCATATTCTCTGAGAGGAGGGAGAGGAAATATCAGTGAGGACGTGTTTTCATTTCATTATCGGAGTTTAGACTGAGTCAGCTCACTGGGGGGGTCTCACTCCGGTAACTCAGTTAGTAAGACCCTGAAAAAAACAATCAAATCAAATCCAGTTTAGAGACGTGCAAAAACAAGAGAAACTAGAGGAGTAGAGCACTGCTTTAATGACACTGTGAGGATGTGGTTGAACTAATGTCACTGCAAAACTACCACAGTCAGAAAAAGAAGAGCTTGAGTGCCTGTAATGAGTTAAAAAAATGACCATTTGGTTGAGTTCCTTAAAATCAGAGTTAAGTCTTTATTCAGTAAACCTGAAAAGTAAATTTACTTCACGATGAAAAGATTTTTTTTAATCATTAAAAGCACTTCAGGTCTTATTTTTAGTGTTTAATTCCTTTAAATGAGTTTATCTGGTGCTCTAGGGTGAATGTGGCCCACAAATAAACTTGTTGGGTTTGATTTCTACTCTGTACGTCACCTCCGGGGGTCGTCACTGAGGGGTGTGGTTTTGGGATGTTTGGCGGGTTATTTAAATCTTACCGGTGTAGTCAGACAATGGTTTTGGCAAGCTCTGATATTTTTCTGTTGACCGTTTTTCATTATTTTTCACAGTTTCACTCATTCTGTTTTAACCTCATTTCAGCTTATCACTCTTCGTTTCTGGACCAGGATCAGTGTGTTTTCTTTTCTTTCTTTTGGAACAATAAATCAGTTTTTTAAGACTCAAACTGGACTGAAATTTGATTGAGTCACAGATGCAAGCGAACCTAAACCCCAGTGGCCTTTTTAGTAGAGGGAAAGCAGACGCCACAGAGTCTAATTTAAAGTCTTTACAAGAAATCAACCTTGCATGGCTTTATTTTTTCAGTTTCAGCTCATAATTCAGGAAAAGAGTGTTCAGTGGACACATGGAAATCTACATCCATCAGCCGTAACATCATGTCCACCTGCCTACTCGTGTGTGTAGACCCCTTCTCAAAATGACCCTGATCTGACAATGAGACGTGGACTCCACCAGACCTCTGAAGGTGTGCTGTGAGATCTGGAACAAAGATTTATGCAGCAGATCCTTCAAGTTCTTGGAGTTCTAAGGTGGGACCTCCATAGATTGGAGTCACTTGTCCATCACATCCCTCAGATGTTCAGTTTGATTCAGATCTGCAGGATTTGGACACACAGACATCACTGATGTTTATCTGCAGACACCTTCTCCGTGTTTCTGTGGTCCAGTGGTGTGAAAAGGTTAACGTGGACATCTAAGCTGATCTGCATCTATGCAAACTCATTCTCAACAAAAACTGTGATTCTCTGAGCATCCTGACACCCATGACAGACTTTCCTTCTTTGGAGCACTATAGGTGGGCACTGACCGGATCAGATACACCCTAAAGATCTGCAGTTTTGGAGGTCCTGACCTGGTCAGCTAACCATCCTAATCTCACTCTTCTTCAAGCGTCTCCCATCCTGATGCTTTCCTTCTTTTTTACCTGCAACATGTCAGACTCTAAAAATCTTCTCTACATTACAGGACAGAAGCAGCAGAACAAGATAACCGCCCATGTTTACATCAGCTGACAGTGATCAGTACACTTACAATAAAAACAGTAGTGATACTCAATTAACAGTGTTTACACATTTTTTAAATGACAGATTGATAATTAAACAGCGTTATGTTGATGCAGTGAAGTAAAGCAGGTAAACTTGAATTCAGCAGTTATAAAGACACAGTTATAAAGACACTAGTTGATGAAAAACATGCAGAAAATATGTGAAGAGTAAGAACATTTAATATTTTAAAATAATATATACTTTATATATTTCTCTTTTTTCTTATTTCGACTTCCTTTCCTTTTAGTCTTTTTTTTACTTCTAATCTTTTCCTATTTAACCTTTTAGGCCTTTTATTGATTTCATTGTTTGTTTTCTGCTCTTTTTTTATTCTATTACCATCATTACTATTTTGTTGTTGTTGAGAGCGATCACTGCAGTCAACAACAACAAGTCCAGTTACACCTGTCCCTCTCAACCAATATATATACTGATCACATTGATCACAGTGCAATAAATACATCATTTAACCCTGCAATAATACTGGGCTTTACTGTGAAATAATCAGGTTTTCATATCATTCCTGTTTCGTATATATTCTGTACATATTACTGCCTTTTACTTTCCTTTCTTTCTTATTCTTATCTTTGTGTTTTTAAATAACTTTCATTTTCTTTTATTTATTACCATTGTTTTTGCACCAAAGGGAGCGGCGCTCAAATGACAATAAAGGCGATTATGATTTTATTATCATTATTAATATCCTCCTTTTATATTTACTATCCTATTTCCTACTTTCTACTCCCATCTTTCATTATATTTCTTTTTCTTACCTATTCTATGTTTTTATTTTGGTCTCATGGTCTCAGTTTATGTTGTAGGTTCTTCTATTGTCGATTCAGAGGTTTTTAACTGAGATTTTGTTTTTTATCTGTTTTTATCTCCATGTTCTGATGTTCTGAGCTTTACGACTGTTTCTCAAAGCACTTTGTAAACTTCTGTTTTTAAAAGTGCTATAAAAATAAAGTTATTATTATTATTGTTGTTGTTGTTGATATTGACGTTTCCCTGAGAAGTCCTGAGATTTGAACATGTTTTATATCCTCATTTTAAGAATAGATCAGTCTTGTTTTTCCATTCTGGTCCTTGTAGTTTTAATAAATAACTTAAATAACTTTTATTATTATAAACCAAATCCTGCTCAGACCCCCAGATCAGACCTGACAGAGCCGGCTCTCCTCGCTGATCTGGGTCACCAGGGAGACACTTTTAACCATTTCTTCATAGATTCTACCAGTGTTATCACTGATGATCAGATTTATATCCCAGAAGTTAAACTAAGAGTGATTAATCCTCGTTAAAAGCTCTTAAACTCTTCAGTCAGCTGCTTTGACAAATGAAGCTACAGAAGCTAGCTGAACGGAGCTAATGGCGCTAAGTTGGTGCTATCGCTGCAGTTACGAGAAAGAAATAACAAAAACGGACAAAAAGAGACACTACAGGGGGAAAGATGCACTGTAATAATGTTCTGCGAATGTGAATTATTTTTCTTTTACGAATAAAAACCTTTAGATAGAGTTTCTATTTACGCGATATCTAATTTTAGCCGTTAGCAGAGGAGCGTCACTCCAGCAGGCAGTTAGCATCATGCTAACAGCTAACAATAACTACAAACTCTCTCACCGTGAGGAAAAAAACACAAACAGGTCATATTTTTCCACTGAATTCACATTATTTAACCCACTTACTTGGTGAGCTACAGGGCCGATCCGAACGGAACACACTCCGGACCCCGAACGGCCGTTAAACTGGCACAGGACCGGGCCTGGTTCTGCCTGCTGCACAGTATAAACAAGGCCCGACGGACCGCGTTCACGGTGAGTAAGAGAGTTCGGACCGAACCGGGCTGAACCAGAACACCCACGAGGACGAGAAAAGATCAGGTTTATAATCCCATCCACTGAAAACGGTTCTGATTTGAAAGCTAAATTGGACTCGATTGTTTCCTCCGGGTTGGACTCCCCCGCTGCGTCAAGTGTAACACAGTGAGGCCAGCATAACGGGAAATACGAGAGGATTCTCTACAAAATAAAAGCATAAACGTTATATGAAAACGAGTGTTTTAACGTCTGGTATCAACGCAAATATTTCTTATCAAATTGAACTGGAAAATGTAGATTTAATGGAACACACCCATTATCTTGCGATAGTTCTCCCAAAACAAATATGTTACTTCCTAGGCTTTTTTTTTTTTTTAGATTTTTTTTCATTCAATCAAGCTTATTTTTTTAGTCTGATAGTTTTTAATTATTTTTATAACTTTTAAAAAATCTCAAGATTAAAATATAATTTCTAGTTTTTAAGGTATTTTATCTTCAAATACACAATTCTGAGCAAAAACAACAGCTGCAAAAATGGTTCACAATTTTTTTTTAAACATAATACTACTTTTTCACAACTATAAATTATTTAAACAAGGATATTAATGTATCACTTTATTTTAACCTCACTTTTTTATTATCTTGATGTTCACTTGTTTTATCTTGTTGTAAAGCCTTGTTTTTGAAATTTTTGAAATATGCAAAAAAATATTTATTTGTTTATTTATAGCTGATGATGACTGATTGTGTTGCGTCAGTACTCCAAAAGCAAATATGTTACTTCCTAGGTTGTTGTTTTTTTTTCTCATTCATTCAAGCTTTTTTTTTTTTTTTTTGTGGGACAGTTTTCAACAATTTTTCCTTTTTTCACTTCTCAAAAATTTCAAAATTACTACAAGATTTCTAGTTTTCTTTTTCTTCATATAAACCATCCTGAGCAAAAAACAGCAGCTGCAAAAATGGTTCACTTAACATGTTAAACATAATACCAATGTCTAAATGAATGAAACAACAAAAGATAACCAAACTGTACCATCCATAAAACACAAACCATGAAGTAAATAAACCAGTCAATACAAATAAAATGACAATGATATTTCTCTGTTTAGTTCAAACTCCTTTTTTTATTATCCCACTTGTTTTTTTTTTTTTTGTTTGTTTTTTTGTGAAGCCTCATTTTTTTTTTATTTAAATAAACAAAAACAAAAACTATTTATTTATTCATATGTGACAATCCTTTTCATTTTTTTCATCAGTTTTTATAATAATGATTGTAACCTTGTTCTGCAGCCAAGTTTTATGTTGAAAACCGGAAGTGGCCTCATGTGGTATTTCGAGCTTTCTAACCGGAGCTCCATCATCCTTATCGTTACAGATGCTGCGTTCAGGGTCCGAAATTAAATTCGTTTAAAACACATTTTATTTTGTTCATTACAAACCGAGAAAAAAATAACTATGGACAGTAAAAATACATGGAGGAGAATTCAGTTTCGTAATACTTTGTGTAACTGTTCGCTCTGGGTTCATCAAACTAGATGTGTTTAATTAGGAAAAAATAAATAACAGGACATCGATGCTGAATTATTACATTTATTACACAAAAACACATTTGCACAGCCAGTCAGGTTTCTGCAACAACAACCACTTTACAGAGTTTAACCCTCCAGGGACAAATGGACCAGAAATGTAATAAGAGCAGTTTTGTTGTTGTTGTTGTTGTGGAGATAATGTCAATAAATAAATGCTGCCCACTTACACACTAAAGAATACAGGCATCTATGGACCATGATGGAAATGTTGCATTAACCTCATTTTTGACTGACCTGCAGAGGCAAAGAGGAAGAGCGGAGGTGTGGAGGTGTGGCCCTTCAGCTGCTCTAACTGTCATGTCAAACTTTAACTTAGTTTACATGACACACAAGAGTGCGGTTGTGAGAGATTAACCAGCTGCACAGAGATCCAGAAAATTCATATAATTATTGGTGATTTTGCCTCGAACTGATTGCATCAGTAGAGGATTAATGAAACAATCATAAATGATGTTTCTCTGCAGAAGAAGCTACATGTATGTCTGTGCTAAACAGAGGAATCTATTTAAAAAGAGGATCTGCAGACGTAACTGGTCTGTGATTGTTACATACAGCTGTTAACTGAGCGATGCTACAGACATACATTAGAAAAATAATACATCATTGTAAATATGTGACTGTCAGGGTCGAGTGTGTTCTCCATTCCTCCATTATAATCATACTATTGTTGTCGCCCCTGTCTAATATGATAATAACTCAGAGTATCATGTGATTAAAGCATCTTCATCAGCAGCTGTTTAATGTTTTTAATCCAGATATTCATCCTGCAGATGCTGAGTTCCTGTAATGACACACACACACACACACAAACTGCCCTCCATATTCATATCTGTAATGAGCAGTTTGTGTTTGTGTGTGTGTTTCAGTGTAAGATGACCTCTTTGGGTCGCTTCTGTTCCCTTTAGTAGATCAATTCTGTCAAAGTAAAAAGGCTAAAGCATCATGAAGTGATTTTCAAACCTTTAAACTTAACATTAAATCAAAAGAAACAAACGTTTTTGCACAGATGCTAGACAGAGTTATGGAACCTTGGCTGCTCTCCATGGATGTCCAGTATCTTCAACCTCAGTGTCAACATCTGTTGAAGGGATATTCCAGTGTAAAATTAAGTCAGGGTCAAACCCACTGTAACACCAAGTTCACAGCTCAAAGAAGAACATGTATGATTAATACTTCGCAGAAATGCTATCAGAGTTCTTGTGTTTCTTGTATGTGCACTGCAGATGCGGTAGTTCTTCTGTCTTAGCGTCTCGGTCTGATTGTTTTTCCATGAAGAAATGATCATAAATGTTCTTCCTTGAGCTGCGGCACCCCGCTGTAGTCCGTAATGGACTGACCTGAGGTCTCTCTACAAACAAGCGGCTGCTGGAAGAGAGTAGGTGAGTTGTGTTTAGTCTCTCTGCTTGTTGGTATAACTAGAGAAGCAAGCGGTCGTCAACATTCATCTCTGGAGGGGGGGTCTAATTCGGTGTTACGGTGTGTTTGACCCTAAATTAATTTTACGCAGGAATATCCCTTTAACTTCTGCACACACACTGTGGCGTTATCCGTCTGAATGTTTATAATGTTCCTTGTTTCTCTTTAGTAACCCTGCATCCATGAGAAGAACATGTAGAAATAGAAATAATCCGACATTTGGACCCCTCTCTCTCGGACCCCTACCTCTCCAGAGTAACTGAGACCTTCACAGGCAGTATCTTCAGAGGGACTGTGCTCCTGGTGCAGATGTACGGACACAGTTTCTCTGTGAAAGTGTGTGTGAAGGTGTGTATGTGTGCGCCAGTATCAGGGTCAGAGAAGGACAGCGCCCCCCCGTCCCAGTCCAGGTGAACTCTGACCCTGTGGAGCTTCTCTCGGACTGGGAGGTCCATGTATTTGTTGGCTGAAGAAAAAGCTCTGTATTTCACATTATTGAAGTCCAAACTCCAGACTGTCGACCCCGTGAATCCTCGCCTGCTGATGGTTTCCGTGGACACCCCCAGCTCCCAGTCTTTGTTGTCTCCCACTTCCACGTCCCAGCTGTGACTCCCGGAGTCGAACCCTGAGCCCAGGACCGAGTCCCAGCACTCGAACCTCTCGGGGTTTTCTGGAAGCTGCTGAATCTTCCCGTATCTGACGGTGGTGAGATCTCCTGACAGGATGAGCTCGGCGTTGGCGGTGTTTGGATCCAGAATCACAGGACTGTAGGAGACGGCGTCCTTCATTTTGGTCCAGATGTTGAAGCTCAGGTTGCCCAGATGTTTGGTCACGTTGATCAGCGCCCCTGACACCAGCTGCGGCTCCTCTAACAGGAAGCAGTGCTGAAGCTTCTCAACCACGGCCTTGTAGTTGATCATGAATAAGACGTCGTCGACCTTCAGCTCCTCCTCGATGACCCTGAGCGTGTCTGAGAGCGTGGACAGCTCCGCACTTAGAGCCTCCAGCCTCTCCTTCATCACCTGACTCTTCTGCACCTCCTCCTCCCTCAGAGCAGCTATCCTGGCCTCCTCTTCTTCATGGAGAAACTGGTGCAGCCTCTTAAAACCCTCCCTTATCTTCTTTTCCGTTTGTCGAGTCTGGACTTTAATGTGCTCTGCTGTTTGATAAAAGTTCAGCCTCACCTCATTGAAGGCCTTCAGCCGGGTCTGCAGGGGTCGGAGGTACTTCTTGAGCTCCTCTCTGTAGTCCTCAGCAGCCTCTTCGATGGGTCGGAACCTGTGCTCGGAGTGGATCTTTGCGTCCCGGCAGACCACGCACACGGGCTGCTGATGATCCAGACAGAAGAGCTTGAGCCTCTCAGAGTGCAGATGGCAGATGGTAGCAGACCCTAAGGAGGCTCCGGTGCTTCTCTCCAACAGTAAGGCCTCGCACAGGTTCTTCAGCGCCAGGTTCCGGGGCGGGTCACTCCACTGAGACACCATCCGACAGACGGGACAGTCCTGGAACTGTCTCTCCGTCCACCAGCTCTGCAGACAGGCTCTGCAGAAGCTGTGGCTGCACGACAGGAGAACCGGGTCCTGGAAGATGTCATGACAGGCGGGGCAGCAGAAGTCCTGTTCAGACCAAGAAGCCATTTTTCCTGAGGACATAGCAGACGGTCCGGAGGTGGTGCCGCTCCCTCCTCTGAGTTACTTTCTCTCCACAGCTGAGTTATTTCCCTCCAAATCTCTGAATCTGTCTGTGGGGTCAGCTGCTGGTCTCAGTGGAGGTTCTGCAGACGTTCTAGTCCCTGCTGTTCTGAGTTTGGTCGTTATGAGAGTTTCCTGTGAGTTGAGAGGCTCGTCTGTATTTCCTGGTTCGTGTGCGGTGAGTCACAGTGAAGGTGGAGCTCTGACGGATCAAAGCGATCACGCTCTCTTTAATCACTCGTCTGTCAGTCACGTGCACGCCTCTTTGTTTGCTGTTCAACTATCAAGAAGAGAAAAAAGGCGTTCCCTCATGTCTGCCTTCTCATGGTTCTCAGGTCCAGGCTGCAGGAGAACTTTACTGAAGCTCCAGGAGAATAATGACCTCCGTTTAATCCTCATGGATTACATCAGAGATCTTTGTTTGGTATCGAACCACAACCACAGCCTTTCCCTCAGAGCAAACATGACAAAGTTTACTCAGGACTCTGCTCCAAGCAGACCTGTGATTGGACAGCTGATCCTTTATTTACCAATTTAAATACATAGAAGTTTTATTGACAGAAGAGTTTGTCCATGTCAGTGTCAGCTTTATTTATAGAGCACGTTTAGAAAACAGCCAGTGGCCATCCAGTCCTGGTTTTGGTCCTTCAGATCCTGATGGTTCCACAATAAGAAATTTTTTTGCAGGACTCAAGTTTAAAATAAATATTTCAGTTTTTTTAACTGTTTTTAAAACCATCCAAATCTGTTTTTATCAACATTTTATTCAGCGCCCCGGTTTCATTTGGAGCTTTTTTCATCTCCCTGTTTTCTTGGAGCTGTTTCATCTCTTTGAGAGGTCTCCAGCTTCTCAAGCAGAGATATGAAAACAGAGAAAGTGGCACCAGAGCTCTCCAAGAGGACCTGAAATGATCCCAGAGCTTGTTGACATGCTCCCTGTCTGTCTCTTCAGGGCACTCAGGTCAGCCTGGCATTCAGCCGCGCTTCTTCAAACCTCCAGAACTTGTTACTGCCGAGTGCTAAGCCTGGCTGAAATCCCCGCCTGGCATGCTGCAGCCGCTGTGCCAGCATCAGCCATCACGCCAGCCAATAGGCTGAACTTACTGTACCATGAGGGGTCCAATATTCTGACAAAAAGAACAGATCTGAGTCTTTCAAAAGGATGCAAAAGCAACCCCTGAGCAGGCGTTTGTTGTCCAGGACCTGGCAGAGCGTCATGATGGCACCTGCAGAGTCCAGACATCCTACAGTTTGGGAGAATAGAGCGGCGCAGCGGCTGGCATCAGGGCTGGCAGCGCCGTCTTTCAAAACAATTAGGCCTTTGACACTCAGCATTCAGCAGCTGGAGGATCAACTCTGGCAGAGACAGAGAGGAGGGAAGCCAAGTGACTTATCACCCCAATCAAACCGCTTTCCTGGAGATGATGGATCAGGGACCTCAGATTTTACACAAAAAATATACATATTTCTGCGTCTTATGATTAATATGATCCCAAATCCCATTCCTGATCTGCACAAGATATTTCTAATGACTTCAAGAGTTATTTAATGATTTTTTTAGGCCTGTGTAGGAACAAAAAACATCTTTTTACAGGTCCAGTCCGATGAGAAGCACTTTTTTTCTAGCCTGAAGACATATCCAGAAAAATCATCTCTCAGCCTAACACCCCTGAGAATGAGGAAGTAAGAAACCCTCTTCATGTCTCCATACAGTCCACATACTGAGAAAACTCATCTGCTACAAGGAAATGTGATTTTGCTCCAGTGGTGTCACAACCTTCAAAATGATTTGCATAGGCATGCATGCAAAACCAGAATTTAGCATTCTGCTCCCTCCTACGCTTTTATGTTTTTACTGCAGTGTTGGAGAGTCAAGATGTCCAGTGTTGGAGACAGACTCTCCAAATGTTCAGTTACTGGTTTCAAAAACTACCAAAAATTTTCATATTCTGACCCGGGACCTGAGGACCGAAGAAAAGGGGTTACTTTTTATCAGGGACAGGTACATCAGGACTTTGCTCCTCAGACTTAAAGCTCACCCTGATAGTAAGCTTTGCTGATATAGTGTGTTTCATGGATATAAGACGATAAACTTGAAATGTATTCTGACTATGTGGTGACTTCATCATTTCTTCATGGAAATACAATCAGACCGAGATGCTAAGTCAGAAGAACTACAGCATCTGCAGTGAAAATGATTAATATGGTGATTATTACTTCAAGGAATTGATGAAGAAATGATCATAAATGTTCTTCCTTGAGCTGCGGCACCCCGCTGTAGTCTGTAATGGACTGGCCTGAGGTCTCACTACAAACAAGCGTCTGCTGGAAGAGAGTAGGTGAGTTGTGTTTAGTCTCTTTGCTAAAGAAATGAGTCAAAGTTAAAAAGATGTTTGGTGTCTAGTACTATGTCTGTGACCCTATATGTCCTGTTGATGGAGTTAGGTGCTGTTCTGAGCATTATTTGTGGCTATAGAGTGGCGTTTTGGTTGAGGGCGTGGCTCTCTGTATTGCTATCCTGCGGTCGTTACTAAAGTTGGTATAACTAGAGAAGAAAGCGGTCGGCAACATTCATCTCTGGAGGGGGGGTCTAACTCGGGGTTACGGTGGGTTTGACCCTACATTAATCTTATGCTGGAATATCCCTTTAACAGACATTGAGACAGAGGCTGAAGATACTGGACATCCATGGAGAGCAGCCAATCACTTCCATATCTCTTTAATTCAATAGAGCAAATATATTTCTGTAAATTTGTGAAGTATTATTACTCTTGGCTCCTATTAATTGGTTCCCTCTTGCAGAGATTTGATATTTCAGAGCAGACACTTCTTACCTCAGAGCAGCAGGTACAGAGAACAAACACTGAAGCTTCTCCATGCTGACTTTCTCATCAGTCACCACTAGATGGCACAATGTGCAATCACTTGCACTTGCACTGGATTACAACCTTTACAATAACATAATGCATTGAAGCAAAAAGTTTTATTGTGGAATTAAACTGACATTAAAATATGATTATTTTCAATTATGCAAGTAGAATAAATAGGCCTCAAACAAAAACACCTTTTTGTTAGCTGTCATTTAAAAAGTGAAGAAGTGTACTTAGTAGTGTTCATTTTTAACTGCAGCAGCATATTTATTCAGCTCTGGTTCTATGTTAGCTCATCCACATATAAAGAAAACACTGCAAACACACTCACACACACTCTCCAGGAAGTCTGCTAATTTACATCCTGGAAAGTTTTTGAACTCATACTGTTTACACATTGACAGTTTTAAATTCACTAAAGGTGTGGGGTCAGTTTCTTTGGAGATTTTTACATGAACTCTTCTCTGCAGTCAGTAAACTTTGTCACATGACTTGCAGACAAATACTTTAAATATTTGTCTGCGTTGAAGTCCCATTTCCAGTCCTGTTCAGTCATGCACACTGAGGTGATTCAGTAGCTGACTTTGGCTCACAGACCTGCACAGACATCCAGCCAGGTTGGCCTGAAGCTATTGACATTTACACTTAAATCTTCTTACATCTGATGGGCCGAATTCTTTATACTCTTTGTTCAGGTTTATCAGGGCCCTGTGGTAGTGTTTTTAAGACCTCATCTACCGTCAGCCTTTGCGAGGGAAGAAAAAGCCCTCATACACCGGATTGGATGGAAATATGAATCAAGTTGCCACAGGAAACACTGTGAGGGCGAACAACGCGCCTTCAAAATAAAACATTAAAGGCAACGCCAAAAACTAATACATGCATATGCGACCAATTCACATATTTATTAATTTTCAAACATCTTTTTAACTTTGACTCATTTCTTTAGCAAAGAGACTAAACACAACTCACCTACTCTCTTCCAGCAGACGCTTGTTTGTTGTGAGACCTCAGGCCAGTCCATTACGGACTACAGCGGGGTGACGCAGCTCAAGGAAGAACATTTATGATCATTTCCTTGAAGTAATTATCATTTCACATTTTTTATTCATTTTAAGTTATTTATTCATCTATTTTTTTCGAACATGTGCATGCAACACTAGAAAGTAAACTGAAAACAAACAAACAAAACTGGTGAGAATATTCAAAGCAACAATAACAATAATCAAAGCAAAAAAGTAAAAGTGAAAATAAAAAATACTAATAATAATAATGCGCACTCAACATGTCCGACAAGGAGTAGGATGAAGCATTATGCTTTTTTTTAAACCTACCCCTTCTTCTTTACTCAATACTAGTCAGTCTCCAACATATTTACATTGATTGTGTATGATGTTGATCTTATTTAGATAAATGTTTAGACAAATAAGATCCTTGAATACTAAAAATAAAGAGCAGCCTAACTATTCTGTAAGTTTGCTAACTCTCAGCTGTGACCTCCAAAGAACAGTTTGGCTTTTAAAAAAACTGATAATTTGCCTGTACAAAGAATTTATTTTGCTTTCTCAACTGGTGGGTCCCAACCCACAGGTGGGTCGTGGACACTTCCTGGGTGGGTCACGTACAGCTGGTCAAAAAAGTAAATATTTAATGTGATATTTATTATATATTTGATATTTTCTGTATACGCAACTTCAGTAGTTGTCGTCCTTATGTTGTCTCCTCCATGTGCTCTGAAATGCACTTTACTCAATAAAAAACAAGTGGATTTATGTCAAAGATCAGAGTCTTTAAAGGCTTTTTTTAACAAAAAAAATAAATAAATTTGCTTGGTTTGAATTTTATAAAAGTGGGTCGCAACTTAAGGACCATGGGAAAATGTGGGTCCCAGAGTGAGACCAGTTGAGAACCACTGGTTTAAATAACGGAACACCACCTCAGATTATTAACTGTTGAATAATAAAGGTTCATTTGATGGTAAAAAGGCTGTAACTAGCCACAAATAATCCATGCCAACCATTATGACTCAACAAATAATACACTTAACAACTAATTGAGGTGCATTTCTGTTCTTTTTCCATGAGAATCAAGAATATACTTGTGTGTTTGTGTATTTAACTGTACATGTAAGGTTAGTATTATTATACAGACTCGTATTTTCCCAGTGATTGAGTGGCCTGTGTTAGCTAAACTGAGCTAACCGATGCTCAGCTAAGCTAACAGCAGCTAACCCGTCATAATCATACAATTAGTCAGTCCTAGTAATTTATTTTGCTTTTTGACCATAATCTATATTAGAGACATCACCTCGGATTATTAATTGTTGAATAATAAAGGTTTATTTAAAGGTTCAAGATGATAGCTAGCCACAAATAGTCCATGCCAACAATTATGACTCATCAAAAAATACATGTAACGACTAATTGAGGTGCATTTCTGTTATTTTTCCATGAGAATCAAGAATATACCTTGAACTTGTTTGTTTATGTATTTAACTGTTCATATAAGGTTAGAATTATTTTACAGGCTCGTATTTTACCAGTGATTGAGTGGCTTGTGTTAGCTAAACTGAGCTAACCAATGCTAAGCTAAGCTAACAGCAGTTAACTTGTCATAATTACATTGATCACATCGCATTGGCGCTGTTTTTGTCACTCTTACCTTAAGGTCCAGTATCCATGACTGATTAACAGCCTTTCAGGTGAAGGATTTCCAGAAAGCGTTTCAGACGTTGCAGCTCTTATTTTGAAAGTTGTAAACGGAAGCGGAAGTTTAAGTACCGTGTAACTTTACGGTGGTGCCTGACAGCTGCCACACTGGACTCGGACTGAGCCGAACTGTGTAAGTAAACCCACAATCCGCCGCTTCTACCGCCTGTTAGCCTCCGTACGGTCCGACTATGTCGTACACATTCAAACCTCCGCCGAAAACAAAGACGATTAATCGATTTAAAGTGTCGAATAGACAGTTGATAGAGGCGGGAGAGGAAATCGGTCGATGTTTTTAGGCCCGTAACAACAGTTTGATGTCCACAGGGAGGAATGGAGCTCTGATGGTTAAATGGAGACATTCACATACAGTCATGTAATTCTTGAACTCACTGCTTTGGTACTTTCTCATATTTAACTGAAAACCTACGACATTAAATCTGTGTAATTACACGTCGGAATCAGAGTAATTATGTATTCCACAAAGGCCTATAAAGTAATGTGATCATAGGGGTGAGCTAATAGAACGGTACACGATTAATTCACCATGGTGACGATAATACCACGATAACGCGATTCTTGGATGGTTGATCAAAATCTGTATTATTTTCTAATCTCTATACCAATACACTGTGCCATGATAGGGTAACTGTTAGGGCTGAGACTATATGCTTTTCTCCTGATTCTATTCTTCTACGATTTGTACGATGCTTATTCGATTTAAATTGTGATTCTACGATATTGACAATTTTCTCAACATTCAGTCTGCATCTTTAACAAACAGTGAAACAGTTGATTATGATTATGATTGTCACTGACTATTCCAGGAACCATATTTCCCCAAAAAATACACATCACATGTACGTCAGTTTTTAAGATTTAATCTTAAATTTGAAGAAAAAAAAACGATTTTTAAACATAAAAATTGATTTAAAAATTGTAAAACAAAAAGTTGTGATACTTATGTGAATCGATGTTTTCTCCCACCCCTAATAATTGTACTGTAGGTGACGATATGATGTATTTATTGTCGTGACTGTTTCAGCCAAGGGATCATGTGATTTTTAAGCAAAGTGGCCAAATTATTTGCGCCCACTCTGATAGTGAGTTATTATTTTAAGGGAATTATTAAGGGTCTGAGTGTTTGTAGTTTTGGAGTGAAAGAGAAAGTCGGCGTTTAAGAGGGGAACCAGAAGTGCTTTACTTGTTATTCATCAACGCCCACCTGTAAATCTGTCACTGAAGAAGAGCTGTTTTCACTCATTAACCTGACAACGTGTCTTTGTTCACATGTAAACTATTACATATTACATCTAATGTTTATGGTGAAGACACTGCACAGCTGTGTTTCTGAGATCAGATCCATCCTTGTTGAAATCGACTCTAAACTTAATTTGATTATGTTGTCATATTTTCTGCTCAGGAGGTGAAGATCTACTAACCTCTGGAGTCTGCAGGTTCACATCAGACCCTGATAAAATCTGCATGCGTCCTGTTGTGTGTGGGAGTAAACAGCAAATGAGGGAAACAGATGCACGAGTCGCAACAATGGCGTTTTAAAATATGGCGGTCCCGTCCACATCTCCCTTTTCTCCATTGTTCTTTTTCATATGTCACGTGTAGCGAGTGCACACACAAAACAAACTCTGTGGTCGAGTCTGCGGCAGGTAGACTCTCCAGGTCACTCTCAGGTCACTTCGAACCCGTGCTGAAAATGAATTAACTTCTTTTTATTCTTGTAAATATCATTTAGATACAGCCTGAAGTGAAGAAATATTCAATATTTCTGCAATAACTCGATGATAACACCCCTCTAATAGGAAGTGAGTGGGTGTAGGAATATGACGGGTGAGAGAACAGACCTGAACCACAAAATTAAACAGACTGAGCGCATTAAAAAAGGTGTAAGACGCAGGCGAGTGTGTTCACAGCAGCTACAGAGACTCAGGCTGTGTGTGTGTGTGTGTGTGTGTGTGTGTGTGTGTGTGTGTGTGTGTGTGTGTGTGTGTGTGTGTGTGTGTCTTCGATGTAGATGTGATGCTCAAATGTCTGTTTCCTGCTTTTACCGTGTTTAACATTGAAGTCACTGAAACACACACAGGGACAGCTCACTGGTTTTAGTCTCTAAATAATCCAGTCTGTGTGTGTGTGTGTGTGTGTGTGTGTGTGTGTGTGTGTGTGTGTGTGTGTGTGTGTGTGTGTGTGATCATGTCAGTGTGTCATACATGTGTGAGCTAATATACCCAGCAGCACCTGCTCTCTTAATCCCTGCGTGCTTTAACTGGCGCTGCCCTTGTCCATGTCTGTCACAGCAGAGTCACACACATGCACGCTCTCTGCAGACGGCGGCGTTACACCTGGACGGCGTTTCTCTCCCACATTCGAAATCTTACATCTGCAGCGGGTTGTGGTTAAATACCTGAAACTGAAAGCTGCACGCACGTCATTGTTGAAGATTTTGATTGTGGTGGTTATAGAGAGAGAAAAACCGTTGATGAGGAAACAAGCTCTGCTATCTTCAGACAATAATTTAAAAGGTCAAAGTCCTGAAACACTCAGAGTTAAAAGCACTTATGAGAGCTTTTTAATAAGAGCTTTTTAAGGTATTGAAGTTGGTGTTGTTTGCTGATGACACAAATATTTTCTGTTCTGGGGAGGATTCACCGTAGAAATGAGTAAACTGAAAGTACAGTTTGACACTTTTTAACTGAAATAAAACCAATAATTATTATGATGATTAATATTATTATATGATATCATGATATTTAAACCATAAGTGTAGGAGAAGGGCTGGGACTAGATAAGTCCCGACTTTTTCCCACTCCTTTTTGAACATGAATGACTTTTTGGCATTTGTTGTTGTATTCTTTACTTTTTTATTAATATTATTGTTATCATATGTTTTAAATAAACTTCAGTCAGTGTAAACGGTAAATAAGACGGTATGAAAGTGAATAAATGCTCTTTGAATTGTTAATGAGGTTCCAGTGAGAGTTTATAGTCCATAATAAATATTGATAATAAACGCCGTCTGTGGTCCTGTCCCGTCTCCTCCTCGCAGCGTTCCTGTGATGCCCCAGGGCGGGCTGAGCTGGTCGGGGTTGCGATGCCTTATGTGGACCGACAGAATCGCATCTGCGGCTTCCTGGACATCGAGGAGAATGAGAACAGCGGCAGGTTCCTGCGCCGATACTTCATCCTGGACACTCATCAGGGCAGCCTGCTGTGGTTCATGGACAACCCTCAGGTGAGGAACGGGAGATACTCTGATGGGGACGATCTTCCAGAAGAACCTCCAGCATGATGGAGCTCGTGGAGAAGACTGTGGTCCTCAGACGACTCAGAATACTCCTGATACAACAATCAATCACTTTGATTTCATTGGTTTAACTCGGCTCTGACTGTAAACACGTACTGAACATACCACTCAGACGTCATGATGACAGTGTAACTGCACACGCTGCACGGCTGTGAGACAACACTTTTAAAACCATGTAGAGATAGTCTTTAATTTACAGATGTCTCAAAGACCTGTCTGATTACAATAACAAAATTAATTTCTCGGTCTGAATGAAACTCCACAGAGAAGATTTCTTTAAAGCTTTTAATATCTCGTAAAAGAATAAACTTGACCTGCAGCTCCTTTTGAAAGTTGAGGAAACATATTTTTGGCCGACAGTCAGCTGTCGTAAAACTCTGATTTCCCTCTTCCTGGAAACTTCTGTACAGTTCAGCTTAGTTCACCGTGAAAACATAACACACAACCTGCAGCGACTTGAACCCTGTCTCTGGAGAAATTCCAACAGTTTGAGTCTTTTCAGTTTATTTTTCAGAAAAGTCAAGAAGCGTAGAGAGATGGTTTTAGAGATTCCTGCCTGTCACATGATTAGACATGAGCGAGTTCCTCTGAACCATCAAAACTGGATTTAAAAGGAGCTCTAACTTTTCAAAGATGGATGTCCACTCTGAGTTTTAGTAATACTTATGAAAAAGCTCATTTAAAGGGAGTATTTTCAGCGGCAGGTTAATCCTCTCTGATGTTTCAGTGAAAAGAGGAAGTTGTTGATCTATCAGACGGAGCTGCAGAGGTTTGATGAAACTGTAAAAAGCAGAATCAGTGGACTCTTGATGGATGCAGCTAAATGGTTTGACAGATGGTGTGTCACTGAAAGTCAACAAACAGGAACAGGGATTAGAAGGTTTGTAGGAGCAGTTTTATCTTTAGTTTTTACTACCGGGAAATTCCCACAACACTGCAGACTCACACTGATGCAGGTGTTGGACAGTTTCGTCCACTCCACAGAGTTTTTAATGAGATATTTTAGGAGTTAAATCTGATTCTTTTAAAGATTTATTCATATATACAGCTTTAAAGCTACATCCCCTTTTATTACTCATCTTATGTTCCTCTGAAACACCATGAGGCAGTTTGCTCTTGTTTAGTGTCAGATTGTAGAGGTGAGCCGTCAGCATCTCCATGCTGCTCAGAGCTGCTCTGTGCTCTCTAATCCTGAAGGAGCTTTAATCTGTCTATCCATGGAGGACGAGCATAACTCATATCAAACGATAATAAATCAGATTGATAATAAATATGAAAGCCGGCCCGTTTAAGACCGTATACCTACACCTGTCTCAGAGATTTAGGTGACGGGGTTTTGCCTCCTGGACGTGACCTTTGACTGCTAAATGACACCAGGTCATCAGACTTGCACAGACACCCAGAATTCCAGGATTAGAGTTTGAAAGTAACTGAAATTAAAAGGATTGAAATCTGACATTTTAAAAAACTACTGTTGACTAAAACAGAACAAGAACAGACGCTCATGTCGACTCTGTTTCTTTTCCAGAATCTGCCTAAAGGTGCCGAGAACGTGGGCTCTCTCAAACTCACCTACATCTCAAAGGTAAGACCTCCAACATTTCAAACAAACACAGATCAGACCATATGATATATGTGATACCATATATTATATACGACACAATATGATATATGGTATATGATACGATATGTGATGTACAATATGATACATAATATTCATTATGATATATGATATACGACACAGGATATGATTCAAGATAAGATATGGTATATGAGATATGATAACATATTATATACAATGCGATACGACATACAATACGATATATGGTATACGATACAATATGTGATATACTAACAATATATGATATATGATACGAAATGACATACAATAGGATGTATAGTATACATTATATGATATAAGATATGATATATGAGATATGTTTGATATATGATACTTTATATGACATACGATATGATACTATATCTCGCCCCCTCAGTATTTTCCTCACACAGTTGTCATCTGTAGGTTTTATCGTCTTCTTCATTTTTCCCCCTCATGTTTTTCTCACTGCTTCCTCCTGATTTGTCAGTTTTTCTGAAAACACAGAAACACGTTTTTTTTAAAGTAAGTGAAAAGTACAATTTGACGGATTAACCCTTTATTTTATTTCTTACCCTCTTTCAGGTCAGCGATGCCACCAAACTTAGACCAAAGGCGGAGTTCTGCTTCGGTAGGTTCATCTCTGTGTTTCCTCTTTTAACTCTTTAATACACTTTACCCCCTGACAGGAAATGAACCCCATCATCATCATCATCACCATCATCATCAGCTCCGCCCGCTCTCGTGGTTATTTTTACACGTTTAAAGTGTAAAGATGATAAAAACTGTAGGGTCCCCTCCTCTCCTCAGCTCTCTCTCTCTCCAATCTTCCTCCTTGTTTCCTTCTGTTCTTGTTTCCTCACTTCCTCCCTTCCTCGTCCTCTTCCCCCTCCTTCGTTTCCTCTCCTGTTAGCTTCGTTTCCTCTCTTTTGTCCCTCGCTGCTTGTTGTTGTTCCTCTGGTCGCCAACGGGAGCTTTTGTCACTCAATGGGAGGAAACTGTACAATATCCCCGACCTGACCCGAGTCTGTGTGTGTGTCTGTGTAAGTGTGTGTGTTTGCATCTGGACTGGATGTTCACACACACACATACACACACAGACACACACATCCTCTGAGTGAGCAGAAGCAAACAGATCTTTATTTTTAGACGCTGATCTGCATGAAGCTCCGACAGTTTTCTTCTTCCTCTTCGATCATCCGGATGAATTTCTTAAAATAAACAAACGTGAATATAATCTCACCATCATCTCTCTCTCTCTCTGTCTCTCTCTCTCTCTGTCTCTCTCTCTCTCTCTCTCTGTCTCTCTCTCTCTCTCTCTCTCTCTCTCTCTCTCTCTCTCTCTCTCTCTCTCTCTCTCTCTCTCTCTCCCTCTCTCTCTCTCTCTCAGTCATTAACGCTGGAATGAGGAAGTTTTACCTGCAGGCCAATGACCAGCAGGATTTGGTGGAATGGATCAGTGTTCTCAACAACGCCACCAAGATTACAGTGAGCCTCTCACACACACACACACACACATACACACACACACACACACACACACACACACACACACACACACACACACACACTCATGGATCAATAGGTGACCCTGTTTCTGTTGTAGACCACTCTGTGTTTTCGCCTCAGGCTGAAACAGATGGAAAATTACCCATCAGGCCCATCAGAGATGAAGTTCAGGACCAACAGAGTTTTTCATTATCCTGATCATCAACCCAAAGATCCAGTTAATCAATAAGAAGTGAATTTTTATATATAACTGATCAAACACAGGGAGGTTCGATAATTATAAAACTGTGCAGTCAAATTCAGAAATCTGGACTTTGTGCTTCAACAGAAATCATTTTAAATTCAACAACCTGATGTCCTCCGCCTGCTTCTTCATTATTGGCACAACAATAATAATAACAATAATAATAATAATGATAATAATAATAACAATAATAATAATAAGAAGAAGAATTATAATAATAATAGTAATAAATTGTGTTAATAATGCGCTTTTACAGGTGCTCGAAGACGCCTTACAAAGAAAATAATAAGATAAAAATAGAAAATATATAAAAATATATAATTAAAAAAATGTATAAACAAATAATAAAAATGAAAAAAATGAATAATTAAAAAAATAGATAATAAGGTAAAAATAGAAAAAATAGAAATAAATAAAAAAATGAAAATAAATAAAAAATTAAAAATAAAAATTTCCAGGTTCAGGTCTGTGACCTGCTGCAGTGAAAACAAACGTTCCTCAAACAGGGAGAAGCTGAGCTTTTATTGGAGCTTTTTTCAGCCGCAGATTCATCCACACAGGACGGTCTGGTGAAGGAGAAACAGGAGAAACTCAAACTAACAGGACGCTGACTGATTCATATCGGGTCTGTTTTCAGGTGCCAAAGCCAGGTGAGGGCAACGCCGCCCACGCTGAGACTCCCCAGGAAGTCCTTGGAGCCATGAAGCAGGTCTCCTACAAGACTGAGATCATCGGAGGAGTCCCTATTATCACCGCGACACAGGTAACACACACACAAACACACACACACACACACACACACACACACACACACACGCACGCGCGTGGAGTCATGTGAGCGTGGCGTTAGCAGCTGCTAGCAGAAGCGGCTCAGCAGGTTTGGGCCTGTCTGTCATGGTATGCGGCGCCGACACGTGAGCGGACTCGCATCAACACAGAGTGGAATTCTGTAGCCTTAAGACTCTTAGAGAAGGTCCAATCAGAAGAATCGGATCAGAACCGAACAGAGAACCTTTAAAACACTGAAACAGATCCATTAAGGACGCTCCTGTTTGTGAACGAGTGAACACATGAAGGTGAAGGGGTGTGTTATTAACCATTTATGTGTGTGTTTGTTTCAGGAGCAGGGGGAGGGGCAGAACGGGGCGGAGCGAGGAGGTCTGAAGAGAGGTCAGAACCAGCTGCCCTTCTATCTGTCCAGAGGAGTCCAGGATCAGGGCGTCATCAAGGCCGGATACTGTGTCAAACAGGGCGCCGTGGTGAGGGTCCAAACACGCTCAGGGAGTCGGACGATCAGACCACAGATTCAGACATTCGTGCACACATTCCCACAAACAGAACCATCTGAGTTCTGGGTCAAAAACAGGAACCGGGTCTCTGCTGTCTCTGTCCTCACGGTCACCTCAGAGCTCGCTGTCGTGGCGGTGATGGTGGGCGGAGCAGAGACACACACAACAGATCGTACTTACCGTATTTTTCACATGTCAACATAGTCAACGTAGAACTGTACGATCGGAGGAAACGACCTTTTCCTTCAGGATGAAGGTGTAACTCATGCGTTCATGTCTGCTGTGTGTTCATTCTTCATGTTCATGTTGTTTTCCTGTTTTAAAGATGCAGAAGAATTAACGTTTAATCTCTCCATCCTCTTTTTCAGATGAGGAACTGGAAGAGACGTTACTTCATGCTGGAAGAAAACGCGCTCAGCTACTACAAAACTGACCTGGTAACACACACACACGCACACACACACACACACACACACACACACACACGCACACACACACTTGTCCCCAAGTTTGAACACACTTTGCTGTATTTACTGTAGTCAGCTGTGTGTGTGTGTGTGTGTGTGTGTGTGTGTGTGTGTGTGTGTGTGTGTGTGTGTGTGTGTGTGTGTGTGTGTGTGTGTGTGTGTGTACACGCAGCGGCATGCGTCCTGAATACCACCTCATATAATCCTCGTGTGGACAGATTAGCGAGTTCTTACCGCGGCGTGTCTCTGCGCTTAGAGAGACACACCCAGTGTGTGTATGTGTGTGTGTGTGTGTGTGTGTGTGTGTGTGTGTGTGTGTGTGTGTGTGTGTGCGTTCATGCATGCCTCCTTATTTTCCTGTGTAGGTGTGTGAAGTCATGCACACAGCAGCAGCTCCTCCTCCTCCTCTGTGAGTCTGTGAGGAGGACAGAGTTGAATCTGTGATCAGCTGTTATTCAGTCACCAAAGTTTCTAAGTTTTTAAAGTTTTTAAAGTTTTTAAAGTTAGTGTTAAACTCCTGAAGACAAACACACAGACTATAATGATTCATGCAGATCTCTGATCTAAAACCTGTTAGTGTCTCTCTGTTTCTCTGCTTCTTTTGTTTTTATTAAAAATCAAAATTAAATCATGAAAAGAGAAAAAAACCTGATGTATTAAAAACAAGGATTCAGGGTTTAAAGGTAGAAGAGGAGCTGGTCTGATGTTCGGTGTCTTCTCCCTGCAGGAGAGGGAGGCTCTGAGGGTCATCCCGTTAAAGGAGATCCACACAGTCCAGGAGTGTAAACACAGGTCAGTGAACTTCAGACCTTCAGACCTTCAGACCTTCAGACCTGAGATGATCTTTAATCTTCTCTGTCTGCTCTGTGTCTCTGCAGCGAGCTGATGATGAGGGACAACCTGTTTGAAATGGTCACCAGCTCCAGAACCTTCTACGTACAGGTACCAGAACATCAACTGGACTTAAACTAATACTGTCCATGAATAAATCAGAGTCACCTCATCGTCCTCGTCCTCGTCTGTCTGTCTGTGTGATAAAGTCTCAGGTTTATGGACAGTCACTTTTCTGTCAATGAGGACTAAGCACTGTCCCTCTGTCTTTGTCTCCCTGTCTCTCTGTCTCTCTCTGTCTCTGTCTCTCCTTCCTTCAGGCGGACAGTCCAGAGGACATGCACAGCTGGATTAAAGCCATCTCAGGTGCGATCGTGGCTCAGCGCGGTCCCGGACGCTCGGCTAACACTGTAGGTATCCGCTCAGACTTCAGCTCCGACACACTCAGATTATCCAGGAGAAAAAAACTAGTTAGTGATTTAGTGAATCTTTAAATTTGAAGAAATTCATCAAATTTAAATTTATTTAAAACTAAAAACTTTAAATCTGGAACAGAGTCGTGAAAGTTTGCTTCTTAATCGAGTTTTTTTCACTCTAACTGAACGACCTGTTTTCACCTGTAGTTTAGAAAAAGGTTAAAAGCACCAGGACAATTCAAAAGTGTAAATACAGGATAAAACAATCTGTGGAAACTCAGATTTTCTGCAAAGATTTAAAATTAAATTTAAAATCAGAATCAGTTTTAAGATGATCCAGATTCTCCTCTCCAGCTGTTCTGCAGAGTCCGGTCTAACTTTTCCTTCTGGTCCCATCAGTCCACGATGAGGAGCTCCATGTCGGTCAGATCTGATCTGATGAAGTGGCTCCACCTGCTGTCAGAAAGTGTTACTGCAGCTGTTTGAAAACAGAGTTTAAACCAGTGAACTGTATAGATCTGCTGATCTAGATCTGCTCTGAGAACTCATGTTAGTGTGTCTGTGAGAGTTTTAGATTAACGAACACGTCACCTGTAACTTTAATGATGATCGTCACGATAATCACCTTTTAGAAAGTCTACACACACACACACACACACACACACACACACACACACACACACACACACACACACACACATGTTACTCTTGAAATATTCTCTGTCTCTCTCTCTCTCTCTGTCTCTCTCTCTCTCTCTCTCTCTCTCTCTCTCTCTCTCTCTCTCTCTCTCTCTCTCTCTCTGTCTCTCTGTCTCTCTCTCTCTCTCTCTCTCTCTGTCTCTCTCTCTCTCTCTCTCTCTCTGTCTCTGTCTCTCTCTCTCTCTCTCTCTCTCTCTCTCTCTCTCTCTCTCTCTCTCTCTCTCTCTCTCTCTCTCTCTCTCTCTCTCTCTCTCTCTCTCTCTCTCTCTCTCTCTCTCTCTCTCTCTCGTTTTGAAGAGTTTCTCTCCAAAGCCACACGATCAGCCAAATGAAAAGGTCAAAGGTTAATATCAGAGATGACTCCTGATATTTTTTTAACCACGCCATCAAACTGTCAGAGTGGGTGGAGTCAGTGGACAGGACAGAGGGTCTCAGAAAACCATCAAAGGTCCAATAATCCGTCAGCAGCAGAATCTTCTCCGTCTCCGTCTGTGTGGTTATAGACCTGCTCAGATGGTCCTGTGGTGTTCTGGACAGAAGCTCTTCTCCTCACTGTCACTCAGTTCTGCTGTAAACTTGTTTTCAGATCCGTCAGGCCCGAAGGCTCTCCAGTCCTTGTATACAGAGGTATACGCCCTTCTGCGGCGGTGAATGCAGCACGTATGTGACCCCATGACCTCTCCCCCATGACCTAAACCCCCCCGTCATCCACCCCCACAAACATCAGCCTCTAACTCAGCCAGCATTTAACCCGCACACCGCAGAGCGCTCCTCCGGACGCTGTAGTGTTGATCCATCAGAGAGCTGCTGCTGCTAACACGACTGACGAACAGACTCACCGCCTGTTTCCATGGTAACCTCAGTCTTTAATAACGCCGCGTAGAGTAGAGCACGAGACGGACCGTTTGTGGGTTTCAAAGTTCTTCTTCTTAAACCAGGTGACCTCAGGACTTAATGTGAGGAGTCTCCACCATCATGACTCTGTTTGGTTTACTTTCATGGAGGTCAGAGCTGGAGCGACAGTCGAAACAAAGAACCAGAACCAGAACCAGAACCAATGATGAGTTTGTAGAGATATTAGTACGAATGAAGAAAGTCAAATCTAGAGTTAGACCTCTATTTTAGCTCAGACTCACCCCCTCCAGACCGGACCGTACGCTCTACCTCCCCTCCTCCACTCCCAGGTGTTTACAGGTGGAGCGCTTCATCTGATAGGCCCGTTTTTTAACCTTTGACCCGAGGGCAGCTGTGCAGCTCAAGGCTTGTGATGTTTCCATTTCTGATTCTGTTTGTTTGCAGCATCTTCATCCTCCTCCACTCTGTCTCATCATCATCATCATCATCACCTTCGTTTTGATCATCTTTATTAACATCTCAGTTTCTGATTTTTTTTGATCATCTGTTATTTCTGTGTCCGCCCTGGCGCTCCTCCTCCTTATTTTAAATGTTTTTAAGTTTATTGTGTTTATTTTGTGTCCGTCTCTCATCACTCGCCTCTCTCGAACATTTACAGCCTCCCTGATTCCAGCAGGACTCAGCAGAAACCAAACTCATCCAGAGCTTCTCCTTTTCTCCTGCTAACCTTCTGTCATGTTGTCTTTCTGTTTTTTCCCTCCGTGTGTGTGTGTGTGTGTGCGTGTGTGTGTGTGCACGTGTGTGTGCGCCTGCTTTCCAGAGAGTGAGGTGTGACAGTGACGTACTAACCCCCCCCAAATGAGCCCCGCTGCCTTCTTCCTGCCCCTCCACCTGCTGCTCATCGTCCAATCACCAAGCCCCACTGCCTCTCCGCTTCCTTAGCAACAGCTGTTTGACCCCGCCCTGCTCCTTGGCAACCGCAGCATCACCTGTCGTACGTGTCGCTTGTAACTGCATGACCACCCTGTAACACCCACAATGCACTGCACCTCCTCTGGAGGACAGTGTGTGACCTCATGTCTCACGAATTAAGCCAGCAGGCCGTTAAATCACACCTGGATTAACAGGTGACAGTAATCCACAATAAAAAACAATAATCCACAATAAAAAAACAATAATAAACATAGCCAAAGATTAAAATCAACAGTCCACAATAAAAAAAAACACAAAAAAAATTTAATCCACAAAAAAATAATAATCTACAATAAAAACAATAATAAAAACCACAATAAAAAACAATAATCCACGATACAAAAAGTAATCGAAAACAAAAAACAATAATCTACAATAAAATATAATAATCCACAATAAAAAAACATTAATCCAGGATAAAAAACAAAGAAAAACCACACTAATCATTGGTAGACAAAATTAAACCACAATAAAAAAAAGTAATCCAGATTAAAAAAACAATAATCCACAATAAAAAAAATAATCCATGATAAAAAAAATAATTAAAAAAACAATAATCCACATTGAAAAACAATAATCCAGAATAAAAAAAATAATCCATGATAAAAAAAATAATTAAAAAAACAATAATCCACATTAAAAAACAATAATCCAGAATAAAAAAATCCACAATGAAAATTTTTTATTTTAAGGGGATTTGGATTATTGGGGGATTTCAGTAGTAAATGAAATAAACATTTCAGCTCCAAAAAAAATAAAATTTTCTTGCTGTAATTTGTTGTTTTATTAAAGGGTGAAAAGACTCCTATTAGGGTTAACTCAGAGAAAGTTTAATGAGAGAATAAATGACTTTAACAAAGTTCATGAATGATTTAAAAAGGTGTGTTTAGGTCAGAGTTAGAGTAAATTCTTATTTATTTTGATTTTTTTTTCCAACACTTCATCTTTAAACAGCTTTAAAAAATTAAAATAAAGACTTTTTCTTGTTAAAAAGGTCGGAGTAAATATCTCTCTGTAACCTGCAGCTTAATTTGAAGCTCTTGTCTCCTCTCCTCCCTCGGCTCCTCGTCCCCTTACACTCTAAAATCCTTTACTCACTCACTCACTCACTCACTCACTCACTCATCCATCCTCCTCGTCTCTCTCTCACGTTGTCTCTCGTCCTCCTCTCTCTCTGCAGGAGCGCGCTGACTGCCCCTCTCCCTCCCCAACCTCTGCCTCTGTCTTCTACTACTCCCTCGATGAGGACCCACCGCTCGCCCAGTCCTCCTCCTCCGGCGCCTCCTCAGCGGGCCCTGAGCCTCAGTTTGGACCCGCACCACCAGGAGAACTTCCTGGGCCTGCTGCCCTGGAGGCTGAGCGGCGTCCAGTCGGTGATGGTGCCCCTCCCTACGGCTCGGTCCCGCCTTTCTCTGCAGGAGACGGTGCAAACTACAAAGTAAAGGAGGAGGAGAGCGAGTCGCCGTGGAAACGGCGCAGCGAAATCGCCCAGCTGTCGTTTGTCCGCGGCGACGGGGACGAGGAGCTGAACAGTCACACCACTGAGGAATCGGACCTGCAGATAACCCTGATTTAAAAAAACCACGATGACGAGGCGTCTCTAGAGGACACGCCCACTTCCACTCAAGCTCCCTGTGCCGAAACGACTTAAATGACCCGAACCCTCCAAACTCTCCGGGACCATGGACCTGTGCGTGCGTACACACGCTGAATATGACCTCCTCCTCTTCCTCCTTCTTCTTCTTCTTCTTCTTCTTCTGCAGTTTTTTCTCTCACTCTCGTCTTCCTGCAAACTAAAAAAGCCATGTGGTCAAAAACCGAAGAAGACGCCGACTCGTTGTACAGTTTAGTTTTTAAACAGACCCGGCTGATCGCACCAACAAACTCCAGGTTTCAGGATTTTCCCCCAAAAAACAGACGAAACCAAAGTTTGTGATTTTGTTCCTGCTGTTACAGACCGAGCTGAGGGACTGACTAATCCAGATCCTCAGTGACGGTCCAAGCTGAGGGACTGACTAATCCAGATCCTCAGTGACGGTCTGCGTTCACATCACTCCGTATATCGACCTTCTCTCTCTCCCTGTAAGCAGATCTGTCGATGAGTCTCTCAGATGTCAGATTATAGACAAACCCGGGTTAGATTTCCTTTAACGGTTCACACTGTGAGGTGAATCTACTGTAATTATCATCTATCTTCTGAGCTCTCAGATTTCATACCAGCAGACGTTAGAGGTGGACATCTATGTTAGACAGTAAAGGGTTGAACCAGAGAGCGTCGGTCCTCGTTCTTCCATTTCGTTTCGCCACAATCTCAACATTTAACGTCACAAAATCGACCACATGACCTTTAATAACCCCGACCCAGACGGGGACAGGAGAGCAGATCCAGGACTCGGTTCTGTCCAGTCCGGCTGTCCGCTCTACCTCCCCCCATCTGATGAATCAGCACTAAACCAAAAACCAAAACCAGCATCGAGAAGTACCTACTGAATGAGCGGACATAGACAAGAAAACACCAGATTCTGAACGACGATCACAGACGGTGAATTGGACTTCTCAGGAATCAACGAGGGAAAAACATCTAGAAACGATTTTTTCAACATTATTTTACCAGCAGATGATCGTCCTGTCGTCAGATATTCAACTTCAAGATTTTGATAAAAGAAAACAGAAAACAAACACAGACTGTTTTCATGTTTAATCATAAAAATATAGAGTTATAATTCACTCCATCGTGTTTTTGTTTCAGCCTAAAGACGATGGAGTGAATCACATGAGAAGATAAATCCCTAAAAAGACTCACAGTCAGATATCAGATATCAGCGGCTCGTGTTTGTGAACGAAACAAGAAAATGTTTATTTTAGAGAGACGAATATTTCTGATAAGATGTAAATATAAAAGTGTTCCTGAATCCCTTTAACAGCAGACCGAGGTCTTTGTGTGTCTTTGGATTTTTGCTCTTTACTGTAAAAAAAAAAAACAAACCGAGGAGGAAGAAGTCGGAGGTTTTCAGTGTTTGACTCTGAGCGGCATTATTCTCCAGGACTCACTGCTGTCGACTGAAGTTTAGAGAAACTGACGTTCACCTTCTTCTCACCAGCTTTACTGACCTCACCTGCTGCTGCTGCTGCTGCTCCTGATCCACGTTACTGTTCCTCTCTAACTCCAGAGACATCTATGTTCTCGTTTCTACGTTTTTAAAGATGTTGTTGGGAGAAATGAAACCAAACTGAAACTGTTCATGATGTTGTTGTTTGTTTTTCGGACTCACTCAGTCAGTCGGTTGGTCGGCTGTTTTCTGTGTTTTTGACTGTTTCCTCTGTTCTGATGTGACTTTATTATTATTATTATTCTTCACAGTGATGTTTGAGGAGAATCAATCTACATATATAGATTTGTTGTTTACTGACTTTTATAAACACGTGTGCATGACGGCGCCGGCATGCACACACTTCCTGTTGACCCCTGTTGAACCTAAGCTGGGTAAAAGTGCCTGTGATGAGTGGATGAAACGTGGCGAGAGAGAGAGAGAGAGAGAGCTGTTTGACCCTTTTTAGTGTGTATTTGATTCTAAGAAGATGTGATCTGTTTATTAAAAGACAAGAATTTCAAAATAAGAGTCAAACCTGATCTGGTGTTTTTATTTCTATGAAGGAGGAAACCAGTCTGGACTGTAGACTCTATCCAGAATGGACGCCGTCTGCCTTCTCGCCACTGTTAATTGTCGTAAAAGTCGCTAGAAATCGCTAGATGACGTCATTGCCTCATTTGCATAATTTCTCAGTCAAACCCACCGCCGCCGCTGACCCCAGGAGGAGGAGGAGGAGTCTTCTGCAGGGTTACCGTGTCCGTGTTTTTGATGCACACCGATCCGAGAAGAGTAACATCGATACCTGCCTTCATGTGAAGACGGATTTCCACCGCATCCGAAACAGCACCGATTTTCGCCGTACGCCAATTCCTACCAGATCCGTTTGTGAGGCGAATTTCAGTCCTGAGTCGGAGTTAGCAAACACAAACTTTCATCTAAAACGTGAACTTGATCAACGACCAATCAGCACGTCAGAAACTCTGATCAGCCAATAGCGTGTTTTCCAGAGTTACAAGAGTTCTGATTGGACCAGAAGTAGTCGTCAGCAGTAATGTGTAAAACTGAAACACACAGATTCACTCCGCTCAGCCACAATATTATCAGGTGAAGATTTTGAGTCCATGCGGCGACTTCCACTCCAGAGTCACGTCTGTTTTTGATGGAGAAGTTTGACAAACTGAGGTCAGATTTTAAAAATGTCTAATCTTCAAATAAATGTTTGTTTTTTAATGAGGATCAAACTGTGACGAGTTTATGAAACCAGAACAATCCGAGCTCTTTAAACCGGGTTGAAATCCTCCGTCAGTCCACAGCATGTCAGTGTTTCCTCATGTTCGAACCCTCTCCTGTGTTTCCTCACTTACAGCTGAAGTTCGCCTCCATCCATCGTTGGGTGGAGACTCTCCAAATAAACTCCTCGGAGCCGTTGTTGATCGTTAGGTCATGTTTCTGGACACCGGCTGCAGAGCGTCAGTCCCACAGAAACACAACGTGCCGCCGCCGCTGTGAGGTCCCAGACCTCCAGGAGTTACATAACCTGAACATGATCGAGTGATTATGGAGACATGGATGTGAGCTGGTGGAGCTGCAGAGAGAGAGAGGAGGACGGAGCTCTGCTGGACTCTCTCTCTGAAAACACAGAGGATTTCAGTGGAAACAGGTTTTTACAGAGTTACACCGACAGTTTCTACTTTTATTTATTCGTCTTTATTTTGAGTATCTGTTCAGGAGTTTTTTACTGTTTGTTCTTCATGAATCATTCAGAGGAACCCTGAATCAGAGAGGACAGGCCCATCATCCTTTAACCTCTCCCTGAAGGCTCCTCAGACCGTAGACCACATCAGTGATCTCAGAGTCTGTCCTGTTCGGTTATAAAACTCAGAGTTTGGTTAATCCAACTGGAGCGGCGCCTCTTTACATCCACTAACATTTACAAATCCTGAATTCTGAAGAAGCAAATAACCTGTGTGTGTCTGCAGAGTCTGAGGCTGCGGTTTCAGGACTGTGAGGTTAAAGTTACTGTGAAGTTTGTGGTTCGACGCGACAAAAATAAAACAGTCTTTACTGTCGATGCACTGAGCTGCCATCTTGGATTATGTTGTCGTCAAATCAGGGTTGGCGAGGATCGTCCGACTTTCCGAGTTGATAAGCCGACTTCAGGAGCGCGTTCCAGAGGAATTTCCGACTCGGAGCTCAGAAATCTCGACTTCCGAGTACAAGTGGAACGCAGCACAAGAAACCAAAAGTTTTGATGGTAAAAAACAAAAACTTATTATTTTAATTTAATTTGAACAAAAATCCAACTGGAAAAAAAACAAAAATAAAAACACAAATTAAGACAGAGAAGACAGAGAGACACGGACAACGAACCGACACAGAAGGAGGGAAAAGGTTAGAAACTATAAACAGAGAGAGAGAGAGAGAGAGAGAGAGAGAGAGAGAAAGAGAAGAAACAGGTGAAACAAACGAGGGATTAAAAAAACTGGAGAGACGTGGAGAGGTGCGCCGCTTAACCGGCAACAAGTGTTCAGAAAAGTGACTCTGCGTGTTCTTCAGACTGTGAATATTTGACCGTTCAGATCGGAGTGTAAAAAGGTGAAGGTCACGGTTGATATAAAACACAATAAAAGGTCAAAAGGTCAGAGAAGCTCAAAAACACGGAGCGAACATCTGAAGATGATCTGAGGAAGAATTCGCCGTTAAACTCGTTCAGATTTTGTTCCTAAATTTCTCGATATTTATGGAAATGTCAGAATTTGACTAAAAACAGACTTCATCTTCATCATCATCTTCATCATCATCATGTGTCAGAGTGTGTGTGAGTGTAATCAGAGCTGTAAACACCGCTCTGACTTCATTATGTAACATCTGGTCTTCTTCTCCAGCAGCTGTTTCGCTCCAGAACCAGGTCCACTCTCTGAGCCGTTAAAGGGAGAGTCCGCTCCGTTCTTTATCCCTGAAGGTGACTCGCTGACGTCTGGTCCAGATGTTTGAGGGAGATCCTGATTAAAGGTGTGTTTGACTTTGAATCCCTCAGAGCTGTCATGGTGGTTTTTGTTGGAGGTCGGGTTGTTTTTCTTGTTCTCCTGAATCGGACTGTAAAACATCTCCGTCAGGTCCACGTCCTGACTCAGCCGTGTTTGAGTTTCCGTCATTTCAGCCAAACTCTCAGCGCTTCACGCTCTCGAACCGTTAGACGGAGCAGCTTTCTCCAACGAGGCATTAATCATTAAAGAGCGAATCCATTCAGGAGTTGAAGGTTCACTTCAGTTCAGCAGCTCCAGTCGGGCCAAAGACCTCCCTGATCCAGAACCACAGAGCTCCATGCTCACGTGGATCAGCTGTTCTCCATCAGAAAAACCTCCAGAAGTCAAAGTTTGAAGACGGAGAGTTTGAGGATGTGCAGCAGATTTAATAATCCAGAGATTATCTTCAGATTATTGAACATTTTCACCATAATTATTGGTCTTCAAACACAAACAAAAACCGTCTTTAAGGAGGGTTCTGTTCGTGGATTAGTGGTTCAGGGTGGATTATCTGAAAACTGGATTTAGTCTCTTTGTTCGCAGGATTGAGATTTTTTTAATAAAGAAGGTTTTTGTTCATCTGAAGGAGGATTTAGTCTCTAATTAAAGAATCACAGTGAACACAGAATAATGAAGCTCATTTCAATGTTTGCAGGACTTCTACAACGAGGATAAAGTGACATAGTCCAGGACCCGAGGGAGGACAGTTTAGCGATGGCGCTACAACACGCTACAGCAGGTCCGTTTGACAAGAAACACTTCTGTTACAGACACTTGTCTTACTTTGTTAAAGCGGTTTACCTGTCCAGCAGAAAGGTTACAGGGTCACCAAGATCCCCAAGCGTCCCCCATGGTTTATGTTGACCCGGCTTTTTAGCTCTTGTCCGGTCTACCTCCGTTTTAAGCGCCCGTTATTCCTCCAGAGTCTCCGGTATTTACTTTGTTTTCTTGCTTGTGTCGGCAGTCGTGGCCAAAGGAGGATTCAGACAATTTTCCGAACTTTCTGGTTGGTTTCTACTGTCCGATATTGTAGCACGCTAACTTTGTTTGGGCTCCTGAACGACACGGGGGAGCAGCATTTTCTTGTTGACTGTTTTCTTGTTGACTGTTTTCTTGTTGACTGTTTTCTTGTTGACTGTTTTCTTGTTGACTGATTATGGTTGACTGTTTTCTTGTTGACTGTTTTCTTGCTGACTGTTTTCTTGTTGACTGTTTTCTTGTTGACTGTTTATGGTTGACTGTTTTCTTGTTGACTGTTTTCTTGTTGACTGTTTACTTGTTGACTGATTATGGTTGACTGTTTTCTTGTTGACTGTTTTTGCTGACTGTTTTCTTGCTGACTGTTTACTTGTTGACTGTTTTCTTGTTGACTGTTTTCTTGCTGACTTTTTTCTTGCTGACTGTTTTCTTGTTGACTGTTTTCTTGTTGACTGATTATGGTTGACTGTTTTCTTGTTGACTGTTTTCTTGCTGACTTTTTTCTTGCTGACTGTTTTCTTGTTGACTGTTTTCTTGTTGACTGATTATGGTTGACTGTTTTCTTGCTGACTGTTTTCTTGCTGACTGTTTTCTTGTTGACTGTTTTCTTGCTGACTGTTTTCTTGTTGACTGTTTTCTTGCTGACTGTTTTCTTGTTGACTGTTTTCTTGTTGACTGTTTTGGTTTTGACTGTTTTCTTGTTGACTGTTTTCTTGTTGACTGTTTTGGTGTTGACTGTTTTCTTGCTGACTGTTTTCTTGTTGACTGTTTTCTTGTTGACTGTTTTCTTGCTGACTGTTTTCTTGTTGACTGTTTTCTTGTTGACTGTTTTGGTTTTGACTGTTTTCTTGTTGACTGTTTTCTTGTTGACTGGTTTGGTGTTGACTGTTTTCTTGCTGACTGTTTTCTTGCTGACTGTTTATGTTTGAGTCTTTTCTTGCTTGTGTCGGCAGTCGTGGCCAAAGGAGGATTCAGACAATTTTCCGAACTTTCTGGTTGGTTTCTACTGTCCGATATTGTAGCACGCTAACTTTGTTTGGGCTCCTGAACGACACAGGGGAGCAGCGTCTGCCTCACAACCAATCAGGTTAGAGGAGGTGGAGAACGGCTTTGTTTACAGTCAGAAAGAGCGGACCGCTCAAACATGTTCAAATGTTGACGACACAGACATAAGAGAACACAGAGATATTGATATATTACCAAATAATCAATAACTAAGGACTCTGACAGTTTTCCTGTTCATGTTTCGTCTCTTCAGTTTTCCGTCCGATCGCAGATGTTTGTGTTGTTCTGAAAATCGTCTGAACAGTTTGGGTTTTTGTCCTCTCAGCCTTGGACTGACTATCTGAGATGAACCGTTAAGTTGTTCGGGGAGTTTACAGTCGGATCACATTCAGCCTCGGGAGCAGGACTCAGCTGGTTGTCATAGAAACACTAATAAATGTTTATGTTTATGACAAACTCGTGTATGATGATTACTCATGAAATAAAGCCGATGAAGTCCTCAGCTGCAGCGTCGATCTGAGAGCTCATCGCGCCGATTTATGATGTGAAGTCCGCTGGAGGCCATTCAACGGCTCTTCCAGGAAACCGGGGAGTGTGTGAGTGTGTGTGTGTGTGTGTGTGTGTGTGTGTGTGTGTGTGTGTGTGTGTGTGTGTGTGTGTGTGTGAGAAACATCAATCTGATTTCACTCAAGTCGAGTCAGTCAGCAATAACATTTTGATTTATGCGTGAGCGTGTCCGAGTTGGAAGGAGAGAGTGAGAAAAAGACACGAGGAGGACGACAAAGTCAGAGCTGGAGAATGCTGGGAGGAGGAGGAGGAGGAGGAGGAGGAGGCAGCTGCCAGGCCTCTACACACAGATGGAGTGTGTGTGTGTTGATGTGTGTGTTAGTGTGTGTTAGTGTGATGACTCAGACCTCCTCCCATTCGTCCTGCATGTCAAAGTCTCTCTAATATTGAGTTTCTTCACTTTATCAAGTTTGTGCTTCAGTTCTTTGTTGCTTTTTTGTCCTTTTTTATGACAAGAGCTAAAAAGCCGGGTCAACATAAACGATGGGGGACGCTTGGGGATCTTGGTGACCCTGTAACCTTTCTGCTGGACAGGTAAACCGCTTTAACAAAGTAAGACAAGTGTCTGTAACAGAAGTGTTTCTTGTCAAACAGACCTGCTGTAGCGTGTTGTAGCGCCATTGCTAAACTGTCCTCCCTCGGGTCCTGGACTATGTCACTTTATCCTCGTTGTAGAAGTCCTGCAAACATTGTGTTTGCTGGTCGTCTGTTGGCATCTACAGTAGCACCAATGCTTTTGACTTTCACCTTGACTGGGCCCCATTTGTAATGATCTGAAGGATTTATCTGCATTATATCTGAATTTAACGATATGAGCAGCAGGAGCGTCTGCAGAAACTGATGAAGTCTCTTTAAACTCAGAAGTTTGTGTTCGCTCTTATTAAAAACAGAAATCTATAAATGAATTATAAATATAACCTAATAACTGACAATCATTACATAACAGTGCTGTTCCTCATACAGATGTCCATGATCCCATCAAACAGACTGGAGATGTTTAAGGATCATGTGACGGGAAATTAAACATTCTGCGGTTCTGTGTGAGGAGACAAATCACTATAGTCCATGATTATATAACATGTTAGAGATCACATATACAGGTTTAGAGAGTGTGTGTGTGTGTGTGTGTGTGTGTGTGTGTGTGTGTGTGTGTGTGTGTGTGTGTGTGTGTGTGTGTGTGTGTGTGTGTGTGTGTGTGTGTGTGTGTGTGTGTGTGTGTGTTAAATTGTTCCTCATGTTCCTGCAGATCTCGACACACAAACTCCTCTGATGACTCACCGGACTCTTTCAAAGTCCGCTCCGAGGATTTCAGGGGCCAAGAAAAAACCTCCTCAATGAGCTCTGATGGTTTCTGGCAGAACTGGGACAGTTGAGCGGTTTCAAGGATCTTTGGAGCTCCTTCAAGACCCTTCAAAGGCTTTCAAAAACCAGTCAAAGTCTTTCCAGGACTGGTGAAGCTCAGTCTGTTCAGGATGTGGTTGAAATCCTGTGACCCTAGATTAATTTTACTCCAGAATATTCCTTTAAGGACTCTGGAATCTCCTCCATGATCTTTCTAACCTCCTTCAGAAAACCTTCTAGTCCATCGAAAACTCATATCTACTCGGGGTGACCGTTTGGAAGGTTCCTCCAAAGTTTCTTGAACCTTTTCTGGAACCAGCTGGGTCCAGAAGTTCCTAAAACATGGAGTCCATCAGTCAGGATCTCTCTTTAAGGACTGTCATTTAGAACATTTGGAGCCCCCTTGTCATCCCTGGGTTCTTCTGTATCTCCTGGTTTGACCTCTGGACAGACTCAGCAGATCACCAGATCCTCCGAGGACCACCAGACCCCCTTTAAAGGACCTTTATAATCCTTCAAACTACAGCAAGAACACACAGATCCTCGTTTCTTGTATCCAGTCTTGAACTCATCGGCGCTGCTCCATCTCTCTTCGACCCTCTCTGGTCCGTCTCCACGGCGACGAGGGTGGCAACGTCAACAAACACAAACAGAGAGAGATGGATGAAAATCCTCTCTGCATCACTTCTCTCTGACTGAAGGGACAAAACTGAACAGCCCTGAGGTCTGAGAACCATCAAGTCATCTGACAGAAAACCAAACTCACTAGTGCCCCCTACAGGCGGAGGTTGGTACAACAACCAGTGGTTCATTTCGGTGTGTCATTGTGGCATCTTGGTTTTTTACCAACTGGAGAACAAATCTTCATTATCTAGAGAAAAATTTAACAAATCAGAACTATCGACAAGTCAAAGTTACAACGATGAGTTTTTTAAACCAGAAGAAGAAAGAGGCGAATCTGAAGAAGTTTGATTTCTTTATCTTTACAGCGAACGCCTCTCAGTGGACAAAAAAATGATTCATAAAGCGATAAATTATATCGTAATATTTGGCGTTGAACCATGTCCTCTTACACTGTATTGTGTTGGATCCTAGCAGATCATACCGTATGGTATCGTACTGGATTGTGTCAGATTATATGTGTTGTTTGTTTTGTACGGAGGCCGAGAACCTCCACTGCTGCACATGAAAAAGAATGCTAAAATAAAAAAAGAAATCATGCAGATTAAAATATAACCACATATAACCCAAATAAATTGACCAACAGGCTCAAACTAGTGGTTGAGTTGAAAAAACAAACCAACATTTTTTTTGTGTGTAAGAGACACTAAAGCTCTGATTTTAGACTTTTGTGTTCAAAGTTTATTATTTTCTATCACAGAAGCTGCACAGGTCAGAGTCAGGTGATGATAACAGACTGTAAAGGTCTGTGTTCTGATGGTACAGGTGGTTCTGTCTCTGTCATCTCCAGCTGACCCGAGGTCAGGCGGTTCTGTTACACAGGATTGATTTTTCCGATCAAACTCAATATCAAAACGTTCAGACCTGTTCTCGAGCTGCAGGGCCCACAGAAGCAAATGTTCTGTTTTGGAAACATTCGATTGATCGGCGATTGTGTGACATCACCTAACGGTTACGTCATCGTCATGGAAACTCGATCTGATGGAGCCTCCAGCTCTGGATGTGATTGGTCACGCTGTGGGACAGTTTATGAACGTGTTTTAAGAACAGTTTGAACTCGTTTTAATCCGAAACAGAAAAATCTTTATTTCAGATATCGAGCTCTGTGTCGCTGCTGGAATAAAGAGAGAAAAACGAGGATCTGAGCAGGTGCTGAAGAGCTCAAACATGGTCCCCCTCAGGGTCTCACCTTCGCTGTACAGACTTGCAAAATTAATCTCCCCTGCAGACTTCTGGGAGACGAGTGCAGGTCAGACGGTGAGGAAGAAGAACATAGATGGAGGAGCTGCAGAGACACCGACACGCCGAAGATCCTGGACTCAGCTGTTGGTGTTTTTTATAACTCCCAGTACAAACCAGAACATCTAACCAGACCCACTGAAGAATAGCTGAGCAGAGTTGGACTAAGACCTCATGATACACAAACACAACATGAGGCCCAGTCTGAAAACTTTAATCCTTTAAACCAGATCCAAACCATCAGTGTGCAGCTTTTTACAACCTGCACACCTGTCTTATTATGGGATGTAAACCTCTGAGGAGAAACCTGTTCATGTCTTTATCTTTACAGTAAGTCAGAGTAAGTTTTTTTGTGTTTTCTCTCTGAACTCCGATTTCTCCCTCTGCAGAAACGCTTCAGTCTGGCTGTGAACTTCACTCCAACACTCTGTTTCTAGTCTGTTTGGTAAATATTTGCACTTTATTAACCAACAATCAGAACCACAGTCGTCAATCAGAACCACAGTCGTCAATCAGAACCACAGTCGTCAATCAGAACCACAGTCGTCCTCCAGGCTGTGTGGTACGACTGATCAGGCTCCACTCTCCACTGAACGCCTGCTGCTGCTGCTAATGTGTTCATGAAGAAATCCACCCGAGTCTGATCCCTGAAGGGTGTGTGTGTGTGTGTGTGTGTGTGTGTGTGTGTGTGTGTGTGTGTGTGTGTGTGTGTGTGTGTGTGTGTGTATGAGGGTCTGGAATAAATGTGGTTTTATAAATCTGAGTGATAATGACGGATGATAACGACGTTGTTATTTCCCCGTAAATGTGAGATACGTTAAGAAAACCATAAAACCAAATAAAACTGTCAAATGTTTAAAACTCTGAAGTTTTTTCTCCGTCAGTAAAATGGAAAGTGACTAAATTAGTGGGTAAAATTAACCCAGCGTGTGTTCTGTCCGATATTTAACCAGCGCTGGGAGTGTGATTGACCTTTGACCTTAAACTCAGAGAGGTCCTCACAGGTTTGTCTCACAGATTATCACAGCTGGATCAATATATATATGTGTGTTTTTGGACCAGATTATTAATTTATTAGATTATAAAACAGAGGAAATCTCTCCTGTCAAAGATCATCAGACGTTTTAACTCCTCCTCCCTCAGAGACTCAGACGCCCTCAGTCTTTACCTGGACTCTGATCACTGTTTATATGCAGACTGTTTTAATATTTTATGTTGTATATAGTGGACAAACTTGTGTATTATCTCTCTACTTTTACTTATTTTAATTATTTTTATTTATTTATCTCTTTATTTTTACTTTTTTTAATTTATTTTAACTTTTATCTCTTTATTTTTATTTATTGTATTTTTTATTTATCTCCTTTTTTTTTACTGTATTTGCACTGGAGTTAATTAATTAATTAATTAAAACTCACAGATTTTTCTCTTAAAATATAATCCTGGAAAATTCACCTCATATTTTTGAGACATTTCAGAGTTAAAGGTGAAAAAATTAACACCTTTACAGAAAGTACAGTTTTCATTTAAAGTCCTGAAAAGATCCTGAAGGTGAAAGAAATTCAGAATAAACACAAAATTATAAAAACATAAAAATGGAAAAACTACAAATTCAGGAAAACTTTGACTAACAGGAGGGACACACACACACACACACACACACACACACACACACACACACCGTCCCCTCCCTCCCTCCCTCCTCTGACAGACGTCACACACGCCCACCAATCAGCTCCCGTGTTTTTATCCCGCAGCTTTAAAACCCGGGTCCTCCTCAGACCTGGATCTATCTCACAGCCTCAGCAGGTCACGGTGACCTCTCCTCCTCCTCCTCTTCTTCATCTTCATCATCATCTCCTTCTTGTTCTTCTTCTTCTTCTTGTCTCCACACTGACTGTCAGAGTTCTCCTCATCATCATCATGGGTCTTCGCCTCCTCCTCTGCGTGATCTCTCTCCACCTCTGCCCGTCTCTGATGGCCGAGGCTCGGATCACCAAACGTTTCGCCATCGGCTGTCCGGAGAAGTGCGACAAGTCCGCGTGCGCGCCGATCCCCGCCGACTGTCTGGCCGGTGACGTCCTGGACCGGTGCGACTGCTGCCCGGTGTGCGCGTCCGGAGAGGGCGAGCAGTGCGGCGGCGCCGGGGACCGTGAGTGCGCGGAGGGCATGCAGTGCGTGGTGACCGGCGGCGTGGAGGTGTCCGCCACCGTCAGACGGAGAGGCGGCACCGGGCTGTGCGTGTGCACCGGGTCCGAGCCGGTGTGCGGCAGCGACGGCGTCTCCTACCGGAACATCTGCGAGCTGAAGCGGGTCAGCAACCGGGCCATGAAGCTGCAGCAGCCGCCGGTGATCTTCATCCAGAGAGGGGCGTGCGGGAAGGGAGAGAAAGGTGAGTGAGTGAGAGTGCGTGAGAGAGTGAGAGAGTGAAGGTGTGGAGGGGTGAGACAAAAACAGAGAGAGGTTTACTCAAACAGGAGAAGAGATGGAGGACAGAAGACAAAAACAGTCACAGTCCTCTCATCACAGAAAACAGCAGAAATGATAAATAGGGGAGACTAGGGCTTGTTGTCACATGGGTAAATTGTCACATTGTAATTATCTTTGCCACTAGAGGGCGCAACTAAAAAGTGGAACACTAGTTTTCTTCCTTTACATGGTCAGGGGTCAGGATGTAAGGATTAGCGGTAAAATGATAAACCGCAGTAAAATGTCTGACGGTCAGTACGACCGTTTCAGACTTTAATGACCGTTAAAACCGTGTTTGATCGCCGCACTCTGGAAACCTCACAGTGACTCTGCTCAATGCTGAGAAGAACAGCGGCATTCACATTGTACAGTGTACAACTTGTAAAAATGGCGGAGGACAGTTCTGCGGGCAGTTCTGTCGACCATGTTACAGAGATTTTTCTGCTGTCAGAGGAAACGAAGTCTGAAGTCTGAAGTCTGGACATATTTCAGCTTCTCCAAAAGGTCATGAGGGTTGTCAGGAAGCTTTTGTTCATCCCAGCGACCAGCGTGTCATCAGAGAGGTTATTCAGTGTCAGCGGGAACATCGTTTCATCTGCCAGATCACGACTCAAACTAGACAAAGTAAATCTGCTGATATTTTTACGTTTCAGTCTGAAGTAAAGAACAAAGTCAGCAGGAGAAGAAAACAGACAATCGGTTCATCTGATTATTTTACATATTTGAAGTTATTTTAAAGAGCTGAACTTCACATCTGTTCACATGAGGTCGTATCAGAATCAGACTGACTTCCATAAACATGAACCTTCTCTGTAACAGGAGGAGCTGATGTTCTGTTTGGAGAGGATGGAGGGGGTTTGTCAGGATGACCTTTGACCTCTGAGTGACTCTGGATTTAAGAACAGAGTTAAGATTATTCAGACTCACAAAGTTTCACAATATTTCAGCTCAGTTTATTTTCATCTGTGGTACTGAGATTAAACTGAGATTAAACTGAGATTAAACTGAGATTAAACTGAGATTATCAAACCAACATGTGATCGAAAAGGTTCAAATGGACTCGATCAAAGAGAGTAAAACATTTGAAGAAGCTTTTTGTCAACGTTACAACACCTTAATCTCCTCAGATTAAATAATCTCTGGCATGAGTGTGTGTGTGTGTGTGTGTGTGTGTTAGGTTTGAACTTGAATGACCTCAGCAGGAGGAAACACACTCTTTTACTCCCCCCCCTCCTCTACATCACGGTCAGCTGATTGTCAAACACACGTCCACATGATCCTTCAGGGTCCTCCACATGTTCTTAGAGCAGATGTTGGATCCGTGGTCCTGATCTCCTCCTCTCCTCCTCTGTCGCTGTGATGAGACTGGAATCCGATTTTCTCTACCATGTAACCAGCGTAGTCGGAGTATGACGCCACGCCCCCGTAACCCCGTAACAAACCCCCAGAGTAGAGGAGTAGCGTTGGTCTCCTCTTTAGAAAAAGTAGCGCGTCCATCATGTCGGACAAAAACAACGCTGTACGATGCTCCATCTTCTTGTTTCTCCAAAATGCCCAGCAGCAGTTGTAGACACTTCTGACGTCTGACACCGACCTGCTGTTGTTGTTGACGGTTGGATGGGGTCGGAAACAGCGCCGCTGAAAAGACCCATATCTCCCCCTAGTGTTGGGGAGGAGGACACGTTCACATCAATAATTCAGTTTTCTCAGCTGCATGTAAATGAGGACAAGGAGAGAAGTCTGATTCAGAGAAAAAGACGAGTTATGAGTTTAGTCCAATTAAACTGAGACTGTAAACAACCTGAGTGAAACACACACACACAGAAACACACACAGAAGCACAAATAGAAACACACACAGAAACACACACACACACACCGTCTTGTGTTATCTTTCCAAGGTCATGATGTCTTGAAGTCGGGCCAGGATTTCCTGAGTTCTGCAAAAACAAACACTGCTCCCCGTGAGAGAGAGTGTGTGTTCATGTTCAACACTAAATATGCTCACAGTCCTCTCTCTCACACACACACACACACACACACACTCACACACTCTGTGGAGCTGCAGCTGTGAACACATGAATATGAGGACTAACTTTGAGACCTGGGTTCACTCAGGTCAGAGTGTTTCTCTCTCCTGTTCTCTGACTCAGCTCTCGCTCCGCTCTCGTCTGTAACGTCCTCCTCAGACTCAGATGTGGGTCAAACTCTTCTTCTCTAACCCAGATTTGATGGTTTGTTGTTTTTCGCTCACGTCTTTGTTTTTTCTGCTTCCTGTTCAGACCTGAGTGCGCTCTCTCTCAGACTGACAGGTTTGGAAACAAAATCAACCAAACACAGCCGGGCCGTGACTCAGCTCTGACAGGAACCGGAGGAATTTCCTCCCAGTTCAGGCTCGTCGTGATCCTCATCAGATCTCACAATAAAAATATGAAACTAAAAATGTTCAGAGATGTTTGAAGACCCTCACCTCCGCCCACCTGCTGCTCTGACCTCTGACCTCCGCTCATGTTGTCCTGTTACCTCCACCTGCAGAGGTTTTCCTCCGTCTGACTGACTCCATTCACTTCACTTCAAAGCTGCAGCAGCTGCACACACACACACACACACACACACACACACACACACACACACACACACACACACACACACACACACACACACACACAGGTAAACACAGCTGAGGCTGAAGTGAACGTTCAGAACAAACAGCTGTTCAGTCAGAACCTCAGCGGCGGCGGTCTGAGAGGAGGACTACAGAAAAACATCAGTGTCAGCCAATCAGAGAGAGCCGGGGGCGGGACAAAGTATTTTTAATAGAATAGTTTAATTTATCATAATATGTATAAAATAATCTTCTTCTGTAAGTCTGGTCCACTCCGCCTCTCCGCTCTGATCTGAGGCTGAACGGCGGCGGCGGCGGCGGCAGGAATGAGCTCAGGGCTTCACTGCGATGATAAGATCTGCAAATATGTGAGGCGTATCAGCCGAGAGACGGAGCGCACCAGAATCCTGCAGATCCCTGACCCGAGGACTTTCTCTGACGTGTCTCCACCGGTCCTCTGAACTTTAGATATAAAGACCGGAGCAGCAGGTTGAGAGTTTTTTTACATGAAGAACAGTCGCTCTGATTTATGGCCGAGATTACCCTCCATACTTCATCTGTTCTCATCCATCCACCCTGAACCTCCACCCTCACAGACCTTCAGTCAACAAAGGTCTTCATGGAGCAGGAACACGTCTCAAAGTGGACTGAGGACTTCCTGAGGTTTTCTTTGGCACCTTAATCCAAAAACACTTCACTGAACATCAGGCTGGTTTTTGGTTTTTGGTTTTGTGGTTTTTAAAGTCTGAGCTGCCAACAGAGGTCTGAACCTGAAACTGAGAGAAGAAGTGATGAAGGTTCAACTTTTCAGCTTTTCTAAATGTTTGTAAATCCAGGAAAGAGTCAAATCAGGAAAAACTGTTTGAACTCAATAATCGGCAGATTAATTAACGACATTTGGACATTATTGACATGAACGTTATCTTTCCCATCAGCCTGTAACAGAACAGAGGTTCTGTCACCTTCTTATCTTTCATCATAAATCACATTCAGCTTCATCTTTGCTGAGATATGGAACCACACTTAGACCTCTCTACTCGCTCAGAAACTGACCTCCAGATTTCTTCTTCCTGTAGTTCAAACGTTTCCAAAAACCTTATGTACGTTAGTTTAAACATGAGTGAGTTTGATGGTTTTGGAAAATGTGGAACCAGGTCGAACCCTCGTCACTTTTCACAGCAGGTGAGCTCAGATTTACACCTACAGCTTCTGAGGCGAGCGTCTAGCAGAGTTACTCCCAATTTCCAACGCATCCTGAACGGCGGCGATTTTTGCCATCTGCCAATTCCTACCAGATCCATTTGTGAAGCAAATTTCGTAGCAATCTCACGATAACAAGTTGTCTCTATAAAGACAGACACATAGACATATAAGCAGTAGATTATGTCCTTCCAAATCTACTTCTAGACTTCTAGAATCAGCATCTCCTCATCCATCCGTATGAACTCAAAGTGAACATTACCGGTTTGGTTGACGTTCCTAAAGCTCCTGAAGGTCGGAGTCTTTCGCTCGGACTCTCCTGAGGTTGAGGTCCGTTCATCTGTCGCCGCCGTGTTTACATTAGACGGGTTGTTCAGTGATTGTCGGAGGTTTGATGGTAAACAAACGGACTCTGTTTAAAGTCTGTGTGCTGTTCTGACGTCAGCCCGCTTTGAGATGTTCAGGGAGTATCTCTGCAGGATGGCGTGGGCGGTTCTGACTGAAGCGGGTCCGAACAGCTGGAGTGAAACCAAACTCGGGTTATGTAAGGCGACAGTGAGGGTTACTCATGTTTGCTCTCTCTGAGTCACTTCCTTTGTTTGAGAAGTCTGAAGAGGAGCGGAGGACGCTCTGCAGCTGCTCTCAGACCTTCATCTCCAACATCTGGATCTGTTTACCTCAGCAGATACAGTCTGGGTCCGATCACAGAGACACCGGCGTCAGATACAGTCCAGGACACTCAGTCAAGATAAACAGACAAGATCGATGATCCTTTTCCAACAGGAGAGTTTGAGGTTTTTATGGAGGTGTAGAAAGAAGAGTCCTGACATGATGGAACGTTCTCAGATCCATCTGGAGACCTGAACTTCATCCTTCTTCATCAGGAGACTCACGCTGCTCTGTTTTCACTCCTGCAGGTCAGCAGGACCCCGACAGCCTCCGCTACAAGTACAACTTCATCGCCGACGTGGTGGAGAAGATCGCACCTGCTGTCGTTCACATCGAACTTTACCGCAAGTAAGAGAAAGATCGTAAACGTCCATGACACCGTTGAGTTGAGATGTTATCTTCGTGTGTTTAGGATCAAGTTTTGATGTCTCCTCCTTCTGCTCAGGATGGTTTTCACCAAGAGGGAGGTGGCGGTCGCCAGCGGCTCGGGGTTTGTGGTATCAGAGGACGGACTCATCGTCACCAACGCCCACGTGGTCGCCAACAAACACCGAGTGAAGGTAAAGAACCTGCAGGGAGAAGAGAGACGGACGTTTCTCTCCATCCTCTCTGAAGACGGTCGAACTAAAAGAGCGTCTTTTTCTTGGGTGGAGACGGTGTCGTTGGTTCTGAGGAGGATCTCTGTGTGTTTGTGTCTGTAGGTGGAGCTAAAGAGCGGAGCAACATTCGACGCCAAGATCAAAGACGTGGACGAGAAGGCCGACATCGCTCTGATCAAGATCGACGCTCCGGTGAGTAAAAAGAGACGAACAGACGGTTCTGATGTCTTCTTCTTCTTCAGGAGTCTTTGCTGATCAGGATGGAGACACTGTCCGTCTTCTTTCCTTTTGTCAAAGTTTCCTCCAGACAGTCTCCTCTCTTCTTCTTCTTCTTCTTCTTCTTCTTCTTCTTCTTCTTCTTCTTCTTCTTCTTCTTCTTCTTTCCTGGACTTTAACTTCCAGAACCAGTTCAGGTATTTTTCCCTGAGTCAGTTCATGAATGGAAAGGTTGGTTTTAATCCCGGCTCAGAGAGGAGAACATCTCAGCAGACTCAGAAAAACTCGGGTCAGGAGACGGAGGAACGTTTTCATGTGGTTTTTGGGTTTTTGTTGTTCTGAAGAACTTTGTCAGATCGGATCAGAGATGATTGGACCCGTGGGTTTTCCACAGAGAGACAGAACTTCAGAAGAGCTGACGACACAAATCCAACGTCCCGATGGTTAAAGGAGCATGTCGTCCATCTCCTCTAAAGAGACGTCATCAGCTGTTTACAGTCAGAGTTAAAGGGATAGTTCACTGTTTTTCAGCAGGTTCTCTTTAAGAGTTATTTTCTCACCAACAGAGGGTCCCTGTCAGTCTGGGAAACCTTAAGTGAGGTTATTAACCTCCACAGAGGAGGTCAGCTCCACCTCCTCATTAAACCCGATTTAAGACAGTCCCACCCAAACCACCAAGAGAGACCATTCATTCATTCATTCATTCATTCATTCATTCATTCATTCATTCATTCACGCACTAATCCTGGACATGACCCACGTCTCTGCAGAATAATCAGCTGATTGGGTCTAAAATGTCACTTATATATATAGTTGATGACTCACACGTCGGGGGTTAATCCTGTTTAACCCTCGAACACGATCACTAACATTAGTAACACCATCACTGTCACGATCAGGTGATTTTTACCTGAAATAATAAACCCAAGAAAAAGTCATTTTCTGACTTTAGTTTGGTCTGACTGTCATCTCTGTGGAAATCTACTTAAAGTTCAGGTTATAACCTCAGAAACTTTAAATATTGAACTTTATCATTTTAAAATAAAGACCTGAAAGAATCACGGTGGATCTGCAAATCTGCAACGAGAGAAAACAGGAGAAAATGAAAGGAAATAAAGTCCATCTGTGTCTGACAGAGACCAGACTCATGATGTAACCTTTAATCTGGAGTCCATCTTCTCATTATTATCATCAAAAACAGAAAACCTCCTGATCTTCTAATCGTTCAGTTTGATAATTGAAGATCAGATTTCTTCTTCTTCTCTGGTTTCTGACTCTCTGATCTCGTCTGTGTTCGTCGGTGACTCCAGGTGTGTTTTTAATGAGAGAAACTTCCTCTGAGGACGAAAACAAACTCACTCACACTCAGCCTGTCGTGTTTTTGTGGAATGTAGGTCAAGATTTCTGATCAGATGGATGTTCCCGCTTATGTAAGACACGTATGGAAAGAAAACATGTTTTCACTGAAGCAGGAATTTCCCATGATCTCATCCTGATCTGACAGATCCTTCGCCGTGGTGATTTTTCCGCCTCCGTGTTGTCAGCGCCGTTAGAAAACTGCGATTAAAGAGCCTCATGAAGGTCAGATGAAGATTAGACGTGATGTTTGATCGGCAGAATGAGAACAGCAGCAGGATGTGAGTTCATGTGCGAGTGAGCGTGGTTTTCCCGGGCCTGTTTGGGCGAGGCGGCGGCGGCGGCTTCAGGGGATGAAATCCTAAAAAAACCCACAAACTGCTGAGCAGTTGTGGTTCGGTTTACATGAACACAGAAACCAAAACAGGAGAGTGATTCTGACTTAGAGCTCCCCACCCAAACGAGCCGACGAAACACCCACTGACAGGAAACAGCTTCTGTTCGTGGTCACGGGACAGTTTTCTTATTAAGTTTAAAAAGTGAGTTTAAGTTTTAAAATAAGACGAAATGAAGCAAAAACAGAGAGTATGGAGAGCAAAAGCAGGTGGAGCATAAAACAGCGCTGGAATAACGAGCAAATATAAGGACATCTATGTTTCTTTATTATATCTAAACTGAGAGTCTGATCTAGAACTGCACATCTACAATCAAGAAACATTTTCTTCTCTGTTTGAGGTCCGACCTGAAAAACTTTGACATCTATCATGTCTGGTTTTGTCTCTGAGGGCGTCTCAGTCCTGGACTCCAGGGTTTTTAGGAAGTCTAGATAGTTCTCAAAACAGATCTATACCTCCAGATCCTCCTCACTCCGATCGTCGTTTTTCATTTTGAAGGAATCTTCTCCCGCTTTTCCAAACTTCTCTGAGTTATTAAAGGTAAAGTAGGATCATAGAAACCCTGTTCAGTTAAATGTGGAGTCGGCAGGAATCTGTTAAAGAATCTGGTTTTTTTTTGTGGTGTATTTACAAAAAAACTTTTGATATCAGTCAATAGTTATTAGTTATTGATGACATTTGGTAATATAACGATATCGGACAGTAGAAACCAACCAGAAAGTTCGGAAAATTGTCTGAATCCTCCTTTGGCCACGACTGCCGACACAAGCAAGAAAACAAAGTAAATACCGGAGACTCTGGAGGAATAACGGGCGCTTAAAACGGAGGTAGACCGACCTTCCTCAGATCCTGACTCACCACCTTTAAGTCCTGGTTTATCCCGCTGCATTATCAGTATCAGGTATCTTCTGAGCGTGTGCAGACAGGATCGTCCTCCATTGTTTTATTCCACCTTAATCTGGGATTGAAGATTTTCCACATCATGTGCTGTGAGCCGTTTCTGCAAACTTCTCTGATCTGATCTACCAGCAGCAGGATCTGATCTAAACTACATCTATACTAGATTCACTCAGACTGAGATTAGAAACACAGACGACCTTCAGTCTGACGTCTAAGGGGGTCAAATCAGCTGGACTGATGCAGCATCGAAGGAAACGTGATTACGTCCAATCACAGCCCAGCCAGCTGCTCCTGATTGGTCGGATGAATTTCTGGCTTGTTAGAAATCGTGGTTGACAACAGTCTGCATGTTTTTGGTGTGATGTGGGTTAACAGAGCGAACAACACGCCGACTTTACTCACAGAGGAGAGAGAGACAAAGGGCGAACGGACCAATGAAATCGCTGCTCTGCTCCTTGTTGTGGCGTTTGTGTTTCTCTGAAATTACCTCTGAACACAGACGCTCAGCTCTGTAATCTCACGCCGGAGTAAACGCTGTCATCCTGGAAACCCCGGCGTGCCAAACGTGGTCATTTTCCCGGTGGGCGGAGCCGGCGAGCTGCAGGTTGTGTTTGAGGACAGAGGAACAGAGGAGCTTTATGTCGACCTGACGGAGTAAAACTCTGATTAGAGGAGCTGAATGAGTCCATTCATGAGCGACCTGTTTATGTCTGTGTATGTTAAAGAGGGGGCGGGGCTGAGCGTGTGAGAACCTCGTTAGAGGAACTTAATTATCCATCAGGACTACAACTTTGTTTTCAGTTACACAAACAGCAGGAAAACAGGAAACAGGCGGATCATTATTATTATTATTATTATTATTATTATTATTATTATTTTATTTAAATATTGTAAGTGAAGTTTATTTATAGAGCGCGTTTCACAGATAAAAAAAAGATAAGTACATATACAGACAAATACGATCACAGTGAATATGAGAATAAGATATAAAAGATAAGAAAAGAGACGCCCGGAAAGTCAGAACAAAAATTTTCAAATGAATACGGAAATTGACCATCAGCCAATGAAGATTCGATAAAACAGAATTTAAAAAGTTCAGTTTTTAACATGAGTACAAAAGGACAGAGTCAATATAAAGAAATATAAATATAAGTTTAAAAAAGTTAAAGTTGCAGCAATAAGATTAAGGAGCGATTATCAAAACAGATCAGGAATAGACTTTAATATTTAGAAGAAGAAGAGAAGAAGACAGTTTTGATCGTGAAATCTTGACATAAAGAGGATCATATTTGTCATGCATCATAAGAGCTTCTTGTCCTTACAGGCCACCATAGTTCCTCTGGTGTAAGCGGTGAGCAAGGGAGTATTTCACTCCAAAACCTGCTGAATAATGTCCTTTTTTTTCTCTCTGTACTTTAACTTTAAAGTTAAAAATCGATCAGTATAAATAATATAATAAAGCATGTCCTCAGAGTCTTGAAGAGTTTAATTTGACCCTAAAGTGATGAGATGATGATGGTTTGATCTTCTCTAAATGATCAATAATAAACAGACAAACCATAGAAAACAGTAACAGGACACACTGACAAGAACTGGGACTGAAGATTTCTGCGGTTTGTTGATCCTAATAATCAAAAATGTTCTGAGCTGAGTTTAGGGTTACCCCCAATTTCCACCTTCATCCTGATCGTCTCCTAAAAGGTCGTATCCTCCGATCGTAGCTGATCGTAAACATTCAAGTTAACGTGTCAATTTACACCGACTTCTTTCCGTTCCTCAAAAGGATCCAGTAAGAATTGGCAGATGATGAAAATTGCTGCCGTTCCTGATCGGCGCCATTCCTGTTGCGGTGTAAATTCGTGGTCAGGGTTAGATTGAGGAGGTTTTTACACAGATCTGTTCAGGACTCCACACCGTAACAAACACACTCAGGATCTCCTCCTGTCTCCACGGTGATGGTCGTGTCCAGGTGTGTTTATCATACCTGTGGTTGGTGAAAATCATGCCTGTCTATCAGAGTCAGTCATACTAAGATGAGGATCTGCTCCGTGTTTAGTCTGCAGAGGTCGTCTAAAGTGGTTTCTATCCTGAGATGTTAAAGACATTCTCCTCAGCGTACATCTGTTTTTCTGTGCTGTAATCTTCATGTGCCCGTCCTCCTCCTCCTCCTCCTCCTCCTCCTCCTCCTCCTCTCAAAGTGGGTCAGATTCTTCAGTTACTCAACAGAGGAAATGGGCAACACATGTGTCCGTCATCAGCGGCTGGAAACAGACAGGCGCTTGTCATGTTCGACGGAGTGTGGCGTTGATTATAGCGGCGTCCTAACATCGCGGCTGCTTCATGTCTCAGACTTTCTCTCACATCTGGGACTGAAGTAGGTCAGTAGGACGACATGCAGCAGGCCAGCACATGGTTCACGGAGGGTCGGCCAATGAGCAAACAGCGCGGCTGAGGGCCGGAGCCAAAGAGTCTTCAGAAGTTCCTCGCCGCGCTGACTGCAGAGACTGTTCCAGGACTGAAACCAAACATCAGAGAAAGGCGGTTTCTCCTCAGCTCACCTTCACCGCAGAAACTGTAAAAGTGCTGACACCGTCAATCTGACTCTACAGGCGAGTAAACACGGAGGGGCGGATTTTACACCTGTGCAAACACGACAAAAGACGGCGTCTAATCCACGAAGAGCACGCACACGGATGAACGCTGAGGAGTCTGGAGAGACTCTGAAGGTCTTTAAACGATGAGTTTCATAATTATTTTGGCTCCTTTTAATGAAAATAAACCTCATAATAAAAAACATGTTCTTCATAAACACATTAAAGTGAGATCTTCTCCGTACGCTGAGAGCTGGAGGTCACAGTTTCCAAAGATCCACCTCGACATGACCCGATCATGATTCATTATTGATGATGTTTCATGAACTTTCTGTTAATATACAATAATCAAAGCTTCAGTTTCCACAGCTCCTCCTCAGAACATACAGGCAGCTTTTCCACATATGTGGAGACAATCTGGGTCAGAACCAGGACCAGGAAGACCGTTTATGAGCTGTCCTCGCTGCCGTGCTCTGGGGAGGACGTTTTATCGTAAACCGTGATCACATCTGAGATCTCGATCACATCCAACATGGACGCTGAAGAAGTCTCCTCTTCAGTCAGACTGTCGCTTACAGGGACGCCAAGTTTAGAAAATGACAGGAGGGAGACTTTAGCGTTACGACGTGTTCGCCTTTTTTAACGTCGATTTATACCTGAAGACCGACGACCTCACCTCCACGTCATCTCCATGAGATTAGGAGGTGATATGAGGAGTCTGAGCGCTTCTGTTCAGGTTGGTTTAGCTCCTCTTCAGAGGGTCGGCACCATTAGCTGACTTTCTCTGAGTGAATATTTAAGTACATCTGTCTGAAGAACGTTTGGACCCTTTAAAACCTTTTAGAAAACACGACTTTTGTCTGAGAGGTTCAGTTTAGTTTGTTTTTTTGTTTCTTTATTCTCTGAATAAAGACTTTAAAAGTTCGTCACAGAAGAAAGTTTTTCCTCGGCCTGACAAAGTTTCTGTTCAAAGTCCAAAAACAGACAATAAGACATGAACCGAAGTGACAGACAGACAAGACTTTAACAACCCGGAGCGTAGGCAGGACTCGTCTGTTCTTCACCATTAAAGGAGGATTTTTGAGGGCAGACATGAACTCAGTTTTTACGCTCATGTCTCCAAATCCTCCTCCTGAGGATTAGCTAAGAGAGTTCATACCATCCTAATGGATCTTATGAAACCAATTACAAAATGAACCATAACTGGATTTAGAGCAAACATCAGGGTGAGGAGCAGTCAGCGGGTTTTCAGGAGGGTTATCTGAACAGGTCAGGACTCGTCTGCTCTCTTCACCTTCAGGAACGACTCCGACTTCAGTGTTTGTGTGTTTTTACAATCACAGTCAGACAGACAGACAGACACGCTCTGGAGAGACTGCAGTCAGAGGGATGGAAAGATCATAATTATGAGTCCAGGTCTGCAGACGTCCAACAACGCAGCAAATAAAATTCACAAGATGATCCGGCTCCGTCTTTTCTGGATGTTATTACCGCTGAATCAAACCGTAATCAAACAGAAAATAAACCCGAACTTTTTTGTGACAAACTCACAGCAGCTGGGACTTTTCACCAAACCCTGCAGCAGCTCTCCGTGTTTCAGAGAGTTTGAGTGAAAAGTCGGTCAGTCTGTGGAAACGAGTTTTTGATTTGTGGACGGAGAGAAGTCTGGTCCAGACCCGGAGCTGAGTCAGCGCTCCACTCAGGAAATCCACGTCTGTCTCCAACAGCTTAGAGGAAACAAACTGCTGTTTACCTTTGAGTGTGTGTGTGTGTGTGTGTGTGTGTGTGTGTGTGTGTGTGTGTGTGTGTGTGTGTGTCCTGCCATCTGCCCACCATGCTGGTGTTTCCTCTGTTTTCACCATATTAGTCGAATTCTTGATGCGTCTGAAAACCTGGAAGGATGTTTTTTATGTCTCTAAACACTGACTGCAGCTTTACTTCTCATCTCCTCATGTTCTCATCTCCTCATGTTCTCATCTCCTCATGTTCTCATCTCCTCATCTCCTCATGTTCTCACCTTCTCATCTCCTCATCTCCTCATGTTCTCATCTCCTCATCTCCTCATGTTCTCATCTCCTCATCTCATGTTCTCACCTTCTCATCTCCTCATCTCCTCATCTCCTCATGTTCTCATCTCCTCATCTCCTCATGTTCTCATCTCCTCATCTCCTCATGTTCTCATCTCCTCATGTTCTCATCTCCTCATCTCCTCATGTTCTCATCTCCTCGTCTCCTCATCTCCTCATGTTCTCATCTCCTCATCTTCTCATCTCCTCATGTTCTCATCTCATCTCCTCATGTTCTCATCTCCTCATGTTCTCATCTCCTCATCTTCTCATCTCCTCATCTCCTCATGTCCTCATCTCCTCATCTTCTCATCTTCTCATCTCCTCATGTTCTCATCTCATCTCCTTATGTTCTCATCTCATCTCCTCATGTTCTCATCTCCTCATGTTCTCATCTCCTCATCTCCTCATCTTCTCATCTCCTCATCTCCTCATCTTCTCATCTCCTCATCTCCTCATCTTCTCATCTCCTCATCACCTCATCTCCTCATCTCCTCATGTTCTCATCTCCTCATCTCCTCATCTCCTCATGTTCTCATCTCCTCATCTCCTCATGTTCTCATCTCCTCATCTCCTCATCTTCTCATCTCCTCATCTCCTCATGTTCTCATCTCCTCATGTTCTCATCTTCTCATCTCCTCATGTTCTCATCTCCTCATGTTCTCATCTCCTCATCTCCTCATGTTCTCATCTCCTCATGTTCTCATCTCCTCATCTCCTCATCTTCTCATCTCCTCATCTCCTCATGTTCTCATCTCCTCATGTTCTCATCTTCTCATCTCCTCACCTTCTCATCTTCTCATCTCCTCATCACCTCATCTCCTCATCTCCTCATCTCCTCATCACTCTCATTGATGTTTCTGACAGTGTTGTGATTTCCTTCTCCTCCAGCTGAACTCGATGATAAGGCGGTTGAAGGCGGCGTCCTTTCTCATCGTGTTTCTCGTTTTCTCTCCCCGTGTTTTTCGTCTTCAGATGAAACTTCCTGTCCTTTTGCTCGGCCGCTCCGCCGACCTTCGACCCGGTGAGTTTGTGGTCGCCATCGGCAGCCCGTTCTCCCTGCAGAACACCGTCACCACCGGCATCGTCAGCACCACCCAGAGAGGAGGGAAGGAGCTCGGCCTCCGCAACTCCGACATGGACTACATCCAGACGGACGCCATCATCAACGTGAGCGAAAGACTCTTTTATTTCAGAGCAGTATGAATAAAAGAAAGAGAGACGATATTTGGTTTAAAAGTAAATTAAATTCAGTTTTTTATCAGGTCAGTGAGACTTAGATGACACCACCTTTTTCTTTCTTTTCTCATTTTTGTTTCTTTCTTGTTTTTCTCGCAGTACGGCAACTCAGGAGGACCACTCGTCAATCTGGTGAGTGAAACCAAAGCTGCAGATAAACGTCTGATGAGTTTGTCTGGAGATCTTTTTATTCTACGAGTTTCTAAATCAGGAGTCTGCTTTTTATTTTATTTAGATTTTATTTAGAAACTTATTTAAGTCTTTTCTCCTGGAGCTGAATCATAAATATCCTGTTTCCACCTTTTTTACATCATAGTAGGAACACTGTGTATATGAACATGAAAACAACCAACATAACAAGATGTGGTTTACATTAATGATCCTTTTAAATCTATATTCTCCCCATCAAAGACGGCGAGCAGACTCTAGTTAATCTAACGTCTACGTCACCTCTCTCCGTCCTTCAAACACCGTCTCTTATTACCGGCCCACGTCCAAACAGAGACACGTAACCTCGTATAAACACGCAGGCCACCTCATAAACTCCTTATTAGGAAGAGCGGATAAAACGTTTGAGTAATAGTTGGCAGGAAGTCTTGGTCCACAGCTGACTCTGATTATATGTTTGTTTTTAGACGCCCGTGTTACAGAACCAAAACAGCGCCGGGTCCAAACGGCGTTTTCACGAGCAGCAGGAGGACATTCAAACGTTATTATGGGGTGTGTGGGATATTAATATGACCCCTGTGTGTGTGTGTGTGTGTGTGCGTGCGTGTGTGTGTGTGTGTTTCAGGATGGAGAGGTGATAGGAATCAACACTCTGAAGGTCACGGCTGGAATCTCCTTCGCCATCCCGTCAGACAAGATCAGACAGTTTCTGGCAGAGTCACATGACCGACAGGCCAAAGGTCAGCAGGACTTCACTCTTTAGTTTCTGACGATTTATCACAAAAATCAGGTCGGAGTTCGAGACGGGAGAGATACGAACATGAACTGTAAATGTTTTAGCGTCAAACTCACAGAAAACGGAGTTTTCTTTTTATGAAAATTATCATTTTTTGATCACCTTCAGAGCTCCAGCGACTCTGAGTAGAAAATGTCTTTATATATTTATTTCCAGTATTTGATGCATAAAGATGTCCTGCTGTTTTATGTGGGATAGGTTGGAGAACTTAACCGTGACTCCTCTAAAGTAAAGAGTCAAAGAGGTCTGAAAGTGCGGCCTGTTTCAGCAGCTCGTAAAAACAGTCGTTTCACTCCGGAGAGTCTGATCCAGCTTCTCCTGCTGAGCCAAAGACGAATGAAAACCGTGTGTTTGTTTTATTTCCTCTCCATGATTGGAGGTTTTTACCTGCTGCTGTAAACTCTCCTCACACCAGGCCTGACGCTGCTTTACTGAGAAAACCGTCACATGACAGGAGCGAACGAAGACGACGATTATCTTTACGATTTCAAGGTTAATGACGAGTCAAACCGACGCAGAGTACCGTAAAATCTGGAATAGAAGTCGCACCGTTTTTATTCATCAATGTTCAGTTTCCATGCAGCTGTGCAGCTCTTTAAACTTGTCAGGTGACTTCCTGTCCAACAGTCGAGCTCAGGTCTTTGTCCTTTGTCCTTCAGGTAAAACCCTCCAGAAGAAGAAGTACATCGGCGTGAGGATGATGAGCCTCACTCCATCGTAAGTTTCTCTAAAAGTTTGTCCTTTTATGAGTCAAATTTTTCTTAATCTGGACTTCGTACACAATTCGATTGTTGACTGAATCCGAGTCCTGACCCTTGTCTTACTTTGTTAAAGCGGTTTACCTGTCCAGCAGAAAGGTTACAGGGTCACCAAGATCCCCAAGCGTCCCCCATGGTTTATGTTGACCCGGCTTCTTAGCTCTTGTCAGGTCTACCTCCGTTTTAAGCGCCCGTTATTCCTCCAGAGTCTCCGGTATTTACTTTGTTTTCTTGCTTGTGTCGGCAGTCGTGGCCAAAGGAGGATTCAGACAATTTTCCGAACTTTCTGGTTGGTTTCTACTGTCCGATATTGTAGCACGCTAACTTTGTTTGGGCTCCTGAACGACACGGGGGAGCAGCGTCTGCCTCACAACCAATCAGGTTGGAGGAAGTTTGCGTTTCTCTACTTCTCGACTCTACGTTTGATCAGATTTTGGTGCCCCGTGTGAGGCTCTCCGCTGGTTTAACCCTGTGTATGCTGAAGTTTAGTTTCATGCACAAAAAAAACATCTTATTCTGATCAAACGTCTCAAAGAGCGGACCGCTCAAAAATGTTCAAATGTTGACGACACAGACATAAGAGAACACACAGATATCGATATATTACCAAATAATCAATAACTAATAACTATTGACTGATATTAGAAGATTTTTTGTATAAAAACCACAAAATAAAAAGATGTTTCTTTAACAGATTCCTGTCGACTCCACCTTTAAGTTTAACCCACATCCTGCTGCTCCTCACAGCTACACCCGAGATCTTCTGCAGAGTGGGTCACGTCCCAAATCACTGAACGAGTTTCACTCGATGATGCCACATTCAGTCCAAACGGTTTATTACGACAGTCATGAGCTGATCTCCTGACCTGCAGCCAGGTCATGATTGTACCGTCCCCTCAGCGTCGAGAAGCTTCAGCAGAAATCTGTTGTAGATGAAGTTTGAAGCTGAAGTGTCTCCTCTCATGAGATCTTCGTTCCTTCAGAGCGGATTAAAGTCAGACTGATGTGCTGCAGACAGTCGGTGTTCAACCTCATGTTCTGGCTCTGCTCTCGTCTCAGGCTGGCTAAGGAGCTGAAGGAGAGGCAGTCAGACTTCCCAGATGTCACCTCGGGGGCGTATGTCATCGAGGTCATCAGCCGGACTCCAGCTGAGGCGTGAGTCTCTCCTCCATCACTTCTTTTTCCTGCAACATCTGCCCAACATGTCAAAGCTCAGGGCTGCGCCTCTTTAATGAGGTGACGCTGATTCCTAACAGTATCTGAGCTCGTCTTTATGGGCGGAGGAGGAGGAGCTTATTTCAGGCCTGGAACGTTTCATGGCGTCCACATGAAAGCGAACCGCAGCTTCCCACCTGAGCAAACAGCTGTCAGAGTTTGTTTTCCTGTTGTCTGGCGGGTTTGTGCAGAACAGCGGCGGCAGGTTTCAGGATGAGGATGTGATGGTACTGAAAGGACGTTTATTAGAAAAGGTCACCGCTGGTTTTGGAGCGCTGACAGGATCATGACGGTTTCCCACCCAGAGAGTCCGACTCCCTTTGGCGGGGCGGACTGACTCCTCCAGTCCTTCAGATAGATTTGTTTTTGAAAAACTGTAAAACTTTATTTAAGGAGGATTCAGAAAACCGTTAAATTTATTGATTGAATAAAAACTGGAATTCAATCAGGATCACGTCCTTCAGGAGTCCGACTTTCAGGTTTAGTCATGAATCTTTTCCACTGTGAGCAGGATGGAAAGAAAAACCTCAAGTTTGTCGTTGTGGACAGCTGTGACTGATTTTAACTTTGGACAAAACAGAAAAACTTTATAAAGAGTCAGCAGACACTTTAAAGCTCCTATAAGAAGTTTTTAACCCTTTAGTTTCTGTTCATTTAAAACTCCATCCAGACGACTTTGTCTCCAAAAACAGACGAGCAGATAAATGTTCATAAAATTATCATTTTTTAACTTTTTTAAAAAACTTTTTTTAGACTCAGATCTCTTAAACAACTTCAACCCTGACCATTAAATAAGTAATAGATACAAAACTGGATGTTACACCCTTTTTATGACAGTTTTTGTGCAACATGTCACTGTTATTTTTAATGGTAAAAACACACAAAATCTCCATATTTCCCACATAAAATGACCTAGATGATTTTTTTAAATTTAAGAGTCTGGGCCATGTCAATGTTGAGAAGTCAAACTGATTTTGATGCTTTTAAATTCTTTTTGTGGTGCCAATTTTTTGTGTTTTAGCTCCATCAGCCGATTTTGTCCCCGAAACAGACACGTAGATAAGAGTTCATAAAATAATCATTTTTAACTTTTTTTTTAAACTTTTAACAACTTAAACAACTTCAGCCCTGACCATTAAAAAAGTAATGATTAAAAGATTCAATGTTTTTCCCTTTTTATTCCAGTTTTTGTTCACCATGTCATATTTATTGATATAGCATGCCTTTTAAACACGACATTTTCACCTCCTCTTCTCGAACCTCGTCCTCGACCAAATCAAATACGATTAAATTCATTTGTTCATAATAAATTAATTTTATATATAGTCATATAAAATCAGCAGATATCTGTATGATATGAATCATGTATGATATCATCATCAGTGTTTATCCTCCTCTAACCAAAATATGACCGTGATGCAGATTCTCACCCGTGCACACATGCAGGAGCACACAGACTTCTCCTTCCACACATGTCCCACTCTGAGACATCCATATCTAGAGTCATGTAAAGTTTCCTTCATTTCTGAGGATGTTTAGATGATGTTTAAAAAAGGTCGTAATATATTTTTTCCTTTTTCCCGCTAACAGAGCCGGCCTAAAGGAGAGCGACGTCATCATCAGTATTAACGGCGAGCGGGTCACCTCAGCCAGCGATGTCAGCGTCGCCATAAAGCGGGACGAGCAGCTGCGGACGGTGGTGAGGCGAGGAAACGAGGACGTCATGCTCACCATCGTCCCCGAGGAGATCGAACCTTGACGTCCGACCGGTCGACCAATCCAGAGCTGGCTCTCAGTGTTTTTCAACCAATCATGAACACTCTGAAAAACAAAGCAACCAATTAGGGTTGTGTGTGTGAGTCTGGGGCCGCACCACCTTTTAAGAACTTCAGATTTTAAGCACTACTAGTCCTCCACCCTCAGAGTCCACCTTCTTCTCCACCCTGGGAACTACATCCTCAGCCCTCCTGTCATGGTAGACGTAGTTCTTCCTCTAATCCAGTTTCCTTCAGATCATCGCCGATCTTTATAATCGACTAACACCCTCTGTCACAGCCAAGCGGTCTCTTCAGGTTACCCTAGATCTGTTTCTGTGTTTTCAATGGAATATTTTTATAGTATTTTTGTCTGTTTGTGTGGATGACCATTTTTCAAAAAAAGGGAATAAAATTATTTGTATAAACTCTCGTCTTTATTTACAGTTTTGGTTAAGACACACACACGCACACACGCACACTGAAAGGATAAAAACAAGTCAAAACTAAATTATGAATAAAACACAGACCTAAAATAAACCTCGGCTAACTAGAATAAATGAAGATAAAACAAAAAAATATCAATTAAAAGCTAAAAAGGTGGGTCTGGAGCCTGCTCTTAAAAACATGAACGTTCCCTGAGGTCCTCTGACAGACGAGGGCCGTAATATTGAAAAGACGCCTCGTCATGAGTGTGTGTCCTGACTTTGGAATGACGAGGAGACGCTGCCAGAGGAGTGAAGGGTCCATGAAGGTTCATAAGGTAAAAGCAGTTCTGAAAGATAAGAAGGCCGAGACCATTAAGACATTTAAAAACAAGAAAAAGAAGCTTAAAGAAGCTTAAAGAAAACATGGGAGCCAATGCAGTGATTCTAAAACTGGTGTAACATGAGCCCACCTTCTGGTCTTAGTCAGGACATGTGCTGCTAAGCTGGAGAAAGTTCTCTGCCATCCAGGATTTGATATCTAAAAAGCGTTAAAAAGAGAATCCATCGGCCTGGTGTCATCAGGAGACATGGAGATGAAGAGCTGCAAAGGGTCACCGAGCAGGTCTGGACCTTTTATTATTTACTAAAACCCAACATGAGTCCACCATGAGTGACACACTAGAGAGACTTCTCTATGACGGACAGGAACCTGGATCAGAACCAGACCAACCTTCGAACAGCCGTCTACTGTTACTGTATGGGACAAAGAAGTCGAGATGCACTGATCCATTTTTTTTCTGATCCATTCCAATATCGATACCTGGGCTGAGTGTATCTGATACCGATCCAATACTGAATGAACCGTATACCTTACCCTGTGATTGAAGGCATCAGACTTCCACATAAACATTTAGTGAAAAACGACAGACATAAAAAATTTGATCGGAACGCTGAATCGGCATCATTCATCAGATATCAGATCCAGTTAATTTGTCAATATCTGAGCCAATATCTGATCCAAATATCTGATCGGTGCATCCCTACAGAGCCTGATGGAGGAGACAGAAAGACAGAGACGAATATAAACGAACATTAAAACACAAACTGAAGAGCTGCAGACTCAGTGAAGGTGGTGAAATATGCTGCTGCTGCTGCTTCAAAGGTAAAAATATAAACATATATATATATTTTTTAATGTAATAAGTGGTCGTTGTTTGAATCCAGAAACTCTGCTCTGTTGACCTACTTCACTGAAACGATATCAAGACTTCGCCATCATCACACCCAGATGGACATACTGTTGCTATAACGTGTTTGATAATGTATGTAATGGAAAACAAATGGAGCAGAAAGTGAGCGATCCCAGAGGTGCAGCTCCGTTCACCAGGAAACCAACAAAACACGCCGAGAAAGAACGCCATCATCTCTCAAACATCTTGTTTTCAGCTCCGTGACTGCGGCGTGTCCTCCCTCTGTGCCATGTTACTCTCTGAAACACTGAGTTCAACCCTGCATGACACAATCTGTTGGCCCACAGCATCTATGGAAGTGTAACCGTGTGTGTGTGTGTGTGTGTGTGTGTGTGTGTGTGGGCGTTACATAAGACTTGACACAGTAAAGACAGGGAGGTTAGTAATGTGTTCACAATGCAGGGGTGTGAAGGAGGTCAGCTGATTTATGAACATCTCAGATGAAATACAAAAATGCTTTTATTGTCTCGTCATTTCCTCACTAGAGAAGAAAAAATATGTTTTTTTTTCTATGAATTCATTCTGGAAAAGTTTCCTAAAAACCTGAAATCGTCAAAAAACTTCAACAAACTCTTAGATTTATGATTTCAGTCTAATCTCTGGAGTTTATGCACCGACATGGACAGGTTCTGGTTCTGGTGTGTAGAGCTAAAGTTTTAACTGGTTATGAAAAAGACTGGAAACTGTACTGATCCATCTATGAGACCTGCGAAAGGAAACAAGCATCCAACAACCATCAGTCAGTCCGTTTCCATGACACTCCAGAAAACCGAATTATCGCCTTATTGCCGAACTCCGATGAAGACACTCAGATAATGTGATTGGAATTCGATTTTCTCAACCATGTAACCAGCGTAGTCGGAGTATGACGCCACGCCCCCGTAACCCCGTAACAAACCCCCAGAGTAGAGGAGTAGCGTTGGTCTCCTCTTTAGAAAAAGTAGCGCGTCCATCATGTCGGACAAAAACAACGCTGTACGATGCTCCATCTTCTTGTTTCTCCAAAATGCCCAGCAGCAGTTGTAGACACTTCTGACGTCTGACACCGACCTGCTGTTGTTGTTGACGGTTGGATGGGGTCGGAAACAGCGCCGCTGAAAAGACCCATATCACCCCCTAGTGTTGGGGAGGAGGACACGTTCACGTCAATAATTCAGTTTTCTCAGCTGCATGTAAACGAGGACGAGGAGAGACATCTGATTCAGAGAAAAAGACGAATTATGAGTTTAGTCGATTAAACTGAGACTGTAAACGCACTGAGTGACAGGATTGGTTGTTTCTCTGTTATTTCTAAAGTCTCCAGCAGGGTTCATGTCAGAGAAGAAGGCCTGATCAATAGAAAGCCACTGAAACATTTAACTTATTTAACATTTCACAAAGCCTATGAGACAGTGTGGTTAGAGTAAGATGGTTTTATTTCTGCATCAAACAAAACTTCAGCATGCACAGGGTTAAACCAGCGAAGAGCCTCACACGGGGCACCAAAATCTACACAAACGTAGAGTCGAGAAGTAGAGAAATGCAATTAATTAACTCTAATTAAGTTCGGGTCAAACACACCGTAACACAAAGTTAGACACCCCATCGAGGGATGAATGATGAATGTTATTTCTTCATGGAAAAACAATCAGACCGAGACGCTGAGGCAGAAGAACTACAGCGTCTGCAGAGCAAATATAACTAGAGAAGCAAGCGGTCGGCAACATTCATCTCTGGAGGGGGGTCTAACTCGGTGTTACGGCGGGTTTGACCCTTAATTAATTTTACAGCAGAATATCCCTTTAATGCCACTTGTTTCCAATAGATGGCACTGTTACTAGGAGAAATGTAGATGTAGATGAGTCCAGATTGGGACTTTTATCAAACCTGTGAAATTTGAAGCATATCAGAGGTCGTCATAAAGGACAGTGCTGTGTGATCCCACAAGGTGGCGCTGCGACTGTAGCTGAAGAGTTAGCATGTATAAAATTTGACAGAGATTGGTCTCTGCATGAAAGAGAAAGATTGACTTTAGCGCAAGCAAATCAAGGTTTCAGACTTCCTGACTTTAGAGTTCGGGTGCAAGAGGGTTTTTTCCAGGTCCTGGTCTGATCTGTATGTGGACCCAGTTTTAACTCAGATCTGATGTGTGTGAAAAACTGGTGATTGTTGGAGCTGAAGTCCTGTGGCAGGACTTTCTGAGTCTGTTGACGCCTGACCCACATCCAAACATGAGTCAGAGAGTTTGACTGATGCTGATTCATGTGTTTATAACAGTGACAGTAAGACAAACATGCTGCCAAAGACTTTCCCGAAAGGTAAAATCAATGTGGCCAACATTTCCCGCCGACCTTCCAGTAATGCTGAGTCATAAACGGGTCAAAAATCGACCGCAAGGTCACTGAAAGTCCTCTGACGTGGAGAAATGCAGCGGCGAGTCCCATCCAGAGGACGAGCGGAGTGAAACCCGATGTTTGGAAGCTCTGCTTTCCAAAATACAAGAAGAGACGGGACACCATGTCCGACCAGCTGTGAGCCGAGTCATCACAAATGAAATTAGCCACACATTTTCTCAACACAATCATACAGCGAAGCGCGGATGTTTGGTGGAGCATGTGGAAGGCAGACGCTGAGTCAGCAGAAGGAGAATCTGCTCCGTCAATCAGGACAAACAGGGTCACTGATTCCATCCACAAACACCACCGCTCATCCTCTCCGCTGCTTCACTCCACGCTTTTCCAGGAGGAATTCAGAAATGTAATTCATACCGTTAGGATGAACCCAGATCACCCCTCACTGTGTGTGTGTGTGTGTGTGTGTGTGTGTGTGTGTGTGTGTGTGTGTGTGTGTGTGTGTGTGAGCTCTTCATCCCCTTCACAGTTACATAAGTCCTCTGCAGGGCCAAACAAAATGAGCTTTAAGGTGGTGACTGGATTTCACTCTTAAATCTCATCGTTACATCCAAGAAACTTCACATCTGTGTGTCCTTATCAGAGAGAAAGAGACGAAAACAGGTTTTAATCATCAGTCTGAAAACATTAAATCAACTTCACTCAACGACTGTTTATGATGAAATAAAACTTAAAGGGATATTCCAGCGTAAAATTAATTTAAGGTCAAACACACCGTGAAATCGTAACTGCTTCTCTAGTTATACCAACTAACAAAGAGACTAAACACAACTCACCTACTCTCTTCCAGCAGCTGCTTGTTTGTAGAGAGACCTCAGGCCAGTCCATTACAGACTACAGTGGGGTGCCGCAGCTCAAGGAAGAACATTTATGATCATTTCTTTATCATTTCCTTGAAGTAATAATCATCATATTAATCATTTTACAGACGCGGTAGTTCTTCTGTCTTAGCGTCTCGGTCTGATTGTATTTCCATGAAGAAATGATCATAGATGTTCTTCCTTGAGCTGCGGCACCCCACTGTAGCCTGTAATGGACTGGTCTGAGGTCTCTCTACAAACAAGCGTCTGCTGGAAGAGAGTAGGTGTCAGTATCCCTTTAACTTCCATATTTACCTCTAATCTTCATTGTTTTATTTGTGCTGTCAAAAACTTTCCAATCGATGATAATATTGTCAAAGTTACAGCCCCACCTAGTGGTAAAATCTGTGCTACACGGCCACAAAAACTCTGTTTTTAACTTCCATGAGTTGGAAATACTTAAAGACCCCTCCTTTGGTTTTCTCTGGTCGTGAAATAATCTGATTTTAAAGAGTTAGTGAAGATGTAAGCGAGTAAACAACAGCAAACTCATCTGAATAAATAGATTTATTGCTTTTTATTTCAGTACAGTTATTAAAAACAAATATATCACACATCAAAACTGTCCTTTTAAACATTTATGTTACAGACATTTACATGATTTAAAACAGACAGTGTCGTATTAAAACCCTTAATTCATCTGTTAAACCCTCTTATCGTTTCACCAGCGGGTCAGTGCAGTTACAGCAGAGAGAGAGAGTTCATGTCACTTTAGTCGTGAGGACGGAGCAGAAACTGGAGTGTTAGACCAACGTTTGAGAGTGTTTTTCTGTTTCACACTCGTGTCCTGCAGCATTAATCTGGGTCAGATCACGTCACTGCATCTTGTTTTATGTTTTTAATGCATGTTCTCCAAAACTTCGAGCTCTTTGTCTTTGTTGAAACTGTGTTAAAGCAGTTTCAGATGGCCGTCTGTTAGAGATGAACTTCCTCCTCCGGTTTCACCTTAAATCTGTTCCAGACACACGATGTGGTTTTAGGGATCTGGATGTAAGACTTGTGCATTTTTTGGTGTCTTAAAGCCAAACGAACATCACATCCACGAACCTTCAGACATTACAGTCGGACATTCGCTTTGGTGGGACTAAAGAGTCGCAAACATCGGCTGTTTTCCCCGAGATTAAAGTTAGACAAACCGTTACGACCAACGAGTGTTTAACTCGCTTAAAGGATATTAAACTTTCAACCTTTAGTGTTTCCTCCTGATCGGACTCAGAGGTCGGAGAAGAAAGGCCTTCAGGTTAGATGTGAAGTTAGTCCTTTAGGGGGTTTTAGACTCAGTGCACAGCCGGAGTCGGCGCCGTCTGATCCGATGGTCCGGTAGACGTCACGTCCCCTGTGGAGCCGCTCATCGCTCCCTGGTTGAGGACGCTCAGGAGGGCTTTCTCCAGCTTCTGCTCCAGGGCATCGAGACGACGGTCCACGTGCTCCATCAACCTCCTCTCCATCTCCTCCAGGCGGCGCTCCATCGCTGAGTCCAACTCCCTGCAGAGCGGAGGGACAGGAGAGCGTTAAAACTAGAAATTAAAGAGTTAATAGATCATAAAAAAGACGAATAAAGTCAGAAACAGAAAATTTAAGATGAAGAGAGGAAGGTGAGGAGGCAGAGAGGTGACCTCTGACCTCTGAGTCCAGCTGCGTCCCTCTGACTCAGACAGACACTCAGACTTTTCGTCGGTTTTGGTGAAACCACATCGAGGATTTACTCAGACCAGAATCTCTTTCTCTCTGTTTTTATTTTCCACTAATTCAAACATTTCCAGCCTCTTTTCTCTCATAAGCACTTCTGGTTTCTCCTCATCACTTTCAGACCTCAGTGACTTCGATTAAAACCACCTTCAGATGTTTTCCCTCACAGTCCAGATGCTCGGAGGGATTCAGCGTTTGTACTTTTCTGACAGCTAAAGATCTAAAATATATGAAAACACTAAAAGTCATTGTTATTTTAGGGTGAGGGGGCGGCTCGTCTCACCGCTGAGAAAGTCCAGTCACCTCTGGTTTTAACCCCGACCACGAGACGACCTCGAGGGGGTGTGAACCTGGAGGAGGTCAGAATGAACCGCGGTGATGATTTATGTAAAGACGTCAAACTAATCTGAGACACAGCGAGTTAAAAACAGCTTTTCAGAGAGACAGTGAGGTCTGTTTGACACCAACATGAGGTCCATTATCATCTGTAATAATATCAAAGTCCAAACCAGCAGAACTGGATCAATAAATCAATCAAAACAACAACATCAGATCCTGAATTTATGAATTTTTCCACAATAACAGCGACAGAAGTTACAGGTCAGGATGTCGTTTCACAGAGACAGTAAATTTCTTTACTGTCAACATCAACAGTCAACAACACAACTTTAACCATGTCTGAAGAAACGCCGTCTGCAGGAAACAGAAAATCTCCAGTTGTGAAAAATACTAAAACCAGCAGCTTCAGAGAGAAACGAGCTTCAGACCACAAAGTTTTCTGTACAGATAAAAATCAAGTTTCTAGGATTAAAATCCTCTTTTCTCAGATTATCTGGAGTGAACATAAACTCTGAATTATTAGTCTGAGGAGACGTGGTGCAGACGTACCGCTGAGCCGAGCCTCTCCTGGATGTGGAGTCACAGTCAGCTGACGCTCGGAGTTGACATGAGCGGCTCCGCTCGGACAAAGAGCCTCATTTATTAAAGAGCTGTGTAGGAACATAGATCTCAGTCTGAGGAGGTCACTGTCAGCCAATGTCACCGAGATGACGCTGAGTCTCTGTACGAGTGTTGGTGATAAAATCGATCATTTATTTGAGGTTTGAAGCAGTTTTTAAGGTTTTAAACTCACAGTCCTGATTATAAATGAACTCTATTGTCTCAGGATCAGACTCCTCCCTCCACCGGAGACAAAAACTCTGATCAGCACCGTCATAAATGTCGACCCGTTCTCATCCCTCCACTCTGACGGGAGAGTTTGTTTGTCAGGAGAGTTCGCGGCGCCGACACACGCTCCTCTGTTGTGATCCTGCGAGCGAACATGAGTCCTCTCACCATGTGGCGGCGAGTCTGTGTGACAGCTCTCAGACCGGAACGAGGAGCAGAAGAATCTGAGAGACTCCTCAGAAAAACCTGACAGCTGACGTGACAACTTTAACAAGTTTATCAGTCCTAACGTTTAATAAACACGATTATTTCTGCTTCATCACGTCAAATTAGACGGAGACCAAACTCTGAATTTATCTCCAAGTATTTATAAATATTGTTTTTAGGAAAATAAGTTTAAATGTTAAAAGTAAAGTGAAGAAAAGCTGCTGGATTTCTGTGGACAGAGTGAGCCGTAGTACCCCTGTTCTGACACAGGAGGGCGCTACTTCACCTGCTTTCATTAGTCAAAGAGGAGTAGATGAAGATGATAACCAGGCGTCCAAATCACTGAGCGCCTCATGCTCTCTTCATCTGGACGTTTAAAATCCAACCGTCCAATCAGACGTCACTCACCACGACCCGTTCCTCATCTTCTTCTCCTTCTCCGCCATCTCCGCGGCGTCGTCCAGCCTCAGCTTGGTCACCTGACCGCAGACGTTCTGGAGCATGGGCAGAAACTCCGGGCCGGGGTTCACCGCCCGCTCCTGACCCTGAGCGTTCAGGAAGTGTGACATCATCTCCGTCAGCTGGGCGTGGTTAACCGGAGCTCTGAGCTCAGCGCTCGCTAGAGACGAGGGAAAACATGACGAAGAGGTCAGCTGCAGAATTTCAGCGGAATAATGAGAGCGCCAAAAGAGTGTCAGCGGGGCGAGGGTCTGTGTCCAGACTTTAGGGTCAGGAGGAACCAACAAAGAAACATCATGAGGAGGAGACGACCAATGAAAGATCAGGAAGAAGAAACTCAGACTCACTCAAACCAGAACCAGGCCGGTCTGGAGGTCCGGTCTGACCCGAGGGGTCTTCTCCTGCAGGTCCAGAGGAGCTGAGTGGAGCCTGAAAACACAGAAAAGACGAATCTGAAGGAAACTCTGAGGAGATTTCATATCAGCGACGTCAGGTTGACAGTGGAGACACAAGAAGACCGATTCTTCACAGCGTCTGTAACTATAACCTGCATTAGATTAGGTTTTTATACTCCTGTTGAAACTGTTTCACTCAGTTTTACATCAGATCACAGATAATGATGTTTATAAAGACAGAGTTCATCTCTTTCATGAACTCATTAGACTTCTTTTAGTCAAATACTGAAGTTAGTTCTTTTTAAATTTTCACGTTTGAGCTAAACAGGAGCAGGGATTTACAGACAGTTCACCGGATAACCAGCTCTCTAGCTAGACAAATAGTTTCCTGATACCCTGGAGTCTGCAGGCTGGACCGGGTCCCTGAGGGCTGCTGAGGGCACGCCGACTCCTTTGACCATCGCAGAGAGAGCGCCACCGCCCATCAGGAGGGGCAGGAAGCCACCGAGAGAGCCGGTCTGGTTCTGGAGAGAAAAACAAACAGATAGATGTCGTTTTAGTGAAACTGAAATTTCTGTGGTATCAACACAGGATGAAACATCGACTGAGTTTGTACTGAGAAGAAGTTTTCAAACAAGATCATTTCTTTACATCAAATCCATCTCTCAGGACAAAAGACATTAAAGAGACCAAACTCTGATTTCAGCACAAAGACAACATGAAGATAGATGTTCAGGTTCACTCTTTTGAAACATTAATAAACTGAAATATAACAGGATAAAAGATGGAAATCTGACGTCATTTCCTGTTCCTGTCTGCAGGTTTCAGGTCTCTCTCTCACCTTCTGCTGGAACTGGACCATGTCCATGAGGTTCTGAGCTCCAGGTGAGAGACTCGCTCCCATCTGATCGACCAGAACCTGAACCTGCTGCATGTCGATGCCGGGACCGCAGACAGGGGGCGCCTGAAGAGACCGGAGACCGACGATGACTCGGCAAACCAAAACGCTGTTTTGACCACCGAGGGAGAGCAGCTGAGAGAGAGAGAGAGGGGGAGAGAGAGAGGTGAGAGAGAGAGAAAGAGAGAGAGAGAAAGAGAGAGAGAGAGAGAGAGGGAGAGAGAGAGAGAGAGAGAGAGAGAGAGAGAGAGAGAGAGAGAGACAGACAGACAGACAGACAGACAGACAGACAGACAGACAGACAGAGAGAGAGAGAGAGAGAGAGAGAGAGAGAGAGACAGGGAGAGAGAGAAAGTTTTCTTTTCTTTTTATTCTTTTATCACTTTTTTAACGATCAAACTGGACTGATAATGAAACGAGTCACAGATGCAAACAAACATAATACGCTCATATCACATCTACAGTTTAACAGGTTCATGTCAGAACAGACACAACCTTAAAAGAGACGTTTAAATCTGTCTGAGTGACACCCACCTTCACTTCACAGGCTGCTGATGGATCCTCCAGGATCAGCTGTTTCCTGTAGAAAGGTCCTCTGTCTGAACTGTGAGCAAAGAGCAGAAAAGACTCGGATTCAGCAGCAGGACCCGGTCCCAGACTTTAAATCTGACACACAAGTATTCATATATAAGACCGGTGTCACTCTGAACTACATACACATGTACACAGACACTAAGTTATTGTCTAAACCCAAACACAGGAAGTGATTAAACTTCATCGTTTAGTTCATGAATGACACCACAGGTTTCTGGACAGTTTACATTCCTCCACGATCAGCTGATCTCCTTTATTTCTGTCAGTATAAAGACATCATTGATTAGATGTGACCTCACAGAAACTCTAAACCTGACTCTCACTGATAGCTGATCAATACAGTCAGGTCTCTAAACTCCTGGTATGTAAATATTAATCATGTGTCAAACATGTAAATCCACCGAGGGTGACGTCACCTTTCAGCCGTGATGCTTTCATCCCTCTCTCCTCTAACCGTTCCGCAGTATTCTCCCGTCTGGCTGTACACCTCCATGGTTCGAGCCTCGCTGATGACCAGCAGGCGGCTGATGGTGGCGGCGGAGGAGGCGGAGCTGCATTTGAGCGTCAGGACACACGGACAGCCTTCTTCAGTCTGCTCTAACAGCACCGGGCTGCCCCTGTGAGAAGAAGACGAGTCAGTCAGTCGTTTTCATAATTAAAGTCATCAGTTCATTAACCTTTAGTATAAAATCAGTCAACACTTCTTCCTCAGCTCCTTACAAAACTACTGATATAAACACAGACAGGGTAAATTTAAAGTTATATTTCCAAACGCCAAAATCTCCTTCTTACCAGTTGGTCTTCTTCTCCTCATACTGACTGAGCTCTCCTTCACCGCCGTCTTTGTCGCTGATGTCAACAGGAAGCAGGACGTCTCCTAAACGACGTCCCTCAGTGCGGCAGACCCAAGCAGCTTCGCTCTTAACAGCAACGTCCACCATGATGCTGCCGAGGCTGTGAGGACGATAACCTCCGAGGAGGAGGGAAGGAAGCTGGAACACAAAGTTAGAGGCTCTGAGACCAGATTCATTAAAAACAGGGAGAGGAAATCAGTCCAGAGACAAAGGTCAAAAATAAAGTTTTAGGATTTTATTTTGGTTTAATATGTTTGAAAGAGTGTAGGAAGAAGTAATGCTCATAAAGACCTCCCCCTTATACCAAGTCCATTACACAGATACTCTCTTTATACAAATATCAACACTTTAATATTAACTCTTCAAATCAGAGAGATTATTGAACATGTTCACACTTTACATTCATAATAAGTGTTTCCCCAAATCTCAATACAGTAAATCACGTACAGAGTTATCAGGGAATAGTCTAGAGAGGCTAAAACTCTTTTATGAACGTAAATCTTTGACTTTATACAGAATGGAGACAGATTTTAACATTTTCAGTTTAATATAATTTCTAATTTCCATCCAAGTTTGTTATCTACTATGACCCCGAGGAATTTATTCTCAGTTACGAACTCGATTTCCTTCTTGTCCACAGTTAAATTTCTACACTGAATTACTTGCTTATTTCCAAATATAAACATTTTATTCATGTCAAACCAAGTTTTGAATTTTTCCAACTCTTTCTCCACCGTGTCCAGAAGCTGTTCCAGATTATAATGACTATAAAACACAATTAGGGAGAAAATCTATAAAACAAAAAGACACAACTGTCAAACAGAAAACTGAGATTTTCTTCATAAATGATAACGAAGTCTCGACATCGTCACTGAATCACCTCTGACTTCTTTACTAACACCGTCCTTTTTATGTAATCGAGGTGTTTTCTAATTAAATATCAAAGTTTGCCTCATATTGATAGTTTAATTGATCACTTTACCCTCTTATTGTGTTAACACATTTTACACATTTAACACATTTTTTTCATGATCACATACTTTGATCCTGTAGGTCATAAAGATGAAACTAAATTATTTTCAGTCAGTTTCACAATCAGCTAAAATCACTTACAGGAGCTTTAATATTGGGCTCAGTCTGACTCTCTCCTTAAACATAAACACAGAATTAGACATGATAATCCACCTGAAAGAGCATTTTAACTAAGTATTAATGAGTCCACATGTTAATCTTTAGACTTGAGAGATAATCCCGCCTTTAAAACATGAACATTAACGGTATAAACTCGCTGTTTAATGTTCTTATTTTGATGCTAAATTCCTTCTTCTTCGTTCACTCTCACCTTAAACCGTTCTCTCTCTTCTTCTCCTCCGCTCTCTGAACTCTCGTCCTCACATTCATTCATTCACACATGTTGACAAATCCACAGATTGATAAATATAAACTCTTTAAAAGAAAATAAACAGTAAAAGTGTCTCTGATTTAAGCTAACAGGAAACTACAGCCGACGACTAGCGGCGCCCTGACGTCATCAAAGAGCGCCTCATGAGACGTCAAACCGGGGAGCTGAGGCTCATTTTGGTAAACAAACTGTTTTATCTATTTTAATATTAAAAATACTGTAAAATTATTCGTTTTAGAAACGTTGCATGTAGTATTTAATCAGTAAAAATCTTCTGAATGTAAACAGTGATGAGAAAACTCTGTTGTGGTTCGACGTGATAAAGTTGTTTACATTTTGCAACCTAAAGCAGGGTATTTGTGTTTCCGGTTCTATAGCATTTTAGCCTAACTGTTACAGTCTAAATACTTATTGAGGTGGAATGATGGTTGTGAACAAGTGAATGTGATTCAGGACAGAGAGGCTGACAGACTGTGTGTCTCTGTGTGGAAAAACAAAAACACGCCAAAAAACCTGCAACACACAGTAGGGGAGAGTGGGGTAAGATGATCCATGTTTCATATTTTAGATCACTCAAATTCAAATTCAGTTTTATTTGTATGGCACTTTTTCATACAAAAAAAAATGCAATTCAAAGTTGCTCACAGAGGCTAAAAACAACAATAATGACAATAAAACCTGACCCTCCCATCCACACACACACCCATGAACCCACACGCACACAAAGACACACACTCACCCTCACTCACTCACACATACACACACACAACCTCACACAGAGTCAGAATTTAAGATATATTTCTAGAGAGACATGATCTGACACCGAGACATTACATGAGGAAAGAGCGACCTTTAGGAAACACTGGAGATAAAAACGGTAAAAAGAGTAAAACCTGATGGACTAAAACAAGAAAATAATATTAAATGAACAGATAAGTAAAAGCTTTTTACCATAAAAAAAGGGTAAAAGAGGTAAAAACCTGTGATGGGAATCAAGAAAAAGACTAAGAACAGAGATAATTTATGGAATGACATAAGATAAACATGAAGAACTTTGATTAAAATAAACATTTGCAATAAGAGAAAAATATAAAATGGCAATTTGTAAAAGGCCTGGTTAAAAAAGTGAGTCTTGAGCCTCTTCTTAAAAACATCAACAGTCTCTGCGGCCCTGAGGCTCTCCAGCAGGCTGTTCCACAACCGGGAACCTAGTCAATCCTAGTTTAGTCTCTAACTCGTGTCTCTGCAGATATTTCAGGATGTTGTTCATCCCTGCAAACCAACAGAATGAGTGTAAACAGAACTGTCATCTTCAGAATATAGCAGGACAAAAAAAGGGGTCTCCTATGGTCAACTTACCCCATGTATGTATGGGGTAAGTTGACCAGATGGTTGCTGTTCAGTAACGTTTGTGCAGTGTGATCATGTTGTTTCTGTTTGTTTTGTTTTCTAGTTTCCCGTAAGCCCGTCTGAACTCGTCACCGTTTGTTGTACGACAAAATGAACCACAGCTTCCATTAACCTCAGAGGATGGACTTCACCGAGTGTTACGGAGACACTGTGTCCAGTGTTGCTGCTGCGGCTCGCTCAGGCTGTAGGAAGCGTGTGAGGAGGCTGATAAAGAGAGGGTTCAGTGTGGACTGTCGCGACAACCGCGGCTGGAATGCTCTGCATGAGGCGGCAGCTGCTGGCAGTAAGGAGTGTGTGCACGAAATCCTGTCTGCTGTTAGAGGTAAATGAGGGTGTTTTAACACTCTGGGCCACGGTTCTGTTCAATAGATGCAGAAAAATAATTAAAACGATGAAAAAACAAATAACTGTCCTACTTTACTGATTTAGACTGGAGGTTCAAAAGACAAAATGTAAACATATAAACACAGAAATCTTTCATTTAAGGCTGCTGGAGCCACATTACATCAGACTATCTGTCATATGTGATCTTGATTTATTTTCTACTACTTAAACAAAGTTAACTCTCAATGGATGCTTTTGCACATTATTGAGGTTTCTTACGAGTAAATTCAGAAGGTTTTGATTTCTCCTTTGTCTGCCTCTGACTGTTAGAAACTGGCTCCTCCCGTGGTTGCCGGGCCTACGTGAACTCTTTGACACATGAAGGAGAATCTGCGTGTTACCTGGCAGCTCAGCGTGGTCACCTGGCAGTCGTACGGCTCCTTCTGAAAACCCACGCAGATATAAATCAGCTGACAAATGACCTTTCCTGTCCTCTGTACGCAGGTAAAACACTTAAACATAAGCTCTTTGGTTCAGATTTTACATCTTTAGTTTAATTCTCTCAGTTTCTTTTCTTTTTTCAACAGCTGTAGACGGCGGGTACAAAGAGGTCGTGGCGCTGCTGGTCAGTAAAGGAGCAGAGGTCAACAGAACACACACAGCGTCCTGCTGGACCTGCCTCCATCAAGCTGTGTATAAGGTAACATTCACACACACACACACACACACACACACACAGGCACACCCTTCAACATGACACACATATTTCTTTTAATTCCCTCAGGGTCACAGTGAAATTGTGCAGATCCTGGTGAAAACGTGCAACCTTGAAGCGCTCGATGACCACAAGATCTCTCCTCTCTTCGTGGCCGCTCAGTACGGACAGCAGGAATGTCTGGAGATCCTCGTAAATGCCGGTAAACAACTATCTCTGTGTTTATTCATTTGTAAATGAAGCACATAATGGATTTCCTTCTTGTTTCTCTTTCACATTAGGTGCCAATGTCAACACCCAGGCAGCTGATCTGGCCACGCCGCTGCTCATCGCCTCTCAAGAAGGTCACCGAGCATGTGTGGATTTCCTTTTGGACCATGGAGCAGATCCGAACCTCGCCTGCAGTCATGACTGGCCCCAGCTTCCCATCCACGCTGCTGCTGGGTTTGGACACATCAGGTTTTCTCTCACAGCTCATCTTTTACATCTTTTTACAGGTTTAAAAAGTCCTAAGGTTTTAGTTTTTCTCCTACAAAGATCTCTGTGGTTCTTTTCTTTCTGACCTCATCATGTTTTGACTGCAAACTTCCTGCAGTCTGACGCCTCAGGTAGATCGACCACACCTCTAAAAATCAGCTGACAGAAAATATCAAAACAACATCATGTGAGGAGGTTTGTGGTTGAAACACACGGAGGGAAAAGAAAAAAAAACACACTGGTCTATTTACAAGAAATTATGAATAAATTAATTTCAACTTATTGACTGATTTACAACCTGATCGTAATCATTATGCATATCTCAGGAGCTGATGTTTATAAATGTGCCCTTCATATATATTTTCCCATAACCCTCTTTAATTTTGGTAATCCAGTATCCTGACGAGGCTGATCGCTGTGACAGACCGTGTTTGTGACCGTGGGGACGGCATGGTGAGTCCGCTGTACGTGGCGGTCGACAGACATCAGAGCCGGAGCGTCAAGATCCTCCTGAAGGAAGCGTACAGCCCAGATGCTCAGGACTGCACACACATCCTGGACGTCCGTTCACCCCTCTCCTTCGCCTTGTCTCGCTCCTCCAACGAACCGTACAGGTTTGTAAGAAAGTAAACTCGACCCCTTAGAGAGTCTAAAAAGATCAGGTCGGTTTGTCCCTGATTTCGGTGTAAATCTCTTTCAGTGAACCGGTGAGGTTGTTAATATCTGCAGGAGCAACTTTGAGTGAAGAGGACTGGATTTATGCGGTGGCCACAGACAAACCCGACTTGTTACAGCTGATTCTTGAACACAGATGGATCCCTCAACCGGAGACTTTGACCAGCAGCTGTGCCGTACCACAACGCCAAGGAAAAACCGTGTTAAAGCTGCAGGAACTCCGAGCGCTGCTGTGTGTGGCTCTAAATCAAGTCCATTTTGCCGCTTGTTGGCTCCCCCTCCTTCTGAAAGCCGGTCTGGAACCTTCTTTGCTGCTTCAGACCAGCATGTAAGTCCCTCCACTCACTCCTCCACATCTCTATTGAGTTTCAGCAGATCTACTTCATCAATTCATTTCCATCTTAATGCTCTCCAGGCTGGAAGAGGCAGACAGTGAGGTGTTGAATTACCTGCTGGAGTTTGTAAACTGGTCGATACTGCCTCCTCCTCTGAAACATATACTGGATCAACGTCAGGCAGAGAGGAGCTGGGATCCGTGCCCACATTTAGGTACAAAGATCAAACACAGACGTTAAATCTGTTTTAATTCAGGTCTCATTTCAATCCTTTCTTTTCTCCCTCTAGGCTCTCTTCCCGCTCTTTCCCACATCTGCCGGCTGAAGGTTCGGTCGTTGTTGGGGTCGGATGCTCTGATGAGAACTTCTGTAGTCCAGCAGCTCCCTGTGCCCCCCCCTCTCCAAGACTTTCTCCAGTTTAAAGAAATCCCTCAAGTGTCTTTCACACACTCCTCACCATCACCACTTATGGATCGAATAGAGGAATATCAAAATACACACCAACACAGACACGTTCTCTAACCAATAAATGTTTCTGCTTTTTGTTGTTGTTGCAATAAAACTATTTAATTTTACTTATTCTGATCTGTTTGTGTTTGTTACAACCTCGGCTGAAGTTTGACGGCGTCTGCTTTAATAAATAAAACAGAAAAATTAATTTTGCATGGCTGTATGATTTTGAAGGACAGTCTTCGACATGCTTGATTCTCAAAATATTTTAATAATTATTGTTATTTTTACTTTGGAATCACAAGAATTTGGGATGAAAGTTTGTTTGGTTTTGACGAAGTTTTGGTTTTAGTGATTTTTTTTTTTTAACTTAAATTTTATTTGCATTTTTTAAACATAACAGAAACAACACATACGGTCATACAAAGAAAAATGTATGATTCCCAAAGTATTATTATTATTACTAAAATATTAATAAAATAATAATAATAATAACACTTATTATTATTATTATAATAATAATAATAATAATAATAATAATAATAATATTACTATAATAAAAATATTGTTTTTATTATTATTATTTATTTTATTTTATTAAATTAATTATTTTCATTTATTTATTTATTTAATTTTCTCCGGAATCACAAGAATTTATGATGTGAGTTTTGTTTTAAGTGATTTTTACATGAAGATAGAGTAAAAAGTAGGATTTTTGTGGTAAATTCCGTCGGGTTAAAAATCACATTGTGTGTCAGATTAGATTTCTACCATTATATATAGTTTTTTTCTATTCAGGATCCAGTATTAATTGTTGATTTTTAATTGATTAAATGCCAAAAGTCTTGTTGTGAAGTTTTTTATGCTGATGTCTCTGTTGTCATATGCCAAAAATCGGCTAAACTCTGATTGGTGCACACGCTTGTCAATCACACCTTTCCCCGCTCTGATTGGTCGGCGTCACTTTCACTGGTCTCTGTTGTATTTGACAGGAGGAAGTAGCAGCGGTGGGATACGAGGAAAAAAAAACGTTGGGAATCTTGGAGCTCGTCTGAAGGCTTTACATGACTGAAACACATCTGTAATGTAAGGCTGCTGAATCACAAGTCGAGGAAAGATATGCCTTAATGTATTTCATACGTGAGTATTATAGATAAATGCTTTCTTCTCCTGTTTTCTTAAGGATATATCGGCTGTGTTGTTGCTACCGCCTGCTAGCCTGTGCGCGTTCACAGGTGTTGTCATACAAATAAAATGAAAACGTCTAATTTGGGGTTATTATTGAATTCAGCTTGGTCTGTTTGGTTGTTTCACATCATTTCTCCTCTGATGAGTTAGAGGCAGAAATAAAGAGCTCAGAATGTAAGAGAATAACCTGACAGCATCCTGAAATTAAAGAGAAAAACCACCAACATTAAAACCTGCAGGTCAGAGTCAGTTCACAACAGGCTAACTGATGTTAGCATCTCTCCTTTATTTACCTTTATATGATAATAATAATAATGTGTGAGCAGGTAAAGGTCGGAACAGACCAACGTGAAACAGAGGATGGAGATGAGTCTGGTCTGCTCTTTTATTAAAGTCATTTTAGTTTTAAAGATCATTTTTCATCCTATTTAACTTATCCTCTGAATGTCATAGTCGATATGGTTTCATTCGATCGATTAGTCGATTATAGAGCATCATTGTACCGCTATAAATCCTCAGGTAGGGCCAGGCGATATGGGAAAAATATTATCACGATATATTTTCTTCATATCAGTCGATATCCATATATATCATGATAAAAAAATGAAATGTAACAGTGTTTACACTGTTGGGACATCCCAAGAAAGTCCAGTTGTCCTTTCAACATAGAACTAGAGATCATAGATGCAGTAGGTTATTGTGTTGGAAAAGACATGCGACCAATAAACACTGTTACATTTCTTTTTTTTTTTATCCTGATATATATCGATATAGACTGGTATAAAAAATATATATATCGTAATAAACTTTTTCTCGTATCTCCCAGGACTAAAGACGGGTTAAGACTATTTAGACCCAAAGATCCTCACAGGTGCTTTTAGAGACGATAGCTGACTGACCCGCGCCTCCACCCACGACGCATAATTTAACTCCTTTCTTCATATCCAGGGTGGAGATTTTCTCATTTCCTGTCTTTCCCCAAATCTTGCAGCTGAAGCCAGCATTACGGAGACAAATCGTCCAAACGTCATTCACATGAGGCATGCTGGAAGTATGCAGCCCATGTACCGAAGAGATGCTGGAGTCTGGCATCAAACACGGAGCCTCCTCTACAAGAACCTGCTCATCAAATGGAGGACCAAACAGCAGAGTCTTCAGGTATCAGAGACAGGGAGGTTCTGTCTGATCTGGTCTGTGTGTGTTTGACACTCGTCTTTGGTCGGTCGGTACCTTACAAACTTAGTGACTGAAGAACGAAGCTTGTGTTGTTCAGATTTAGATACCAGGAGAAAGATACTGACGTTGAACTGACTTTTTATTGATGATCCACTTTAATGAAGCAACATTAGAGGTTATTAGAGGTCTGAGGTTATTTCAGGGGAAATCACACCCACACACTTTGAAGACGCCGAGTTATGTTGTTTTTCAGGTTTGCCTGTGGCTACCTCAGAATACCCTAACACACACACACACACACACACACACACACACACACTCTAAATGTGATTTTAGAGGTGAACAGGATAAAGACCTCTTCCTCTGTCCTCTTTGGGTTCCTCCTTCGTTGGACCATGCATTTTTTATCTGGCATTAGGTTGCACTGATGCATTTTTAATGCCCCTTTGTATCAACTTGTCTGCTCAGAAGGACCTCCTGCAGCGTCTCCAGCTGCAGTTAGAAAAGTCAAGAGGACTTCCTCAGCTGTAGTGAGAACAGTTGAACTTGTTTACTTCATACCGGAGATTCCTCCTCTTTGTCAGCGGCTGCTTAAGCTCAGGATGACCGCTGACTTTGGTTTCTGTAAATTCATCAGTGTAATCGGAGAAAGAGATGGAGGTTATTTCTCCGTGTCAGTTCTACAAACAGATGATGGTCAGGTAAACTCAGTCTTTCTCGGTCAAATGTCTCGACCAAAAGCCCTGAAACATCTCCAGGTCTAAATCTGAACCTAGAAAGCTCTGGATCAGCTCTAAACACGCTGCCGGCTCACGATTTATAGTTTTAATTCAGTGTGTCGCTCAAGGTCATGTTGGAGCATGCTGTTTATGGATCAGAGGAGAGAAGGAGCGGCTCCTGTCATGAAGCTGGTGGAGGTGCAGACTGAAGAACCATCACAGAGGAATCAGGGGTTTCACAGTTTAAAGGTGGAGTAGTCAGTGTAATCCTGCCTACTCCACCTTTAAGAGCAAAGTCCTCTTTACTGTGTGAGTCATGGTCTCACCTCTTTGGATGGAGGGCAGATCCAACCAGAGGAAGATGTGGAGACAAACCGAGAACATGATTACAGAACTATCTGGTCTGTTACAGAGGGATCTGGTCTTCTGGAGGCGAGGAGAACGTCTCGTGTGTTTAGACACGAGAAGCTCAAAGACGTCTTTAACCAGCTGCTCCTTCTCCATGTCTGTCTCTGCAGGAGCTGATCCTCCCTCTCCTGCTGCTGGGTCTCCTCATCCTCATCAGCACCCTGAACCCTCATGTGTATTATGGAGGCATCAGCACCGTGGAGCTGGACCGGGAGGACTACTTCTTTAAGGGCCTGGGCTACACACCAATCACAAACGTCACCAACCACATCATGGAGGAGGTGGCCCAGGAGATGCGTAAGAACAGAAGATTTTCATTCTTGACAGTTTCTCAGTGTGAGAGATCGCTGCGCTGTAACAGAGCTCTCTTCATGTGTCTCATCATCAGACATGCAGGATCGTCTGGAGATGTTCGCCAGTGAGGAGGACCTGGAGAACGCCAGCCTGTATGAACCCTCCAGCTACGTCGGTGTGGTGTTCACGGACAACTCAGCTCTGTCCTACAGACTCAGATTTCCATATAACCAGCTCCCTCTACCCAGCGACTACACAGAGTCCATCGGTGAGGACAGAGCGGGTCTCTTTGGTTTATTCTGAATCTTATTATTTCGTTTTATAAATTTGAGCACTGCTGTAAGGGACCGTCTTTAAACGTATTTTTACTGTCTATCACCTGAGCAGGTCAGGTGAGAGTTTTAGGGACGTTCACCTACAGCCTTGAATTTGCTCCTGGATGATTTTAATGTGAGAGAGTCAGTCTCTCCAGATTTTAGTTTATCTTTTTAATGAGAGGTGTTAGAGGAGAATCAGACTTGGTCAAGATACTTAGATTTTTAAAGGTTTGTTTTTACTGAAACAAACCTTTTAAAAAGGTTAAATCGGCTCTTTACTACGACGGAGTGTTAGGGCCATGTTAAGAAAAAAAATTAAGACTTTGAGATTAAAGTCATTAACTTATGAGAATAAAGTCGTAATAAAGTCCTTCTATTCTAACCTGCTGTCTAAGATGACAGTTGTTGAAATTAGAGCCGTGGAGCATTTGGTGAAAATATACTTCAGTATATTTTTCTCAGTCGAGGAGATACTTCATCTTTAGTCACATCAGCACCACATTATCAACAGTATAGTCGTATTAGTAGTTGATTATGACTGTATTCTCATAAGTAATGACTCATTCTCGTAAATTAATGACTTTAATCTCAAAGTCTTAATTATTTTTTCTTAATGTGGCCCTGATACTCCGTCGTACTTTAGAAAGAGAACTGATTGTTTCATCTAAATGTCCCAGTGTAAAGTTATATTTAGAATAAAAGTGGACCCAGCACAGATCCCTGAGGTCCTCCACAGGACAGAGAGGCTGTCTCAGATATAGAAGGTCTGAAACACTCAGGTGAACTCACACCTGATGAAACTGAAGAAAAGAGACGCTCCAGCAGAGAGTGGGTACGTCTTATTTTAACCTCTCAGTGAGATGAAGTTACCTCCAGGTTTACTGAAGTCTCATCTCAACCCTGACGCCTTCGTTAAACGACTGATCGATTCACTCAGTTAGTTGGTTTTATTATTGAGGAAAAGGAAAGTTTAATAAGTCACTTTATTGTAGATCATTTATAGAGATGATGATGAACACAGTCAAGATAAGATATAAACTCTCTGTTTGTCCTCCTACAGCGAACTGTTTCAGCAGCTCAGTGAACTGCAGAGCAGCTAATTACTGGTACTCCGGCTTCATCCGCCTCCAGTCTCTAATCGACGCCGCCATCATTCAGGTAGGAGACGCTGCAGACTCAGCGCAGTCCTTCAGGTTCAGGGTTTTTCACCGCCTGTCGTTGTGGTTTTGTTCAGATGCAGACGAAGCGCTCGGTCCGGAATGAGATGAACCTGAAGGTGGTGATGATGGGTCAGCCCGGCTCTGTGGAGGTGCAGAAGTTCCCTCACGCCCTCATCTCCATCTACCTGGTCCTGGCCTTCACGCCCTTCGTCACCTTCCTCATCGTCAATGTTTCAGCGGAGAAGGAGCACCGCCTCAAAGACACCATGACCATGATGGGGCTGTACGACACCGCCTTCTGGTGAGGCTCCGTCAGGATCTGCTGCTGCATGTTTGAGTGAAATCAGCTGATCTCCACTAACAGGTGTTCGTCTTCTTCAACAGGCTGTCATGGGGTCTCCTGTACGCCGCTCTGGTGACCACCATGTCCTTCCTGATGGCCATCATCGCCACGTACACAGCTCTGTTTCCTAACAGCGACTTCTTCGTGGTCTTCTTCCTCATCTTCCTCTACGGGATATCCTCGGTGAGTGAAGCTCTGAGATCACTGAAGAGTAGGAGAGCTGCTTTGACACCGTCTTTATCTGTCTGTGGTGAAGAAACCAATCCAGGTTTATTTATAAAATACATTTAAAAACAACAAAACGCTGACCAAAATTTTAAGATCAATCCTAAAACGCACAGGAAGTCAGTGAAGAGAGGCTAGAATAGAGGAAATGTGGTCATATTTACGGCGACCAGATAAAACAGGAGCTGCTGCAGCGTTTTGAAGGAGCTGTAAACGATGAAGAGAGGTTTGGATGACACCAAAATAAAGTGCATTACAATAATAAAGACGAGTCGTGAGAAAAGCATGAATAACCTCCTTAAAATCACTGACAGATAAAAAAGACTTGATGATAAAAACTGACTTTTTCGACTGCATTTATATGTAGATCCATTTTGAAATCTCTGTCCGTTATAACTACCTCCACTAAAGACGGTCTTCTGATTTTGATCACCGCACACATCCTCTAATTTAGCAGAAAATAATCTCTGTGTTTATTTACCGAGGTCAAGAGTGTCATTCAATGGTCAGGTAACGATGAGAGCACTCTGTGCTACATGAAAAACTGAGAACTGAAGATGGTGTGTTACCTTTGTATTTATGGGTGTAGATTTAATCGTTTTATTGTCCCTTTTTAATTATTTTATTGTCCCTTTTTTAATTATTTTATTGTCCCTTTTTAATTGTTTTATTGTCCCTTTTTAATTATTTTATTGTCCCTTTTTAATCGTTTTATTGTCCCTTTTTTAATTATTTTATTGTCCCTTTTTTAATTATTTTATTGTCCCTTTTTAATCGTTTTATTGTCCCTTTTTAATTATTTTATTGTCCCTTTTTTAATTATTTTATTGTCCCTTTTTAATTGTTTTATTGTCCCTTTTTTAATTATTTTATTTTCCCTTTTTTAATTATTTTATTGTCCCTTTTTTAATTATTTTATTTTCCCTTTTTTAATTATTTTTTTGTCCCTTTTTTAACGTTTTTTTGTCCCTTCTTTAATTGTTTTATTGTCCCTTTTTTAATTGTTTTATTGTCCCTTTTTTAATTGTTTTATTGTCCCTTTTTTAACGCACAGACTGTAAAGTCACTTTTTAATTTCGTCGTTCTTGTCACAATGACAGTAAAATTCTAATCTGCTGTATTTCTAATGTGTTGGAAATGTTGGAAAAGGAAACACGATCTCTAAATTTGGAGAGGGATTTCTGCCAAACCTGTGAGAACTCAAAACCAAGAGAGGAGAGCTGGTTAGGATCTCATGTAGACACCGTCTCTCTCTCTCTCTGTTCCTCCACAGATCTTCTTCTCCTTCATGCTCACTCCCATCTTTAAGAAGCCCAAGTTTGCCAGCACCGTGGGCTCCATGCTGACTGTGGTGTTCGGCTGCCTGTCCCTCTTCACGGTGCTGATGAAGGACTTTCCACAGCCGCTGGTCTGGCTCCTGTGTCTGCTGTCCCCCAGCGCCTTCTCCATCGGGATTGCACAGGTGATGAACACGCCAACACTCCTCCTCCTCCTCCTCCTCCGTCTTCGTCCTTCTTCTCCTCCATCTTCATCCTCCTCCTCCTCCGTCCTCCTCCTTGCTCTCTCCCCCTCGTATCCGTCTGACCTCTCAGTATTTGTGTTTCTGGGTCAGGTGGTCTATCTGGAGGCCCAGGGAGATGGTGCTGTCTTCTCCTCCTTGGCCAACGGTCCTCATCCTCTTTACGTGCCCCTGCTCATGCTGGTTCTAGACTGCGTCCTCTACCTCCTGCTGGCTCTGTACCTGGACCAGGTCCTCCCTGGTAAGTCCTGAATCTGACTCTTAACTAAATAACCCTCAGTGTTGAATATCAGTCCTCATCCACTGTCTCCACCTTTTCTCCTTGAATACAGGTGAGTTTGGTATGAGGAGGTCCTTGGTGTACTTCCTGAAGCCGTCCTATTGGTCCAAACGCAGAAAGCGTTACGTGGAAGTCAGCTCCGTGTACGACGCCGAGGTTAAAGGTGCTGCGGGCGGGGAGGAGTGTATCGAGCCTGTTTCACCTGAGTTCAGAGGGAAAGAAGCCATCCGGTAAAAGTCCAAACTCTCATCTGAACGTCAGCTGTTCTGTGTGTAAAAGCAGTCAGATAGAAATCCTTAATTTTATGAAAATCCTGCTCTGTGAAGTCAAAGATGTAACCCTGTTTTATTCAGACTGAATTCTGAGGAAAAAGGCTGTTTGAGTTTCTAATCTCAGGCTCAGATGGTTCAGACCTGCAGCCTGGACCGGGTTCTTGGTCCACAGCCAGCTCTCCTCTCTGCTCCATATGTCCTCACTGCTGTCAGGAGCTTCTGGGACGGGCGCCCTGAAACCTGAGCTCTGACTCTGTGCCTGTGTTTACGTGTGTCTCCTCCTCCTCCTCTCTGTTTTAATCAAACTTCACCTCCTCTTCTTCTTCTTCTTCTTCTTCTTCTTCTTCTTCTTCTTCTTCTTCTTCTTCTTCTTCTTCTTCTTCTTCTTCTTCTGCAGCATCAGTAACATCCATAAAGTCTACACAGAGAAGGACAACACGGTGGAGGCTCTGAGAGGTGAGTCACACCTGAGATGAAGCTCTGATCACAGCTCTGATGGAGAACACGCTCAGGTTAACCCAGACCGCTCTGACTCCTCCAGGTTTGACCTTTGACATCTACGAGGGCCAGATCACCGCTCTGCTGGGGCACAGCGGGGCCGGGAAGTCCACCCTCATGAACATCCTGTGCGGCATCTGTCCCCCCACCACCGGCTCGGCCACCATCTACGGCTCCCCCGTGGCCGAGATCGCCGAGACGTCGGAGATGAAGCAGCTGGTGGGGATCTGCCCGCAGTTCAACATCATCTTCGACGTGCTCACCGTGGAGGAGCACCTGAGGATATTCGCCGCCATCAAAGGGATCCCGCCAGCCGACATCGACGCTGAGGTAGTCTGACCGTCTGAAAGATACCTGCTCTGAAATCTTTGGTTGTTTTTCCTCATTGAGGATTCATTTTTAACAAGTTCAGTGTGTTTGTAAAATCAGAGTCCAGTCTGTGTCGATACTGAGTGTCGGGATTTAACAGGAAATTCAACTAAAAAGAGCGTCTGTTAACGAACGACAAAAATAACCCTCTGAACAACATTTTACTCACAATTAAGACACTAAGTTCAGGCTGCAGTGATGACTCATCGCTGAATTTGATTAAGAAATATTGATTGCTGATTAATTAAGTGGATTAAAAACATTGTAGAATAGAATATAGAATAGAATATTCCTTTATTGATCCCCCATGGGGGAAATTTTTTTGTCACAGCAGCATCACAGACAAGACAAAAAGTGCAAAAATGCAGTTATAACAATAAGGGTCCTAATATTAAGAACTTAAATAAATGTAATAATTAAAAAAAAAATTAGAAAAGGGAGAAGAAAAAATAAAGCTTTCTACAATATACACAATTTAAATGCCATAAAAAAAGTGGTGGTGTAAATCCAGTTTTGTTACTGTTCATTGTAAAGTCTTATTGCAGAGGGGAGGAGTGATCTGCGGTAGCGCTCCGTCCTGCAAATTGTGTAGGTTTGTTTTCTCTGTGAGCCTGATGGAACCAAGAGGGAAAAAAAAGGTACTGAGAGCAGGATTGTGTCCTCAAACATGAGAGGTCTCGGAGCGTTTCGTCCTCGATGTTTGAAGGAAAACGTCGACAGAATATTTTGTTTATCACTGGAGCACATCAACGGTTCACGAGTGTTTGAGGAGAAGAGCCAAAAAACAGCTTAATAATTCAATGAGGATTTAATTCTAAAGGTCTGTCAGTTTATTGTCTTGTGTGAACGTTTATCCACCCACCACCCTTTTTAAAGTGCGATTTTCTCTCCATCATTTACGTTTCCCTACAAACTCTTTGTCTCTTTCTTTTTATAACATGTTTTTCCTTAAATTCTCGCCACGTTACCATAGAAACCACACGTCCAAACTGACCCTCCGACCTGCGTGAACACCGGCAGGACAAAAATCAGAGTTCAGTTTCTGTTTGTCCAGTTTTGTGTCTTTAAAACTGTCATAATAATAGTTGATAAATCCTCGTCTGTTGTTTCCTGATTCTCCTTCTCTATCGCTTCATTCATGAAATTATTTTGTCGTTTAAAGTTGATCTTCCTCCTTTTTTATAGTTGATGTTTAATCCTGAGCTGTTCTCTGTCAGGTTACCAAAGTGCTGAAAGATCTGGACCTGGAGAAGATCATGACGGCCCAGGCCAAGAACCTGAGCGGAGGCCAGAAGAGGAAGCTCTCGGTGGGCATCGCCATCCTCGGAGACCCAAAGGTATCTGCAGACGAACACGAACAAAGATCTGATGTAGTTCAGAGACAGCATCAAGGTTCTGGACCGTGTTTGTTCCTCTCAGATCCTGCTCTTGGATGAACCCACCGCAGGTATGGACCCCTGCTCCAGACACCAGGTCTGGTCTTTGCTGAAGAGTCGCAGAGCCGGGAGAGTCACAGTCCTCAGTACGCACTACATGGACGAGGCCGACATCCTCGCAGGTAAAGACCCCGACGTCAGGAGATCCAGAACCTGTCAGCAGGTGATCTGGACTTTTTAAGGTCTAGATTCAGGTTTTAACCGAGTAAGAGAACAACAAGTTTGTGTTTCAACATTTGAGATTCAGAGGCTTTTATTTTGAAGACCCTGATCCTCCGTCGTTATAGAGGGTGAAGATGGTTGTTGGAGATAATCTCTCAAACTGATTTTCCCTCCAGATCGTAAAGCCGTGATTTCTCAGGGTCAGCTGAAGTGTGTGGGCTCCTCACTGTTCCTCAAAGTCAAGTGTGGTGTTGGTTATCATCTCAGGTCAGTAAACTCACTTCTGCTCACGGCTCGGCTCCTGAGGTTCCTGCAGAGGTCATGGTTTCTTCATGTCCTGGACCTGGACTTTGTTTCTCTTCCTCACAGGATGTCCATCAACGAGAGCTGTGACGCGGAGAAGATCACGGCGCTGGTGAAGCACCACGTCCCTAAAGCGAAGCTGTCCCGACAACACGAGGCAGAGCTGACGTTCACGCTGCCTTTTGAGAGCATGGACACGTTCGCAGGTCAGATCATCTGAACAGACAGGAAGTTTAAGTTTGAGTTTCATGTGAAAGTTTTAGATTTACCGTCTCTTATCTCATGTTCTGATGAGTTTATCCTCCACAGGCTTGTTCTCTGAGCTCGACTGTCAACCCAATCTGGGAATAATCAACTACGGGGTTTCCATGACAACACTGGAGGATGTTTTCCTGCGTTTGGAGGCAGAGGCCGAGGTCGACCAGGCTGGTAAGTCTGACGGACGTATCAATAAAGATCATTTCTGATAAAATAGAGTGACTGTACGCCTGTTCGCCTGTTTCCTGTCCTCAGACTACAGCGTGTTTAACCGGGAGCAGGTGGAGGTCGAATATGACAACACGTCTCTGGATGAAACGGACCAGCGGCTGCTGACCTTCTCAGACAGCACATCGGATGTTGTGACAGGTCACGCTCTGTGGCGGCAGCAGTTCAGCACCGTGGCCTGGCTGCACATGCTCAACATGCACAGAGAGAGGAAAGCCTTCATTTACACGTGAGCGCCGTCAGATAACCTCAAACCTCAATACTCGAGCGTTTTCCCCGTACGTCACTCCTCTCTGTCCTCAACATCCCTCTCTTTCAGTCTGGCCCTGTTCCTGGTCTTCGTCGCCGCCGTGCTCGTACTTTCTCTGGTCACAGGAAACATCCAGATCAACTCCCCGGACCGTCAGTTTCTTCCCATCTACCTCCTCAAGAAGAATGAGGCGCCCAGAAGATACGCCACCAGCCTTCTGGTCCAGAACTCCTCAGGTCAGTGTTTCATGGATTTATATTTACCCCTAAACTGAAGAACCGGACCACAGTGACCCGGGTCACCAGCAGGAGCTGCACATGTTCTAATAGGATCCTGTCAGCAGTAAATCCAGATCAATGAGAACAGGCTGGAGGTGAAACACTAACCCAGCTCAGTGAAGTTGATGATGATGATTGATGATGATGAGGAGGAGGATGAGGATGATGAGGATGATGATGACGAGGATGATGATGATGATGATGATGATGAGGATGATGATGATGAGGGTGATGATGATGATGATGAGGATGATGATGACGAGGATGATGATGATGATGAGGATAATGAGGATAATAATGATGATGATGATGAGGATGATGATGATGATGAGGATGATGATGATGATGATGATGATGAGGATGATGATGAGGATGATGATGAGGATGATGATGACGAGGATGATGATGATGAGGATAATGAGGATAAAAATGATGATGATGATGAGGAGGATGATGAGGATGATGATGATGATGATGAGGATGATGATGATGATGATGAGGATGATGATGAGGATGATGATGACGAGGATGATGATGATGAGGATAATGAGGATAATAATGATGATGAGGATGATGATGATGATGATGATGATGATGATGAGGATGATGATGAGGATGATGAGGATGATGATGAGGATGATGAGGATAATGATGATGAGGATGTTGATGATGATGATAATGAGGATAATGATGATGATGATGATGATGATGATGATGATGATGATGATGATGATGATGATGATGATGATGATGATGATGATGATGATGATGATGATGATGTTGATGATGATGATGATGATGATGACGAGGATGATGATGATGAGGATGATGAGGATAATGATGATGAGGATGTTGATGATGATGATGAGGATAATAAGAATGATGATGATGATGAAGATGATGATAATGATGATGATAATGATAACGATGAGGATGAAACCCTATCCCAGCTTAGTGATGATGAGATTGGGGATGAAGTTAGGAATGATGAGAATAATGATGATGATGAGGATGATAATGATGATAAAATCCTATTCCAGTTCATTGATGAGGATAATGATGATGATGATGATGATGATGATGATGAGGATAATAATGATGATGATGATGATGTTGATGATGATGATGATGAGAACAATGATGATGATGATAACGTTGAGGATCCTCTCAGTTCTGCTTTCCTCTCTCTGTACCCTCTTCTTCAGCCTGACTCTTCACATGAACCCGTGTCTCCGCCGTGTTTCTCTCTCTCCTCCCAACAGGTTCTGATATTTCTGATTTCATCCACAACCTGGAGTCTCAGAACCTCAAAGTGGAGATGATGAGACACAGCGACTACATGTCAGCAGCTCCCCACAGCAGCGCCATCAACGTGACAGGATCCACTAAGGTCAGAGCGGCGCTGTGATTTTCCACATTTCTGTATCTGATCGAATGTTTCATTAAACTGGAGAGTTTAATCATCAGCAGCAGGTGTGGGCTCACCTCCACCTCCAGATAATGTGCTTCAAGTAGTCCATGTGAAGAGCTCTCAGCAGCAGAGTCCTCCAGCTGAGAGGTTTTTACCTGAAGTGGACCCTGTTAACCCTCTCTGTGCCTGTTCACAGGGTTTCAGATACAGCGTGGCGTTCAACAGCACCACGGTCCACTCCTTACCCATGGCCGTCAACATCCTGAGCAACACTCTCCTCCGAGGTCTGAACGGAACCGGACAGATCCGGACCTGGACCAAACCGTTTGATTATGTGAGCGTCTGACAGAAGGAGGAGTTTGATAACGCCGATCGTTGTGATTGATCTGGATATTAAAGGTTTCTAATCTCCCTGCAGCAAATCCCCGACGCCACCTCCTACGCTCTGGTCTACATCGAGGCCATCATACTGGGAATGCTGGCTGCTGGGATGCCTGCGTACTTCGCAATGGACCACACCCGGGACCGAGAGGTGAGTCTTGAGTTTCCACCACAGGGACACTGATCTTGATTTTTTATCGTCTCATATTTTGTTTCCGTCTCGTCAGATCAAGTGTCGCTCCACGCTCCGGATCTCCGGTCTGGTACCGTCAGCTTACTGGTGTGGACAGGCGGCGGTGGACATCCCCTTCTTCTACCTCATCCTCTCCACCATGAACATCATCCTCTTCTCCTTCCACACGGGGAACCTGCTGACCTCCAGTAACCTCACGGCGGTGGTTCGTACTGTCGTTTAAACATTTATCGCCATATTTCACGGGCAGGACTGAGCCGTACAGATACTTTCATATTTGCATCAGAAGTCGGCGGTTTAGGCTCCTCAGGAGGAGCAGGAAGTCTGAGCTGGAAGGAGGCGTGGATGAATATCCCTTGACTCCTCCCCTGTCTTCCTTCAGGTCCTCTGCACAGTAGGCTTCTGTCCATCCGTGATCCTCTTCACGTACGTGTTTTCTTTCGGCTTCGCTCGAGTCCAGAGTAACAGGGACTTCTTCTCCGTCATCTCCATGATGGTGAGATCATTTAGAGAAACACTTTTGACCTCAGATCAACACACTCTGACTGTGGTACCTTCAGGTGTGTGTGTGTGTGTGGTCTCTGACTGTGGTACCTTCAGGTGTGTGTGTGTGGTCTCTGACTGTGGTACCTTCAGGTGTGTGTGTGTGGTCTCTGACTGTTGTACCTTCTCCCTCAGGTGTGCGTGGTCTCAGCCTCTCTGGTTCAGTCGTTCGTCCACGACAGCCCTGGACTCTCCAGGAACCTCCACAACATCTTGTGTTTCTTCAACCCTCTCTACCCTCTCATGGGCTGCCTCAACTGCATCACCAAGGTAGGACCAACAGTCATTTCTCTGTTTTTAGCTCTGCTCACTGAGAGGAAACACCTCTCTGATGTTGTGGTTCTTCTCCTCCTTCCTCTCCAGGCGACCTTCCTCCCCTCCGTCTATGAAGAAAACTCTCTGTGGAAGAATCTTCTCATCGCTGTCGTTGCTGTAAGTTCTTCTCAAACATCTAAACTCTCAGAGGTGGCTCCTCTCTCTGCCGTGATACTGAAGGTTCCTGTCTGTCTGTGTCTTCAGCCCTACCTTCAGTGCATCCTGCTGCTGTTCCTCCTGCGGTGGCTGGAGATCCGGTACGGAGGGAAGACCATGACCAACGATCAGTTCTGCAGGTGAGGAACGCTTCAGCTTCATTTTTGACGATATTTTCCACTTAAAAGACAAATAATGAGTCTTTTATATTTCAAGATTTGTCGTCAGTTTTCATCAAAAGTTCGTTTTCATGATTTTGATATCATCTCTACAGGATCTCCTCAAAGTCGAAGCACAAAGTGGAGAGGAATCCAGAAGACGGGCTGGACGAGGATGAGGATGTTCAGATGGAGAAGGCCAGAGTGAAGGAGGCCCTGACCTGCCAGTCCTGTGAGGAGGTACGTGAAGAAACCTGGAGGACTTTCTTCTACCCCACAGTGAGGAGCTGCTGAACCAGATCTGGAAGTTCTCCACCTTTAGAGGAGACGTCATAAAATCTGACTCAGTTTGATGGACATGAAACAGATTTTTCTTCATCAGTAACTAAAATAACTTTGGGGTGAGGCATCTAAAGAGGTTTTTAAAGACCTCTTTTCTTACAGAAGACCGAGGATCATTAAGACAGGAACAGTCAGCTGTTTGTCTCCTGATCAGTTTGGATCTTTGAACTTTTGGAGATTTCGATCATGAGTCCTGGCTGGCTCGCCACATATGTTGTAGAAAATGAACATCTTCTCAGATCTCCTCCTGACTCCTGTGAATGTTTCACTGAGTTTATTTTCATTTTCTACAACATCATACAGAGTTTTTGGACTCTACACAAACACCGCTGACCCTGATGTTTCTTTAAAGTTCTGGTTCTGATCGTCTCTCTCCGTCTCTCTTTAGAAACCCGTGGTGGTGGTGAGTAACCTGAGGAAGCAGCACAAAGGCAGACGAGAAGGTTTCTCCCTGAACAAGACCAGGAAGGTGGCCACCAAGAACATCTCCTTCTGCGTCCGTAAAGGTCTGTGTGATCCTCCAGAGTCTGATTCGGCGGGTCCAGGTCCAGGTCCAGGTCCGGTTTTCTCATGATAGACTAACTTGATTATTTCTGTCTCTTCAGGGGAAGTTCTGGGACTGTTGGGTCCAAACGGAGCAGGAAAGACCACCGTCATGCACATGCTGTCAGGGGACACAGACCCCACAGCAGGACAGGTACTGATCCAGCTGAAGCTCCTCTCCTGAGTTAGAGAGAGATCTTCAGGAACTGGATCTGAAAAAACTGATGGTCTGTCTGTCCTGGTTCAGGTTCTGATGGGGGACTACAGCACCGAGTTTCGGCCCGTGGACAGTCCTCTGGATCACGTGGGCTACTGTCCTCAGGTGAACCCTCTGTGGCCCAGGATCACTCTGCAGGAGCACCTGGAGATCTACGCCGCCATCAAGGGCCTGAGAGGACAGGACATCCCCGGGATCATCAAACGGTGAGTCTGACCTTCAGAGGAGGAGGAGGAGAACCTTCAGAGGAGGAGGAGTTTTGAGGAGGAGGAGTTTTGAGGAGGAGAACCCTTTAGGAGGTCATTTTAGATGATGACTAAGAGGAACCTGTTTCTGTCCTCAGGGTGGTCAACGCTCTGGAGCTCAAGGACCATCTCCACAAACAAGCCAAGACCCTGTCAGCAGGACTGAAGAGGAAGGTGAGCTGATGGTGTCAGACCTCAGGAGTCCGTCCAGAAGGTCCAGAAGGTCCGGTCTGGTTTTCACAAACTCTTCTTCTTCTTCTTCTTCTTCTTGTTTTTATCGTTCAGCTGTGTTTCGCTCTGAGTATGATCGGGAATCCTCAGATCGTTCTTCTGGACGAACCATCTTCAGGGATGGACCCAAAGTCCA